TAGTTCACATATTCTAGATTACACATTCTAGATTCTAGATTCCAGATTCCAATTCCAGATTCTAGATTCTAGATTCCAGATTAAAGGTTCAAGATTCAAGATCCAAGACCTAGATTACAGATCAAGATTCTAGATTCAATATCCCAGACTCCTGATTCCGGATTCTAGATTTCTGATTCTAATGACTAATATGCAATATTATAATATTAATAAAGATTATGTCTATTCGGTTTAAATACAAGTAGAGCAGGCAATTATTATGATTTTATAATTAATTAGATTTGTTGTTGCGTTGCTTTCACTGTTTACTATTACTACTATACATGGATTAGAACTGTAGAGAATATCAATTATTTAATTAAAGAGAAACAAAGCATCAGTTTAACCCCAACTTTCTCTATACATAGACGTGATGAAACTTAGATATATATTCATATTAATTCTTATAGGTATTCATTTATTCAGATCATTCATACAGATATTCAGCCTTTCAATTTGTTCTTACAGGTATTCATTCATTCATATTCATTGGTATTCATTTATTCATATTCATTTTTACAGGCATTCATTCATATTCATCCTTACAGGTATTCATTCATTCATATTCATTTTTACAAGTATTCATTCATATTCATCCTTACAGGTATTCATTCATTCATATTCATTTTTACAGGTAATCATTCATATCCATTCACTCATATTCATCTTACAGGTATTCATTCATATTCATTCTTACAGGTATTTATTCATTCACATTCATTCTTACAGGTATTCATTCATTCATATTCATTCTTACATGTATTCACCCATATTCATTTTTGCCGGTATTCATTCATCCTTATTGATCTTACAGGTATCCATTCATTCTTATTCATTCTTACAGGTATTTAATCATCCTTATTCATTCTTGAAGGTATTCATTCATTCATATTCATTCTTACAGGTATTCATTCATATTCATTTTTGCCGGTATTCATACATATTCATCCTTACAGGTATTCATCCTTTCATATTAATTTTTACAGGAATTCATTCATATCCAGTCATTCATATTCATCCTACAGGTATTCATTCATATCCATTCTTACAGATATTTATTCATTCACATTCATTCTTACAGGTATTCATTCATTCATATTCATTCTTACATGTATTCATTCATATTCATTTTTGCCTGTATTTATTCATCCTTATTAATCTTACAGGTATTCATTCATTAATATTCATTCTTACAGGTATTTAATCATCCTTATTCATTCTTGCAGGTATAAATTCATTCATATTCATTCTTACAGGTATTTAATCATCCTTATTCATTCTTGCAGGTATAAATTCATTCATATATATTCTTACAGGTATTTAATCATCCTTATTTATTCTTACAGGTATTCATTCATATTCATTCTTACAGGTATTCATTCATGTTCATTTTTGCCGGTATTCATACATCCTTATTGATCTTACAGGTATTCATTCATTCATAATTATTCTTACAGGTCTTTATTTATTCATTCACATTTATTCTTACAGGTATTCATTCATATTTATTCTTAAAGGTATTCATTCATATTCATTCTATACAAGTAAATCATTCATTCATAATCATTTTTACGGGTATTAATTCATCCTATTGCCTCACCCGTTAGGATGAATTTTCTGTAAGAAATAATTTGAAAAAAATAATGAAATCTGCAATATTATTTATTTGGACAAGAAATAAGACGACATTACATTTCCTCTGAATATTCAATTAAAGGAATTGAGTTTGCTCCATAAACTTAAATTTTCAAATCCCTAGCTGTATCTCTACAACCTGGAAATGTGTAAATTTTTGATATTTCAAACTTCAGAATTCATTCTGTTGCAAAAATATAGTGATTACAAAAACCAGAGTGTGTGGCAAAGACTCAATTTAATTGGAAATGGTTTAGGCTCAGCTCAAGTCATTTGAGAATTTTAAAACAAAGATTAAAAAATGATCTCACATTCCCCTCCGATATTCACAATACACAGTGAATAAATGGCTTCAGAGCAATTCCTTTTTTGATTGGAATGAAATTTTAAATTATATATTTCTTCCCAAGAGTAAAACTTTGGAATTCTGATAATATAAAAGTTTTCTTGATCCATGACAATCTGTATAACTACAGTGAGAACCAGAAAACTCTGGAATAGGAAGTCGACTTTTAAACTCAAGTTATGACTTTTAGTTTTAATACAGTGAAACCCTTAATAATGAATACATCAGAAGGATTCATCAAATGTCGTCTTGACAATTTTTCAACGAGTTTTATACTATATTTCGTAAATTTCAGTATTTGAGAAAATAAATAAATATCCATGACTATGGGGGAACAGTGTTAAAGAGTTCCATATAATTATTTAATTATAAACCTAAATATCTGCAATATTCCATTATCAGAAAGTGAAGAATACGACATTTGATGAATTCTTTCGATGTATTCGTTATTAAGGGTTTCACTGTAGCGCATTAAACAGGAGGCACAGCAATTGTGCATTGTAAATAAACCCACTTTACTTAATAAGTAATTTAACAACTTTCAGGTAATGCTATTTGCTTTAAACAACATCAAATGCACTTCAGAAATGCTATAATGTCGTCTTCCTATTCAACAGATTTCTGGTTATGACTGTATGTTTTTTATGTTTTTAATTGTTGTCCATAAAGAACTAAGATTTTTTAATTGCTATAATTTAAAGAATTTACAAAAATTGAGAAAAGTTTTTTCCAGATTTAGATTCTAATTAAAATAACATTTTTGTTTAGGAATGTTTTTAACTCTGGTCATCTTTAATGAAAGATTGCCTTCAATACAGAGGAAAACAATTGATTAATTTACTCTAGCATTATTCACATCTTTTAAAATATTTAAAAAATAGGCTAATTTATTTTTATTTTCTAGACTATATCGAAACATTTCAGAATGTTATTTTTAATGATCAATATCAATTGTCTACGTCAAGGCTAAATGTATTCTACATTTACAACAATCAATTCATAGAATCTAATATTCAAGGACTGTTTAACAACCCTGAAAAGTGAAAATATATTTAAGAAAAATGAGTTTTTTAGCAATGAGGTTAAGATCCTGATTTTTCCATCATTTGTTTTCTTCTTAAATTCTACTTGAAGTTTTGAGTAATTCTTAGTGCTCTGGAATTTTTAAATCATAAACTTAGTATTTAAAAAAAGTGCTTGAATATAGAGAAGCTGGACTGTAAGGAGAAAAGAAAAATAATATTTCTAAAAACTCATAAAACAGGTTCAACTACTATACAGAATATTTTGTTCAGGTAAAAAAAAAACAGAAAAACTAAATTGAAAATCATAAAAAAATAGAAAGACGACATTTAAGCAATCTTTAAGTGTAAATTTGATGTTGTTACAAAGCAAAAAAAATTTACAAATAGCTTACTGATCACTTATTTAGTGAAATGGCTCTGTGGTCACTGTACAATTGTTGTATTACATGTTTGTTAAAACAATTTAAATAATAATTAGAGTCTATAAGTCGTCTTTCTCTTCCACAGCTCTCTGGGTTTTACTGTAAATAATTGAAAAATTATGAGAAAAGAAAACAATGATCATGATAGGATATAATTGTATTCAACCGCCTTGTGTTATTCTACAAGTTCATGCACGTAAGATATTTTATTTAAAAATTCGGTGATGGTGATGGACCAAACCTCTATAGAGTAAAAAAGTAGATGTTAGTTCCACATTTATTGAAAATATATTTCGGTCTGGGTTGACCCTCGTCAGTTCTAACGTAATAATAACCATCAAATTCGATAAAAAAAAAAATATTGTTATAAATCACAAGAAAATAAACTAACAAAAAAGATTATTCAAAATAAAAATTTGGGCTGTCAAATGGACGTAAGGGAAACGAACTCAGATTTTCAATCATAACTTTTGCTGTAAAGCTGTTGAGAAGAACAAGTATGTTTTGAAGCAGTAATATTTAACTAGATAAATTTGATACTCTAACATCAAACCTAGAGGAGCTACGAGGTCACAAAGTTATACAAGTAATATCGCATAAATTTGACCTTCTCCTTAGTCTAGTTTAATGATAAATAAGGTGTTTGAATATTTAGATGAATTAAAATATTAATATTAAATTCCTTATAGAGTATAGCTGTAGATGATTGTTACAGATTTGGAGAAAAAAGAGGTTTAAAGTTTGCTCTTCCTTCAACAACTAAACATTTCTTTAATCTGAGGTAAAAAAAAACACATTTCCTGATATGAGTATTATCTGTTTTTGTGCTTTGAAAAATAAAGCCACATGATGAAGTTAACTTTGATATTTTAAAGTTAAACATTTTGATCTAACAGAATTCATGGTTTGAAATATATCAGATGCAACGATGGCAATGCCTGCAATTTACAACAGTTACTTTGAAACCTTTTCTCAAAAGTGTGGAAGATATTGTTGTTTTCTAAAAGTGTGGAAGATATTTTTGTTTTCTAAAAGTGTGAAAGATATTGTTGTTTTCTAAAAGTGTGGAAAATATTGTTGTTTTCTAAAAGTGTGGAAGATATTGTTGTTTTCTAAAAGTGTGGAAGATATTGTTGTTTTCTAAAAGTGTGGAAGATATTGTTGTTTTCTAAAAGTGTGGAAGATATTGTTGTTTTCTAAAAGTGTGGAAGATATTGTTGTTTTCTAAAAGTGTGGAAGATATTGTTGTTTTCTAAAAGTGTGGAAGATATTGTTGTTTTCTAAAAGTGTGGAAGATATTGTTGTTTTCTAAAAGTGTGGAAGATATTGTTGTTTTCTAAAAGTGTGGAAGATATTGTTGTTTTCTAAAAGTGTGGAAGATATTGTTGTTTTCTAAAAGTGTGGAAGATATTGTTGTTTTCTAAAANTTGGGGGGTCCAATCACCTACTTTCGTAGAAATCTCATTGCCTTATGTCTGTGCAAATGCAGAAGATAAAATGTGAATAACTTTTTTATCTATGTTTGTTGAAGATTCCAGTGATGGTTTTGATATCCTAGCATCTCATGCAGTATGGAACCATGACGAGGCAAATAAGGTGAAATAATCATAAAATTCACAGAATTCACAAATTATCCACACTTTCCTCCGAAAGGTGAAAGTGAATTCATTATTTAAATAATTGTAAACACAAAGACCCTTAAAGGTTGAATGCTTTTACGCAAAAATCATTCAGCAATTTCACAAAAACAGTAAGTTTGTTGAACTCAAAGGCCAGGCGTTGCGACACTTTAAAATCCACCCAGTCTTGAAAATTAACGCAAATTTTATCGACAGTCTGGATCGATGTGAAAATAATTACAGTGAGGGTTAACAAACAATATCTCAGACTATGCTGAAAACCATAGAGATACAAGAATATAGATCGCTAATGCAGACTGTAAAGCTGAAAATTGTACAACCCCTTGTAGTTGTACATAATGAACTCGTTATGATTACGTTTTACTTCTCGGGGTCAATCTGTAGTGTATTTTTCTACCAATTTATTTTAAGAAGTTTAATAAAAACTAGGTGTCTCCTGTTATCTATTTTAGCTTTTAACCTATAAACACTAAACAGGCTGGGGGGGGGGGGGGCTTTAGTTTTTTTGTACTAAAACACTCTCATTTTTGTCACTTTCATCGTGAAATTTTGTGACGAAATGAAAAGTAATTTAAAGGATTTTTTGTCAACATTTTTTTTTAATGCATAGAGTAGGGTACAGGGCGGTAACAAATCCGGTCTGCATAAAAAAAAATCTATTTTTTGTGCCTATAGCTACAGATCTTAAAATTATAGTTTTGAAAAGCCCTTGAAAAGTTGCTGTAGAAACATTGTCACAATTTGATATCTGTTAAAAACAAAACAAAAACTTTTAAATATTCTTTTACCCTTTCTTTTGGCCTTTTTTTCGACCTTCCTTAGCGCCCAAACTATTAAAGTTATCGGCCTTGAAAAGTTGGGACACCGCCCCCCAGCCTATACAAAGATTCATGACCCCCCTGTAGCACTAAAAGTCGTCCCTAAAAATCGTTCTAAAATTTGTGTTTCTTTTTTTGTTTAAATTGGTACATTTTTAAAATTAATAAATGTCAACTTTTTTCATAACCCTTTTAAAAATAAAAATATCCAAAATAGATTCTAAAAGTGAAAATTTCAAGTCAAACACACAAACACAGAAGCAGACAAGACAAATGTGTAAATGAAAGCATAGTTTAAAAAATCTCTTTATTAATGAGCAAACAAAATTAATTTGGACAATTTTTTGCGGAGTTTGGTTGTTCTTCTTCTGTTTTTTTTCTCTTACTAGATATTCACAGGTTGGGAACTTTGTCTCAGTTGTAAATAAAGAATAATCAACAATTTGCACTAGCCAGTCGATTTCTCTATTTTACTCTAGACAAATTGAAGAGAGATCCTAATATAAAAAAAAGTTAATGGTTAAAAGAATTTATAAAATTCAAATTTCAAAACAAAAATAGGTTTTAAAACGAATAGAAAAGGGCAAGTGGCGTATGGAAACATCTAATTAAATTTAATAATCATCCCTCCCCCCTTCCCTGCGCCCATAAATTTGTAAAAAGTACAAAGATACTTTTAAATCCAATGTACTGTATGTCCAATTGAGCTGAAACCCTCCGGTATGGTGAAGACGACATGAGCGAGCTATATTCTTGTACAGAGTGTTCCAAAAAACATGGGAATTCAGTGACGAATTCGATATCGTCTTTGTTATGAATTAGCATTGCAATACCTAATTTCAAAACCCATAATATTATTATGTCTGCTAGAGTTTATTTTATGAAAAGGGTAAAAGACTGTTAAGATGTGTCTGTAATGTCTCCGCAAGATGAACAGTGAAGACTGACAATTTTACTCTGGTTGTATACTGCAATTTTCTTGTTTTACTAAGTACAACCGTATGCAGTCAAAACATAAACAAACAAAATGTGAACATAGCAGACGAAACTCTTACAGATTACAGCTTTCTCAGTAGGTATCGCTATACTAAATCAAAGAATTGTTTAAAAAGACTATATCAAATTCGTCTCTGAATTCCCATGTTTATTGGGACACCCTGTACATCTATGTTAAAAACATATTTTTAAACTTCACATTATCCATCTAAAATATTTTTAGACGATTGTTGATTCAATTAAATTCACGATTCTCAGGTAAATAAAATAATATTTTAACAGAGGAAGGAACTTCAGATGTGGAGTATTGTTATCACGAAAGCTAGCTTGATCTTTTTTTTACGTTGAGAATTTTGTATGAGCTTAAATATAGACGGATAGGCTTTTCAGCCTATCCCATTGTTGACAAAAGTGCATGGCATAGTATTCGTATTATATTTGTTTCTATTATTTTTCTACCTTTTTTGCAGCCTCTCAAAATTTCCATCAAGCCCCCCCCCCCCCCAACTCCACTCCCATTCTCTTTGCTCAAAAAGCTTGATCTTTTTATCTAATGTGCATGCCGCATGTGCATGATCTGTAAGAATTCTATTTCATTATTTAATCTATAAAATCAAATCTAGTTTAAAAATGGTCTCTTTAGTTTAGGAAGAAAACTAGTTAAAGGAACTGTAGACGTATATTCCATTGATCAACCATAAAAAAGTTGAAAGTCTGATTAACAATGGTACCCTTAACACTGTATCTAAGTAGCAACGAGTAATATCGTCGTTTCATATCATGTGTTGAAAAGTGTCAAATTCTCAACTTTTTTTCTTCATTCTCTCAGGGGGGTAAAAAAGTCATTTTTGAAAAGAACCAAGAATTGGAAATAATTAATTTTTCAGTTATCAAATAAGGATATCTCAGTCATTTTTTATCATTTAAAGGTTTAAAAGGGTACCATTGTATATCGGACATGCCACTCCATAATTTTAAAGACCCTGTTTCCTGTTTTAGAGACCCTATTTTCTGTGTAGAAGAGACTCTGCTTCCTGTTTTAGAGACACTGTTTTCTGTTTTAGAGACCCTGTTTCCTGTTTAAGAGACACTGTTTCCTGTTTAGAGACACTGTTTCCCTGTTTAGAGACACTGTTTCCTGTTTAGAGAACCTGTTTCCTGTTTTGAATCATATTATGGATATTTCAAGCTTTCATCAAAATTTGGAAAAATCGATGAATTCGCAAACGACATCTCAGCTGGGTAAACTTTATTTAACGGGGTATTTTCGTTTAAAAAAATGGGCTATGGTAAAAATAGGAAATGTTTCATCCATAGATTAATAACAATTTACAGATAGAACAGTAGATGTCGTCTTTTCAAGATTTAAGGGTTTTTCGTTCACAATAACCCTGAGGCAGAGGCCAAAAGGAGTTACTCGCATGTAATTCAACGCTCCCTGCACGGAACTCCTTTGGGCTTCTGCCTCAAGGTTATTGTGAAAAAAACCTTAAATCTTGATAGGACGTCATCATAGTGTTCTATCTGTATTTTTTTAATCTATAGTTTCCTCTAATTCATTATTTTGAAGCTTTTTTAATTGACTTCTCGCTAATTAGTTGTAGATTTTTACCATCGTTAACGTCTCTCGAAGTTTCTGTGAAAAGAAATTATTAAAAAAAACTGTTACGAGCTAAAGTGTAACCTTAAACGTCTGAAGCTATTTAATCAAAAGTAAATACAGAACTGATTCTAAAGTAATTAACCAGAAAAGTTCGCTCAGCAGATTTTAAATATCATATCATTTTTGAGCAAATATATATTGTAATTTGTATTTGCTTTTTCTGTGCAGAAAGCATGCTAAAATAAAAGAAAACACCAGAATCAGGCAGATGTATGATTTAGGTAAAAATAAATTTAAATCGACAAATTTTGCAAGCAACACATTTTTTGTTGTTCTATTTAATTTATAGGAAACGATTTTTAATGGCTCCAAAAAATGATGAATACATTTTATATAAATGTCCAGGATACCGCGAGGGAACGAATTTTAAATAAATGTCCAGGATACCGCGAGGGAATGAATTTTATATAAATGTCCAGGATACCGCGAGGGAATGAATTTTATATAAATGTCCAGGATACCGCGAGGGTCTACACCAAGTTGATCAGAAAATAATGTCTCTAGACTCAGAATTTGACCAGGTAAAAATATGAAGATTAAAAGCATAAAGATGAGTCAGGATCAGGAATTAAAAATCACCGACTTTAAGTAGTTTTTTTCAAGCAAGGCTAAAAGTAGTACCCGTAGAAATTTTTTTTTATATTTTCCTTTTTAATAATCATTCCTTAATTTTGTCTTCTAGATTTTAATTCTGGAATACCTTGAGGAGGGTCTAATATTACTGATTGAACAGCTCTGCTGGAAACTCGAGGATGTCGTCTTTATCAAGAAAAATGCGCGGTAAAAATTTGAATCAGTAAACGCGCAAATCTTGTCTGACAATTCAAAATAATCCCAACTGAATCTAAATTAACTATTCTACTCCACATTAATCTTTCTAGAAGGAGATGATTCCTTTGGCGTACAGTCCCGTTTTACCGATTATATTCTGTAACTGTAACTATAAATCTTGCTTTAGCTGCATAAAATGATGAACTTAGTTTTTTTCAGGTCTGAGGAAACAGTTGATCAAATAAATGAGAAGACATCATCACTATTGAGGAATTACAGTTGAAACTTCAATTTTGGACCCGTCCAACCATCGATGGTTGTTTGCCGTTGAGTTTGTGAACGAATAAATCCTTTGTGATTTTTTATTAAACACTAAGTCCATGTCAAGATACTAATTTTCCAATTATTCATTTATTTCATTAAACCTACGTTTTACAAAGAAATAGATAGATTGATAGATAATGAGGAGACAGTGCTTTTTCTTTTTCATGCTATTTTAAATTCCAGAATGATACAGGGTTACCCCCATAGCATGAGGCTTCATTGACGACCTAATCCAATGGTAACCTGTGAGGCTGTGTTTATAAATAAAATTTGTTCTGACCTTCTTCAAATTATTAAATATTCCATTAAAATCTTCAGTTATGGCAGATTGAACCAAAACAAATTGAATGTTCAGCTTGTTCTATTCAAATGATTTCAGGTCGACATTAAAGTCTTAGGAAAGGAAACGGACAGTTAGATTTCTGTAAAGTCGTCTCTGAAGTCTCATTCTTTGTGGTTAACCCTGTAGTTTCTCATGATTTCAACTCTGTGAGTTTAGAGAATGGATGGAAGAGGACGTAAAACTTTACCAGTTCTTTCTTACAAGACATAGGTCACATGAACGATGTGATGTAGTCCCAATACCAATTATCAACCAAACAGCGTTGCATCTAATTTATAAACCCCTTTTTTTCCTGTATTAAACATAAAGAAAATAGTGGTTATCATTCAAAATTCTTAGATTCACTTTAAATTGAAAAAAAAACTTGGTAGTCTGCAAGGAAAAAAAATCAGAGGGTAATTTTCCAACCGTAATTGGAGGTTAAAAAGAAAAGGAATTTTAAACACTTGCCTAAACTCTAATTCAAACTTTAGCTTTCCAAGCTCATGTCGTAGATTTTTTATATTTCATTCTGTGATTTCGGCAAGATCAAATAGTCAAACGATATTACACCCTGGACTAACCTCCACCAAATGAGTTTGGGTTTTCCTTGTTTAATTTGAATTTAATCTCAATTTGATCTATAATTCAACAGTCTTTGAATACATGAATGGAATAATTTGTCAGTTAAAACGCAAACACCGACAAAAAACTATAAAAAAGCGAAAAAATTATGTTTAACGGGTCAAACTTTGATCGAAAGGGCCAAGCTGGTAAATCTGCGTTATTAGGTTGAAAGATCAAAATGATTAGAAAATAAGTGTTTGAGGCAAGCTTTCAGTTCCTTTGTTTAAAGAATTGGGTGATGGAATGTGGATCCAATAATCGGGGTTTTTTAAAAGAAAGGAATTGAATTTTTGCCGCAAACCCAAATTTTCTAATTGCTATATCTATGCAAACAAATGTTGTAAACCTTCGAAATTTTAAACTTAGACTATTTGATCTAACAAAATGTATACTTTGAAATATCAAAGGTCTACGACATCGGGTTGCAGAGATATAGGAAATAGAAAATTAGAGTTTGTGACAAAAACTCAATTCCTTTGTCGTTGTTTAGAGAACGTGTAGAGGAATATGGAGTTGAGAAGATGAAGGATCAGGTGCAACAGCTCCGTATTCTCAACCAGAACCTAGAACACAAGTGTATCCAGGTATACCTTGAATCCTGTGTATCCAGGTATACCTTGAACCCTGTGTATCCAGGTATACCTTGAACCCTGTGTATCCAGGTATACCTTGAACCCTGTGTATCCAAGTAAACCTTGAACTCTGTGTATCCAGGTATACATTAAACCTTGTGCATTCAGGTTTGTCTTTAAACCTATGCTTATAGATTGTAGGTATACCTTGAACCCTGTATATCCTGTGGTCAGTAAACTATAATATCATTTTGTTGTCAGGAAAATAAAGAAGATAAACTAAAAGAGAAAAAACTAATTAACAATACTGCTGAATCTGAAAAGCTTTCTAACCCTACAGAGAAAATAGAAACTCCAAAAGAAAAAGAAAAGAATAATCAGAAAGATGTTGATCCATATTTTGATATAAATGAATGGACTGTAGAGCGCAAGAAGAGGTAATCTATTCAACTAAAGGAAGATACTGGAAATAGTTTTGAGGTTCGTTTTTAAAAATTCAAAGTTTTTTTTAACTTTTGCAAGGTTCTATAAGCAGCTGAGATGTTTACATTTATTAAATTATATCCTTGATAAGTTTGGTTTTATCATATTTATGTAACATATTTCCTCTGACCCAAGATATTAACCACAACAATATTTCAAAACGATTAGTAAAATCGATATGAAAAATTAGTATTAGTAATTAGTAAAATCGAGAGTAAATAATTATAAGCCCTCCTGGTTTAGAACTTTGTTGCTATTTGTTAAAAATCTCAGATTACTGTAGAGCACCTTTAAATCCAAAAAAAATTGGATTTGTTTAAAACAGACTCATATCGATGTATATCAGTACATACAGGGTCACCCACAAAGGATGAGCCTGTTAATACTACAGAGTGTCCAATGAAACATGAAAGTTTGTGAATTATAGTTTTTAATGTCTTCTTCCGTGATACTGTATTAGTTATTCAAGACTTTTTGTAGTTTATTTCGTTAAACAAATCTTTTACTGAAATATATATTTGTCTGAAATCAACTTTACTATAATATTACTGCCATTTAGAATTTCTTTTCATTATCTTTGGTATCAAACAACTTAACAAATTATGGAAAAAGACATTTTAATCTATTCGCCAACTATCATGTTTCGTGGGATACCCTGTACCTAAAATACGGTAAAATAAACAAATTAATATGATCTTAAATAATTCCGAACAATATTGACTGTAGGTTCACTGTATGTTAAATATTTCTAGGAGTTTGACAAAAAGAATGAAAATTCTGGAACCAAAACCAGGTCTTCAATATTGTAAACCATTCTTTAGGTAAGATTTTGCTAAATTATTATATTTTTCTAAATTATGATATTTTTCTAAATTATAAAAGTTTGCTGAATTATCATATTTTGCTAAATTATAATATTTTGCTAAATTATAATATTTTGCTAAATTATAATATTTTGCTAAATTATAATATTTTGCTAAATTTAAAATTTTGCTGAATTATAATACATATTTTGGTAAATTGTGAAATTTTGGTAAATTATAATGATGGATAAATTTTAGTCTGTCTGTAAATTGAAATCTTTATGAAACTGAATTAATCTAAAATCATCTTAATTGTATTGTATCATTTGTATGCACCAATCTTAACATTTTGATAAAACTTAGCTCAACAACTTCAAGGAGTTTCAAAACTATTTTCCATCCACTGCAATCCTTTAATGACATCTTTTGATTCTCCATCCCCCCCACCGCACTGACCCCTTTTACAACCAAAGAGATGCGAAATATTTGATAATGGATAATTATGTTTACTGTTCAGGTCTGAAATTGCGTACACAAAACTTCTGAGGGAAGAGAGCCATTGTTTTCCAAAAAATAGCTACTAGTTTAAAAAATGTACAAAAAAGAACAAAGAAGATGAAGCTTTTTGCAGCAGATTTAGTCACAAAAAGAAGATTAAATTAATGAGCAGAAACGGCGACCTTCACAAATTAACTAATTAATTAATTTTGTAATTTGCCCGATGCTCTGGGTGCCATGCCCGGTAAAGGGAGGACACAAACATTCAACGTGAAAAGCTTAAAGGGACTGTAAGCGTAATTTCAATTTTATGTATGCAAAGATGGCGATGATAATTCCACAATCGTACCCTTTCAACATTATCTGATTAATTACGAGAAACTAGATTGAACTAGATTGAAATTGTTTAATTCTGATAACTTCCATAACTGTTTTTGCAGTAGAATTGCGCAAGTCACTTTTATAGTTAACCAAGATTGAAAATAAATATAGTTTTTAAAATTATAAAAATTTATATCTAATTCATACTTAATTGATCAGACAAAGCTGTCAAGGGTGCCGTAAACCACATAAAATGTAAAATTTTCATATTATAACAAAAATAAAATTTCAGTCAAACATCTTTATTAAAATAATTTCATAAAAAAATGCTGAACTCTCATTTTATCACATATTTAGAGAACTCTTTAACAAGAAATCATTTCATACGACTCTATAAATTCAAAAGATCTATTTCAAGCTATGTTAGACAAAAATGAGTCATTTTTTGGTATAATTGTAAATAAAAAAATATTGTATTCTGTATAAAATGTATAAAAATATATGTATTAAATTGTAACTAGATGACCTATAAAAACAAACAAAAAATAAAATTCTAAAAATATGAATTCATGATATTCACTTCATAATAAAAACTAATCTAAAGAATAGGACTTGAGAAACTTGTATGTTGAACATTCAAAAGTTAGGATGTTTAAATGCCAAAATGGAACTCTGACTATATTTCGGTATTGAAATCTTATCCTTTAAAATTAATCTTGTAAACTTGAAGGAGAAGTAAGATGGAGGGTTTGGAGGCTTAAGATGGAGGGTTTGGAAGCTTAAAATGGAGGATGTCCGACAATGCCATTGTTAGAGGACATCTTGAAAGAAGGAGTTCTGGGGATCAAAGGACACTCTCTCTAGAGATCATCTTGAGTGGGACTATCTGGAGATAACCTGAAGAGAGTGCTGTAGGAGGCAATTTTTGGAGGTCACCTGGAAAGTTCGTCCCTGCAGTAGGCCCTCTTTAGAGGTCATTTTGAGATGTTCCCCTTGGAGGCCCTTTGAGGAGGCCATGTAAGAAATCGCATCGGAAGGCCCGTTTGTGCGTCAGCTTTAAAGCTTGCTTTGAGAGGCCTTTTTGGAGGCCATCTAGAGAGTTTATCGAGGTTGTTCATCAAGGGGATCATGAGGCCGGGGTTCAACTTAATCTTAACAGTTTATTCCAGCATATTATCTAGTAAAATTCTAGGTTGGTATAGGATAGGAGAAGAGGTTAAGGAGAGGTTGAATATCTAGGGTTGAGGATATGCTGGAGAGATAGAGGAGACAAGAGATAAAAACCTGACGAACAGAACTCATCCCTGTATCCACTAGTTCATGAACCTGGATACAAAAATCAATAAAAAAAACTTGCAACTTAAAAAACATAACTTAAGATTGAAAAGGAAAAAATTGATTTGCACCTTTGTGACGAAGTAGTATTCTATATTGAAGTAGTGGGAGAGAATGTAGAAGTATAAGGAGAAGAAGGAGATGGTTAGAATAAATAAAACAACTCCCTGCAGTAAACTGTGCAGAAGACTTTCAGCAAAAAAATTTCTGAAATTGAAAATCATTAAAATGTTTTATCTAAAAAAACTTCGAAATTTTCTAAGTTAAAACAAAAAAATGGAACGAGTTCTTAAGAGACACACTTCCGGTCATTGCTTTTCTTTTTTGGCCTGCACTACTATAGTCTACCGGTCATTGGATTTAAAAATTTTGCAGTAAGCTAAATTGATTTTTTTAGCTTTTCTTTCATAATCATGAGCATCATCATCAAATCTCAAAGAAGTTTAAAAATATTTTTGCGTATTTGTTTAGACCAAGGTAAGGTAAGGTCATAAGAAAATGTTTTACTCAGAATACACTGATAATATACTCGTAATATACTATGAACTCATTTTCGGTGGCTGTACGATTGTATATTGGTTGTTTCTAAACAAACGGAACCGAAACTGGACTTGAACCGAAACATGAAATTGACCCAGTATTTAAACCTTATTAACAAAAATGTTTGAAAAAATTTGCCAAAAAGTTTTACTCTCCACTAAACCCTAGTATTTCTTCGGTCAGTGCACAGCAAATATTTGCAATACACACCGACAGCTTAGTTGAGGGTGGTTTATTTAAATAGATTAGTGTAAAAACGACTATTGTACCCCCCCCTACTATGAGTACTATGAGTACTATGAGTACTATGAGTACTATGAGTACTATGAGTACTATGAGTACTTGTTCGCATTTTTGCGCTTTAGCTAGATATAGCGCAATACATATTTGGTTTGTTGCAAGGTGAAAATATAATTGAAGAAGACCCTACAAGCTTATTTAAAATAACTAAATGACCAATAGAAACTAGAATATTTTTCCGACTATCGAATTTTGATCCGACCTGGTTCTGTTTTTAATCCAGGGATGATCCAGAGCCTCCTCCACCGTCATCCTCCTCTCAGGGTTCGGGCACATCAAACCTTTCACGAAATCCTAAAATAAGTTCAGTCATAATCTTTATCTATAAAGTAGGAATTTATGTTTTTTCTGTTTGTACTTTGTATGTCCGATCCTAACTCATGAACCACTTTATCGATCTGTCTCAAATTGGGAGACTCGGCTAGAACCACGATCTATGTTCTTAGCTTGGATTAAACATTTTAACTGAGTAGGGAGAAGGAGCGAGTAATTAATTAATATTATTACATTTTATTTTTTTTAATTAATTTTTTTTAAAAGCAGTACTCTCTGACATATATATATATATATAGATATAAACCTTTGATATTTCAAACTTTGATTTATTAATCTGGCAGAATTTATAGTTTGGAAATTAGAGTTAGGTGATCAGCTCCTTCATAAAATTGGTTGAAAAAATAACAAAAGGTTTTTAGCAACAATTATCCAAACAATAGTTTTTCATCTTGGCTTCAATTTAGAACCATACCTTCGCCTCAAGGCTGATGTCATCCCAAAAATTAGAGTGAAATTTATATTTTCCTCTAAACAGATAAAAAACATTTAAATTTGTTGAAAAAAAATAATTAAAAATATGAAAATCTAGATGTTCTGTAATCTGGACTGATCTGGATTACAGTTGTTGAACACTTTTCCAAAAAAAGTTGTTTTCATGAAAACGTTTATATAATTTAAAACTAAAAAATGTTTATTTTCCTCGCTATCTGTTTCAACAACTCAGTTTCCTCTCCATCATCCTAGAGTATACAATATAAACAATGTCATTATTTTCCTTCAAAAAAGTGACAACTAAAGGAAATGTTCAGTTTCAGAAAAAATACATTTAGAAAATTTTAATCAAGGACTGAATATATGAACAATGTAGATGCTGAAAATATGAACAATGTAGATGCTGAAAAAATGAACAATTTAGATGCTGCAAATATGAACAATGTAAAAAGCTTTGTAAATTAAATTGCTTTAATCACACAAAAATGTTAGACGTATATAACATACGCGTCAGAAAGTAAAAAATGCTTGAATTTTGTTGCATGTCATGAAATATTTTGTTGTATATTAGAAATAGAATCTGAACACCCAGGTTGTATAATACCACAAATACGAAGCAAAAGGCACAAAGTGTATCATTCTTACGTTTACAAATCTGAAAGAAGGAGTGTTTCTTCACATAATATGATAATTGTCGTTCAATTAAGTACAGTATAAATAAGTTAAGGAATGTTAAACGTGGTGTATAAATTTCAAATCGGGGGATTAAATTAATTTTTCAAGAAAAAATACAGTGTACACCCTGCTATAATATTAAAATATGTCAACAAATATCCGGAAGAACCTGTTTATCTCTGAAGAAAGGTGGATATCCACAGATAATTTTATAGGATATAACACCTGTTTATCTCTGAACAAAGGTGGATATCCACAGAGAATCATATAGGATATAACACCTGTTTATCTCTGAACAAAGGTGGATATCAACAGATAATTAAAAAGGATATAACACCTGTTTATCTCTGAAGAAAGGTGGATATCCACAGATAATTTTATAGGATATAACACCTGTTTATCTCTGAAGAAAGGTGGATATCCACAGAGAATTATATAGGATATAACACCTGTTTATCTCTGAAGAAAGGTGGATATCAACAGATAATTATAAAGGATATAACACCTGTTTATCTCTGAAGAAAGGTGGATATCCACAGAGAATTATATAGGATATAACACCTAGAGACCACATATCCTGGGCCCGGGTAGAGCTAGACCGTTTTATCACCTAGACAAAGTTAATTAAAGTTATAAAATTGAAAAAAACATCATGTTTTTGATCCACGAGATTAAGACGGGAAAAGTTTTCTCTTATTCAAATAACCAATACAAGATCAAACGCTATACGCAATTCTAATGTTCTTGAACCACTTTTCTATATTTCAGTCAACATCAATGGCCTAACTGTTGCTAAAATAAGGGATCTAGAACTTCTATTGGAAAGTAATGACATGGACCTTATCATGATGTCAGAAGTAAAAATTAAAAAAGGAGAGAGATTGGAAGATTTCAATGTCAAAGGATATAGACAGGAAGCTCACTCATGCAGAGGGTGGGATAATAGTCTGGATTAAATCCAATAAAAGCCTTAACGTGGAAGTATGGGAAAGTTTGTCATCTGTGAAAGTTGAGGTTTGATTCAGTTTTCCAAAAGTTTGCAATCGGTCAGGTCTATTTAAGAACCAACAAGATCATATCCACGTTTCTGATAACAAGTTACTCCTAGAACAGCTGAGAGAAGAGGTTCAATGGTTTGAGACCAGAGATTATGGAGTTATTTTATGGGATTTTAATTCTTATACTGGGAATGAACCTGTACTGGGATTCAAGTCACACACACATGATGTAAACAATAATGGGGCCCTTCTTATAAATTTCTGCAGGGAGATGAACCTGAGCTGCTTAAACACCATACCCTGGATGACTTCAGAGACACCAACTTTTAGAAGAGATTTTGGCCATGCTGCAATGTTCTTTGAGGTTAGGGTAAAGATTAGAAAAGTAGAGCAGGTTCAAACATCACATAATAATCAGCTTAGAAGGATAAGGAAATGGGATTGCTACAAGAGAATCCTGGATGAACAGTTACAGAGTCAGAGGGGGTTTTGAGGAACTAACATCAGATGAACAGGAAAGGTGGTTGAAAGGCAGAATACGAGCTGCTGGCATGTACTTGCAATCCCTAATCAATAACAAAGGAATAAAGAAAAAGCGGTTGCCACAGGATCTAGAGGAGTTGAACAAACATGTCAGGGTAGCCACGAGAATTTACAACTCACAAGACAGAAGATTAAGATCATCTGAAGAAAACACAATCAAGGGCGTATTCAGGAGGGGGGCTATGGGGACTATGCCCCCCCCTGGACCAGTGAAATCTATTGATTTCAGGAGGTTTTCAGGCCCCAACGGGTGCTGAGCCCCCCCCTGGAATGATTATAAAATTTAAGCCCCCCCCCCCTTAGACAAATTCTTGAATACGCCCCTGAACACAATCCTATGGAAACGGTGGCAAGATTTAAGGAAAAAGTTCTCAGCCAAATTCTACCTTAACCAACTCCGGGTTAAGCGTAAAACTAGGGCTCTCCTACTAGCTAGGGGACCCAAGGCTCATAAGCTCTTCTGGAATTTAGAAGTAGGGAACAACAAAAGGAAAATATGGATAGATATATAGGAGGATAACAGTCTACACAGAAACAAAAAACAAAATCTATAGTTGTGTAGAGGTTTTTTTCGCAAAAAAAATTCAAGGCATCTGAATTCAAACCTTACCCCCCAGAAGAACCTAATGATGATAAGGAGACAACCTCTAGACTAGGAAAACCTACCACAGTGCTTAATCATGAAGATGCACATGAAATTCAGAAACCCATCACATTTCTTGAGTTGGAAAACAATATCAAAGAGCTGAATGAGTCTAAAGCTGAAGGGAATGATGAGATCACCAACGCCATGATAAAGAACCTGCCAGATAATGCGAAGTTAATATTAATGGAGATTTACAACAATATCCTTCTCTCAGGGTGTGTTCCAGAGGATTGGAAGGCTGGGGAGGTTATTCTGGAATGAGCTATCCGAGAACTTTTTACTTTTTTTAAAGTTTCCAGACAACATTCGTCTCCTCTCAGGGTCCCTATCCTGGAGAAATGGTGTGTTGACTTTAAAATGGTTTTCTCTGTAATAACCCCCCCCCCTCTAAATTCCATGTTTGATGTCCAAATATGACAGCTGAAAGTGGATCAAAACAAAGATTTAGTCTGTTACAGGAAAAAGTAGTCATTCAGGCAGTGTGCCTGAGTACTCAGGCAGTAAGTATAAAAGCCTGGTTTTAGACCTAATGGGAGGGTTATGGATATTTAGGAAAAGTCAGAAAATTTCAACATCCTGAGACCGATACTTTTTCAGTTATGTGAAAAAACTACAATGAGGGGGGGGGGTCGAATTCCCCCCCCCCTCCACAGCAGGAACAGGGTTAAAGAAAAGGATCCTAAGAACTGTATTAACATTAAATTTACATGACATCTACAGCAAGTATTTGATAATATACATTTTATGCATACATATATATTCTGACGATGTACTTCCTGAAAAACTATAAACAGTCAATTCCATACCTCTGGAGCTAAATATGTTGCGGTTCCACAAACCGGAGATTCAGGGCTCAGTTCCTCTTCATAATCTGATAAACCAAAATCAGTCACCATCACCTAGACATCATACTGTTAGAAGACCGTCTGATCTATAGAAATTAGAAGACGAAAACAAAACCTTCAGTGAGATTTCTTTAAGGTTAGGTTCGTTCTTAGCAACTTATTTCCAAAACATAGTGTAACGTATATTTATCCAATGATCTAATCGAATAAGTGTTGTATTAAATAAATTTAAAAAACACTAACTAGGCTACACAACTTTTGTATATTGAATATCTGTAGCTGTTTAATTGGAATAGCCATAATTATCCGAATAAACACTTTTCAAGATAAATATACCCACATTATTGGTTACATCCAGATTTTAAATGATACCATCCTAATTCGACCATACTTCTATAATGTTAATAGAGGGTCACTTAAAAGGAGTGTTCGCAAAAAATGATTGGCTTATATCAAATTGAATTCGATATCGATAGTCGCTACGAACACTAATAATTTTACTTTTATCTGGGGAATATATGTATAAGGAGAAAATGGTTAATAACGACGACAGTCCCTGTGATTTAAATTGTCGGACAGTCCCTTTAATTTAAATTGTCGAACAGTCCCTTTAACTTAAATTGTCGGACAGTCCCTTTAATTTAAATTGTCGGACAGTCTCTTTATTTTAAATTGTCGGACAGTCCCTTTAATTTAAATTTTCAGACAGTCCCTTTAATTTAAATTGTCGGACAGTCTCTGTAATTTAAATTTTCAGACAGTCCCTTTAATTTAAATTGTCGGACAGTCTCTTTAATTTAAATTGTCGGACAGTCCCTTTAATTTGAATTGTCGGACAGTCCCTTTAATTTAAATTGTCGGACAGTCCCTTTCATTTTAATTGTCGGACAGTCCCTTTCATTTTAATTGTCGGACAGTCCCTTTAATTTAAATTGTCGGACAGCCTGTTGTTAAATTTCCCAGAATTTCACTTAAATCCTTAAATTCAAAAGTTTACACTTGACGTGGCTTAAACCAAAAACCAAAAGTTTAGCCCTTAGATTACACAAGAACAGATAACAATCTTGGACTTTGAAATCTAACATTGTGTACTTCGGGTCTAAGGATCATATATATTCTGTAAGGCTCAAAGTACAAAATATATTTGTTTGTTCAATTAAAATAAATATTTGCGAGTCAGAGCTTAATCGTTTATTTAACCCTAACCATATCATGTTGATTTGTGATCTCGGGAAAGAGGTTCGGACGCTATTTGTTTTTGTCGATTTGATCCATTTTCATCAGGTTAGTTTTTTTACAGGAATATTAAAATATTTAGGTAAGAAACGTTTAGTAAACATCTATACAAACGTCTGATTTTTCTGTGAGGGTGTCTGTACTCTGTATCCAATAAACGTCAAACTGCTGAACAAATCGGACCCATATATTTCTTGTGGAAACTCACATGACCCAATGAGATTTATGGGCAGTTAAAAGTGAAAAATGTAATTTTTGATATTTTAGAAATCTATAAATGTTTACAGAAAAATGTTCGAAATTTTGAGTTTTACAATGAAAAAGAAAAATAGCCACTTAAGAAGCTACAGTTAAAAGCGCGCTTAAATTGATGCTAGAGGACGGGCATGGTGCGCCCTGAAATCCTAGTTTTTAAAAAAAATCTTAAATTCACCTTAGAATCAGACTTATTATCATAAAGAAGAAGGTTTTCAGGTTTCAAATCTCTGAAAAAAATGTTGCATTTGAAGAAAATAAGCTCAAAATAATATTGAATGCCATGTGGATTATGAACGGGCTTCATACAAGAAGGCGTTGTGAGCTGAGCCCCCCCCCCTCATTAATAAATTCTAATCATTCTGTGGCCATTAAATTTTTTTTTTAATTGCATCCATTTTTTTCCTGTGAACAATTCCCAGACTATGCAAATACTTCACTGCTTCGAGAATCTAAATTAAAAATTTAAAAATAAAAAAAAATTGAATTTATTTAATAAGAATGTATTTACCTGATTCATTAGTTTAGCAGCTACGGGTTCCTGTAAACTACCAAACTCTAGAAGTTTATCAAATAATTCTCCTCCTTTGGCCAGCTCCATCACCAAACAGACCTGAGAATCAGATACAACTTTTTAAACTGGGAATTTTATTAATTTCAAATTGATTATGTTCTATTATTTGTCCAAAAGTTACTTGCGCATTCTTGAGCATGCAGGAACAAGAGAAATTATCAGAATTGAACACTCTTCAAGAGAATAATAACGATATATCTACCACCACACTATTTATTCAATAAAGTGTTAAAGGGTTGCAGTTGTAAATTGAACATGCCACCTTTTATTTTAAACTTAAGGTTTACTTGAATTTATGACTGCAGTCCCTTAATAAGTGTTAAAAAAAAAATATTTTATTAATCTGAGCTTCTCCCAGAAATAATGTCTTTAATGTTAAATTAATGGACTTTTCAGTGATTTTATAATTAAGTAGGAAGGAAATTTGTTGGTAAAAAACTGGGGAGAAATTATGAAAGTGACATAATTTTGTCCCAAGAAACATTCGAAATTCTAGGAAATCCTTCTGCCTAATTTTTCAAACCACAAATCTTTAAATTTTCTAATTACATCTTGGAAAATTGATTATATATGAAGATATTAAACTTTTAAATAGACAAAATATTTGTTTACCTCTTCTGAGTTGACGTAGACCTCGTATAATTTAACAATATTTGGATGGTCTAGTTGGGACATGATCTCAATCTCCTTCTCAACCAGAAACATCTTGTCCTCGTCCTTACACAACTCCTTCTTGTTAATCACCTGCTCACACAGTTTTTGAAACATATAACTTTGGAATTTTCAAAAAATAAATAATGCGATACGAGTAATAAACATATTACATTATTAGTACAATGGTCTTTCTTAATTGTGCTGTCAATATTAGCAAAGATATTGAGAATTTCGTTCAAATTTCAATTTTTTAAAATAAAACCAAGGTCGAAATCTGAACAAAATTAATCATCCGGTAATATTGAGATCACAAATACATTTTGGAAATACCAAGACTAGAAGTATTTTGTGTCTTAACTTAGGTTTAGGAATAAATGTCGTAAATAATTTCAAATATCAAAGACGACCTTCAAGTCGTCTTTTTTCGTAGAACACCCTGTATTTAAAAGTTAATACTCAACGGAAAATAGTATCTGAAACAAGAAATAAAACGGCGACATTTACCGAAAAACAATGCCATTCAAAAATATGAAAAATATCCCAATTTAAAATTGTCAAATAACGACATTTAATAAAATAAAGAGGATAAAAAACGACTTTTTTTCTCACCTTAACAGCGGCTAGACCCCCTTTATCAACATGAGACTCGGCAAGATAAACTTTAGAAAACGCACCTTCTCCTGAAAAAAAAATTAATTGTTGTAAAAGTAAAGGTACTGCAACACTTACTTGGCTAATAAACCTTATATCTTTGCAACATATGCAATGTTGTAGTTCCTTGGGGATATTTTCAACATATGTAATGTTGTAGTTCCTTGGAGATATTTTCAACATATGTAATGTTGTAGTTCCTTGGGGATATTTGCAACATACGTAATGTTGTAGTTCCTTGGGGATATTTTCAACTATGAATACTTCTAGGTCCTGGTTAACTATTCAAGGTTTGATACATCATGTAGGTTTTTAAGATTTAGAAAAGATTCGAAAATTAAAGTGTTAGGCAATTCTTCAGTTCCTCTAATTTGAAGTAAAAAAAACATGATTCTTCAACAATGTCCATTTTACAATTGGAAAAACATTGGAAGAAATTAATAATAAAGTTTTTAAAAATCTATGTCGTTCTTTAAATAACATTTTTTTTTGAAAAAGTTACCTAGGAGTTCTAGCAATGTGTAATCATCTGTAATTACTCCTCCAGGGACTACCTAGCAAAAACTATTTTACACTTTTTATTCATAATCATATATCTACATTAATTTTTCCATGATATACAATATACAATATACATCGATGTATATGTTGAATTTTGTCAAATTCCTATCTGATGGTTTTGCAATGAAATTTTTCTATAAACCTTCCTAAACAGAGAGCCCTGTCAAAAACATGTTAAAAGTGAAGACTTTAATTCTCTTAGAGCATAAATTAGTATTTTGAGGTATTTCTCTTTAGAAAAATTTATTAGGAAATAAGTCGTTTCAGAAAATGACTATTGTATATGAGAAGATGCCCATGGAAAGTTGCCTATGGATAGTGGAAAGTTCCCAATGGAAAGTTGCCAATTGAAAGCTGCCTATATGGAAAGTTGTCTATTAGAAGATGCCTAAAGATAGTTGCCTATACGAAGTTGCCAATGAGAAGTTGCCTAAGATAAGTGGCCAAAGGAGAGTTTCTTATGTGTAATGTCCTTGGGAAAGTTGCCTATGGATAATGGCACATTCCAGTCTTGACCCGGCATTCAGTCTTGACCCGGCATTTCAGTCTTGACCCGGCATTCAACCTGTTAGCAACCAGCTCTCTCCTCCCTGCCTAGTTTGGCCGCAAACCTGTGTTGGCCCCCAAATCAGCTGAAATGTTGGGAGCGACCACTCTACCTGGTCAACCTGTTTCAACTTAACAAATACACATGGGTTCAATACAGCGGGTCCTGGCTCTATACCAGGAATTTGTGAAGGCCGGTGAATCTGTGGAGCTGAGGTTATGGTCTAGAGGAGGTAAAGAATGTTTTTCCTTCTCCCAAACCCTCGGTACCCTCCCCCAGTCTCTTTCCAGGATGCCGAACAGGAGGAGAAAAAGGAGGAAAAGGGTGAGAAAGAGCAGAAAAAAATTAAAAGAAAATGAAACCATCCCTTCTTCCAAGGAAGCACCTATGGTGAGGTCAATGCAGACTCTTCCGAACGTGGTTGTGTCCCGGATGACTCCCAGTTCCGTGGTGATGTCCCAGATGACTCCCAGTTCTGTGATGTCCCAAGTGACGCCCACTTCCGTGATCCAAGTGACTCCCACTTACGTTGTAAGGTCCCAAGCGAGTACTTCCACTTCCATTGTGAGAACCCAGGAGACTCCCATTTTCGCCGTAAGGTCCCAAGATACTCCAACTTCGCCGGTGAAGTCCCAGGAAACTCCCCAGTCTATACTAATGTCCCAGAAAAAATCTGTATCCAGCTCCAAGAGAACTGGTCAGTCATCTGCGCAAAGGGAAAGGGAGCAGAGAGACGAACAACATAAAAAAATTGAAGAATTAAACGCATCTTTGGTCGCGGAGTGCAAAAGATTTTTAACACTCAAATAGAATTATTCCGCATCATATTAGATATATACAATAAATTGTAATAATGTATGTTAAAGTAGTTATCTATTGTAATGATGAATGTAACGAAACCTAACTATAAATTAGTATGTATGCAAACGATAAGCTTTACTAAAATAAATATTTAGATATTAAAAAGATGATGGCACATTGCCGATGGAAAGTTGCCTATGTAAAGTTGCCTATGTAAAGTTGCCTATGTAAAATTGCCTATGTAAAATTGCCTATGTAAAATTGCCTATTTAAAATTGCTTTTGGAAAGTTGCCTATGTAAAATTGCCTATAGAAAGTTGCCTATGGAAAATTGCCTATGGAAAGTTGCCTATGGAAAGTTGCCTATGGAAAGTTGCCTATGGAAAGTTGCCTATGGAAAGTTGCCTATGGAAAGTTGCCTATGGAAAGTTGCCTATGGAAAGTTGCCTATGGAAAGTTGCCTATGGAAAGTTGCCTNTAGGAGAAGTAACCTAGGAGAAGTAACCTAGGAGAAGTAACCTAGGAGAAATAACCTAGGAGAAGTAACCTAGGAGAAGTAACCTAGGAGAAGTAACCAAGGAGAAGTAACCTAGGTAAAGTAGCTTAGGAGAAGTAACCTAGGAGAAGAACCTAGAAGAAGTAACCAAGGAGAAGTAACCTAGGAGAAGTAACCTAGGAGAAGTAACCTAGGAGAAGTAACCTAGGTGGAGTAACCTAGGAGAAGTAGCTTAGGAGAAGTAACCAAGTAGAAGTTGCCTATTGAAAGTTGTCTGTTGAGAGTTGCCTATAGAAAGCCTTTGGGAACTTGACTATGAAATTTAAATATGAAAAGCTGCCTATGGGAAGTTGCCTATTGGAAGTTGCCTATGGAAAATATACCTTGACATGACTCATGAACTCCTCGTCTGAATCTGAAGTATCGTTGATGGAGCTGGAACCAAGGGAGAAGAGAGAGGATCGACGGGAGAGAGGACGGGACGGAGGCAAGGACTGAAAACCACTGTCGGAGGAATGTCTAGCAAAAATATACAAAAATAAAAAATAAACTGTTAAATACAATGAACAGGAATGTCAAGTGACCCTTCAACTGTATATCAAGTCCGATATACCCTTTAACTTTTGAACGATCAAGGATGAAAGAGATATCCTTATTTTTCCATCAGAAAAGTTATTATATTCATTTCTGGTCTCTCAATAAAATGTAACTATGCGGATATGTGATCATGAAAAAATTAAGGAAATTATTTTTTTTAAAAATTTTGGTTAAACAAATAAGTTTTTTAAAATTTGAGTGGATTCGGATAAAACATAATTATTTTTTAGCATTTAACATGTGCTATTTCATGTGTATTTCATGTGAAATTATATGAATGATATTATTGAAAACATGATTATTCTAAAAGTAAAAGTTTATATGTAGAAATACCAGTATCTAACAAAAGCGTATGCAGGAATTTGTCCAGGGGGCTGTAACATTATTTGAAATTACAATGCATTGCAGACTGCAGAGCTAAACCATCCCTTCATGCAGGAACGGTTCAATTCAAGTTTTCAATTAAAAAACCTACTTGCTGAAAGATCTGAGAAGAGGGAAGAATGAGGATACTCTTGAAAGAATTGATTGTGTACTCCACACTAGTTTATTTACCATAGTACCACCTAAACACAAATAATATAATTACTTACCCTCAGCCCAAGCTCAGCTGCATTATATCTATACATATAATTTGCTTGTCCGCCTGTCTGTCCGTTCACGTCCAATATGCGTCAAAACGGCGGACCTCTCATGACGCAAAGGAAGGTTTATGAATGCTCAAAATTAGAGCAATTTGTGGCCAAAGTTCTTGATTTTGTTAAATATTGAAAATGTGCGAACTATTTTGCTCTTGTTTCATTTAAAGGAAGAGCCACAATTAAAATTTGAAAGAGGAGATGGGTGTGCAGCGCACTAAAAGCCCAGTATAGTACAACATCACCAATTATACACTAATTACATTTTTTATAAATACACATGCTGTAATTGTATGACACTTTTGTTTGTTTGTGTTTAATCAATTTCTGCGGACAGAGATTGGGCCGAGCGCCGCGGCTATATGAGGCTAGAAATCGAGCGCTTTGGCTAGGGCATGATAGGGGATCAATTTGTAGGTGTAAATTCAAAGCATCATTTATATATATATTTTGGCGGAGAGATCACCTGGTGGCCAAGGATTTTAAGAACCCAAGTGAGATGGCGTTACACGCCGATAAGTTGTGGGATGCTCGTAGAGCACAGTCGGTTGATTCTTCTCTACTCGCTGCAGCTTCTACGTCGCCTGCTCGTGCTCGAGGCAGAGATCGTTCTGATGGTTCCCCTGTCCGACGAAGCCAGACTCCAGGACCCTCAGGAGCTGGTGAATGTTACTTTCATAAACGGTTTGGAANGTTTAACTTGGGACTTAGAAAAGAAAACGTATTCACTAGTCCGGGGTCACCAATTTGGCGGATAGCAATAAGACGAGAAATGATAACGACTAACTATATTTTTTATCTAAGTTTACAAAGTAGAAAATATATATATCATGACGTGGCTTCTGGAAAACTCCCTCTATTCTTCTACTTGCCGCGAAAAGGTTCTTCTTAGGAAAGACGACTTTCATAGCCGCCACAATATATTAAGTGTGAAAATACCTAAAATTCTAGAAATTTAACTTTATACGAAATGTAACTTTAAAGCAAATGTAACTTTATGAAATGTAACTTTATGAAATGTAACTTTATGAAATGTAACTTTATGAAATGTAACTTTATGAAATGCAACTTTATGAAATGTAACTATATAGCAAATGTAACTTTATGAAATGTAACTGTATGAAATGTAACTTTATGAAATGTAACTTTAAGAAATGTAACTTTATAGCAAATGCAACTTTATGAAATGGGGCTTTAAACAAAAACTATGACTAAAAAGTACATCTAGTTATGTAACTTTATAGCAAATGTAACTTTATGAAATGTAACTTTATGAAATGTAACTTTATGAAATGTAACTTTATAGCAAATGTAACTATATGAAATGCACCATATTTATATGATATGTATTGTAGAAAGTTTTATTTAGTTACGGTTATTATAGAAAGTGTATGAATTTTTACTGCGCTCCCCCCCTCCCCCATCCTCCCCATGTAGCAACATTATCATATAACCCTCTTAATCAGAATTGGATTATATTATCAATCCTTCATTATCAAATAAGAACTTGTTTAGCTAAACTGAACTTGAAATTATGCTGCATTATTACTTATTAAGATATATGCACATAAACATATATTTACCATATTTAGCCATATCTGATCCCCATGGTAACTACAAACGATCGACGCGAACAGCTGTTTTAACATAAAAAGTAGCAAAAAAAACGATTATTAAAAATGTCAATGGAAACCTAATTTCGGAGCTTGCTTTGAGAGAAATCCCTTGTAGGGTTGAATTTTGGGATACTTTTTTTTGGCCCGTTCTCCCAAGTTCTTAAGGGCCGCCCCTGCCCCTCTTATCCTTTTTAGAAAAGAACAACCACCCGTGATTAAAATCTTAAAAATTTTTATTCTTCCTTGTTCATTATCCTACCTTGTTTATTATTCTACCTTGTTCATTATCCTACCTTCTTTATTATTCTACCTTGTTCATTATACTTCCAAGTCCATAATCCTACCTTGTTCATTAACCTACCTTGTTCATTATCCTACCTTGTTCATTATCCTCCCTGGTATGATGACGGTGTCGTCTCCGTGTTCTTGTAAACCCTCTCTCCTCTCCCTCTTCATCATCCGTCCCTCGCAACCTATCCTCCATATCCTTCTCTCGGAGCTCGCGCGAGATTTCTCGCGATCTCGTCTCCCGAGAGATCTCTCTTGATCGGTTCTCCCGTGATTTACTGATCCTATTCACAGTATGCGCGATAAGTTCCTTGTTAACCTTTTCAGAGAAATCCTCGCAGATATGATCAATGTCGTCTTCGCTTGCATCGTCGTCTTTCCCTTCCTCCACCAGTCTAGACTCCATTTTTACTTCTGATACAGGAAATAAAATTTATTAATTTTTAAAACTCTAAAAGAACACGTAACAAATCTTTACCAAACAAAGAGTTATGAACTAAACGCCATTAGCCCCTCTGTTACCCTAACCCAACAATTTCAAAATTTAGAAACTGACTTTATAAACTTTTGGAGTTTATAGCAACATATTAATACACGCTTTATTAATTTCGTTTCGTTTTTTACTTTTGTTTTTCTATTTTTTCTTTTTTAGCCTTTTTCTACCCTCTATGGTGAATAGTAGTGATTCTTTTATCTCTATCCTTTTAAATCCCCAAAATTATTCAGTTATTCTATTTCATGCCCTTTTTTGTTTTTGTTTAATTGTTATTTTATAATCTTATTCATCATTTTTCATCATTTATAAGCGCAATTTTTTCAATAATAGGTGAGGGCTTTACGAAGAAATGTTTATGCATTATTATGGATGAAGAAAAACTGCGAAAAAAGTTGTATAACGAAGTTTACGTCAAGAGGCCAAAATGAATCATGATCAAATTTGATTAAATCTTAAACTTCACAACTATAGTGATTGGCAATCATGCTGTATTCTTTTATCTAGAACTTTTCAGGGTTTTGCACTTGTAAAGGGCACCATACAAAAACTGTGAACTTGCTCCAACATTTCAAACGCGCATTTTGTAAAAGTTAAGTTTTATTAAACTATGCAAAATTCTTATCCTAAAAAAAGCGGGAAAACACACCAAAAAACGTTTAAATTAAAAAGGATCCTTCATTACTATAAACCACAACAGTGTACACATTTAACAGTCACAACTTGATCTTTATTCTTTGACCAACCCCCCTCTCCTCCTCCCATCCAGCCCTTGATAATATATTTCTGTAACCCTTTGCCCCCTTCCCCCACCGGACTAACGCTTACCCCCCATCCCCCATGCACTAGTTCACTCCGTTAGCAACAATCTAGACGAAGACTCATGTGCTAAAACTTTGATAAGAACTTAAGAAGATGCGAGATTTACATAGATACATAGAACATGAGCGTTTAAAGTGGGGGCTAAGAGGGCTGAGGCCCCCCCCCCCATCCCTTCAAAGAGGCAAAACAAATAATCATACAAGTTACACAATAAGCTATTAGTATTATAAGATTGAAAAAGCTAAAACTTTAACAAGTAACAAATTATCTTTTTTCCATCTCATAATCTGAGTTCGTTTCCCTTATGTCCATTTGACAGCCCAAATTTTTATTTTAAATAATCTTTTTTGTTTGTGTATATTCTTGTGATTTTTTACATTTTTTTATTTTCTAATCGATTTTGATGGTTATAATATCGTTAGAACTGACGAGGGTCAACCCAGACCGAAATATATTTTCAATAAATGTGGAACTAACATCTACTTTTTTAATTTACAGAGGTTTGGTCCATCACCATCACCGAATTTTAAAAGATATAAACTTTTTATCAATTAAGATTTAAAAGCCAAAAAACTGTAATAAATGTATTTCACTATTTATTAAAAATGATGACATGAACTAGCGTTCAAGTGAAAATATTTTTTTCACGATCAATAAAAAATGTAAAAAAAAATTAAATATTTATTTAAAGCATTTTAACCTGCTCCCGAAAATAATAATTTGGTAACTTATTTTCTAAATAAATAATGACACCCCCCCGCCCCCCTCAGCTGCATTTTATAAAAATAAATTTAGTGTTTAAAACTTATCAATTTGTATGCTAATGATAAAAACTAGGATGAAGATGAACTATTCTTTAACAAGATGAACTTGACACAAATAAAAAAAATTTAGGCAAACAATTTTAAGGGGGAGGGGACAACTTTACAAGGATACTTGAACCCCCATTTCGCATCATCAATTAGAATTGACAAAACAATATTTAACTTTTCTACAAAAATGAAATGACCGCACATGTTCAAGTGGACATTTTGTTTTAAAATTTAAGTTTTCATAAATCTAAAATCTATTTTCAACATAGAACATTATATTTTCCTACACCTGGCCCTAGGTTGCTTGACACTTGAAAGAACAAGCATAATTGTGCCCTGAGTAAATGTGTAACTGAACCGTTCTTATTCAAGTTAAGCGTTTAACTGCGTTCAATTAGGCCTTTAAATAAGCCTGAATATCGGCTTGAATAGTTGATTGTATAAACAGTCTAAAGCATGATCTAGGCCTCACTGAATAAAGTTCAATAGTTTCAACTCATTCAGAAAATCAAGATTAAAAGGGATCCTTTGCGATTTTTATCATAACATAACTTTTTAAAGATACTCAATTCTTTATTATTGAATAAAATAAAAAGCTTTGAAGCCTAAAATATTGAGATAACAAAATTCTCACTGCTTTAATTTGTTTTATAGTTAAACCCCTGTTGATTTGTAAACAAAGAAATGAATAAAAGCTGTTTCAGCATTTAAACGGTTCTACATTTTTAAAGTTTAAACCCTGCATAGTTTTAAGAACTGGAAGGGGGGGCGGGGTAGGGGGGGAGGCACAACCAACCTTGTCATTTTTCAAGGAAGAAGATTACAGAGAAAACGGATTGAACAGTTCTGTGTTACATAACATCGATTAGAAAACTAAACTCATGAAATAAAACAAAACAGGAAAAATAACAATGATATGCGAAAAATTATGAAAAAGATAAGAAAAAAAACAGCTTTTAAACCAAAAAATAATATTGTCATCTAAAAATAAAACTCGTCTCTCAAAGATTACAAACCAATATCAATATTGAAAAGCTTCAAGGTTATACTTAACATTGTATGTGCATTAAGAATGTTCCAGCAAATAAAATTTTAAAATTTCAAAAGTCACAAAAAAATTGAATGAAACATAACAAACATGGGCCGAAAAACTGTGTAGACAACTTTTTTTAGATAAATGGAAAAAATAGACAAATCAAAAAAACACGATTCGATCCATTAAAACACAATATTGCAGCTGAAATAATTCAATGTTTAATTAAATATATATATTGTGTAACTAAAATATTAAATAAACCTGTGGAGAATATTCTAGTTATATCCAGGGAGAGAGATAAGAAGGAGACAAAATAAAAACATTCTGTTTTTAATCTTGTCATTGTTTTAACACAAACAAAAATAAGATAAAACAATTTTTAAAAAACGACTTTCGAGTTTAAACATCAAATTCTATGTATACTTTGCTTGTCTGGGTGTCTGTTTGTCTGTTTATTTGTTTGTTTCCAATAAACGTCAAAACGGCTGAACTGATCAGGCAAAAATTTTTTGTAGAACCTTACATGACCCCAGGGGAGGTTTATGGACGAAAAATAAATCACGGGCTCTCTAATAATTTTGCCCCAACTGTACCCAATTTAAGAAAAAATCGGTGAAAAATAATTCAGGATCATTTTTAAACGAATAATTATAACACAGAGCTTTTATAAACATTTAAAGCAACCTTAATGGTGAAAATTGAACTTTCATCAAAAATATTGTTTAATTCTATCAAAAAAACATTAAAATTCCTGTAAACTGTACACATGTACCGATAAATTATAGTCATATAATATAAGTAATATAATTCTAACTAATTTTTAATTTTATTTATAACATAAAATTTTAAGAAATAAAAGCTAGCTCAAAGATTTATTTTAAAATTATTGTTAAATTTCATAAAAAAAAATATTATAATTACAGTCTCTTTTAGCTCGATAACAAATATCCCCCCCCCCTCCCCCTTTTTTGATTTTCTTCCCAGATACCAATCAATACAAAATTACTAACAAAGTTTTTTTTTCAATTTAAAAGCTTATTTATAAAACAGAGGTTTATAAGCTAGAATAAATATTGAACTTCCAGCAAAAAATATCACAACTGTAATAACCAATAACCAATAGCCATCAATTATAGTTTTATTTTACTGAAATATTTTCTAAAAACTGTTCTGTTAAAACCATAAATGTAGCCTTTAGTTATTTTATCACACTGATGCCTACTACACATGAAATTGCCGATTAAAAGTTCTATCTCATTTTCAAATTCATAACACTGAGGTTTTATAAGCAAAAAATAAGGCAACCTTGAAGAAAAAATCGTTCTTTCCACAAAACCTTACTTTAAATCAAAAACATTATATATGAAATCCCAAAATTCAACTGTTCCACCCCCCCCCTTCCATCCCACCTTTCCCTTCAATTTTTTGTTTATCTATTGTACGTATTTACTGGTCAGTCCCAATCCCTAGGCCATAAACTTGTACTTAGTAAACCCTAGGCCTGGAATCTAAGGCACTATTCAGGCAGAATTAGCCAGAACTTTACGATCAATTTTTCACATATTGTGCATTAACATTTATCAATGGTAAAACTGTACTGAGAATAATTGTACGGTTATGATGAGGAGCATGCAGTACGTTTACAAAATACATAATGAACTATTACTTACCTCTTAACCTGCAGTATAAAATATTCTTTCATAAACGAGCTGAGCAAATTTTTAGAATAAAAATATGTCATTGACAACAATTTACAGCTTTGATTTTTTTTTTATAGAGATGAACCAATAAAACAACTTTAATATGGTTAAAATAAACCAACTTAATATTCATAGAAATAACAGTGTTCACAACGAAAGTGGAGATTTAAGACTAGCGGATTTCAGTCCGATATGATATCCCCCTCCCCTTAGCTCACATTCACTGTTATATATTGAGCCCCCCCCCCTCCTTATATGAACACGCAGGCTGCGCGTGATGTCACAATTAAGTGCGTTATTTACACAGAAATACAGAATTTGCAACATTTTTGAACAACAATAATAATTTTCTTTGTCTATATTAATTGTTAAAAAATTCTTATATTTCCAATTTCTATTTCGTAAATGTTAGACATAGAAAGCGATGTTTAAGACATTAAAAGTTATAAAGTTGACATGTATTAAATACGCATTTAGTTTTATAATTATATATTCACAAATATTTTACTTTAGTTTATCATGACTATTTTACAGATACAGCTTTCACTTTCCCCAAAATATTTTTTGACAAATTAGTTTTTATTTTTCAAGAGGGTCATCGGATAGGCTTATGCCCCCTTTCCCCCTACGTATCAGGATGGGATGAAAAGAACCATATGAATAAGAGTTTATAAAAACAAGCCTTTAAATTGGTGAATTAAAAAAATAATAAATTTCGATATTTTGGGCTCGGTCGGTTCAGCTATGTTTACTTTTATTGGATACAAACGGACAAACAAATAGACGAGCAAAGTATATAAATAGAGTGAGAACCAGAAAATTCTGGAATATGAGGACGACTTTTAGACTTAAGTTATGACTTTAATTAGTTCAATGAACATGAGACACGGCGATTTCGTAGTGTATACTATACTGTATATACAGACCAATTTAAAAGTGATTTTGTAAGTTACTATTTAACTTAAAGACTTTGCTAATTAAAGATAGCGCGCATCAGAAAATCTACGCAAATTTGACGCATTTTGTGGGGGATCCAACGATAGTAACAAATGTCGTCTTCTCTAATAATCCAACACTTCTAAAGATGTTGACGTTTCATAATTTCGTCTTTTGTAATGGATTTAAGAGTTATTTAAAAACAAAACTAGAAAACCACTTTAGTTTACTATCTTGAAATTTTTAACTTGTCCAAATTCCATAAAAGTGACTAGTGGATTTTACACAACAAAGACAATTAACATAATTTACTTTTTAAGATGAAATAACGACGATATCTTCCTCATTGTTACCAAGGTAAATGTTTAAATGGAACCTTTGTTTATATATAGGACCTTTAATAGGTTTGTAACTTAAAATTACATCTATCAGTCCCTTAGAACATTTCCTTTCGGTTTGAAGTATATGAAGTGTTTATAAGAAGAAAATTAATGTCTTATAGTTCTTAACAGTAATCAATTATCTCATTACTTTTTTATTCAAGATTGAATTCTCTTTCTACCAGATTTATATGAATTATTTAAAAATATAACGTGATAATATTTATTTAACAATATAATAGTTTTAACACACTCTGGGATCTATCAGCGTAAGGAATTCATATGATCCAATCAAAGATTCTTCATCCAAACTTTTTTCTTTTTGGGTCTGCTGGTCAGTGGCGTAAATAAGTGGGGTTATTAAGGTTTCTTACCCCCCCCCCTAGAATCCTGGGGGTAAATACCCCCCTCTAGAATCCTGGGGCCCCTAGAATTTGTTTTTAAAATTGAATATCTTTAAAATTCGCACGAAAATAATTCAAATGTGCAGATACTTCAAACTTTGAATTATTTTGGTAAAATATTCTAAGTTTGAAATATCAAAGGTTTACACCACTCTGTGCAAAGATTTAGGGATTAGAATATTTGAGTTCCAAATCTAGAGAAATTTGTGGCAAACTTCTAACTGATTATCATATTTGATAACTTGTTTATCTTCTTTAAACAAACTTCTATAAAATCAAAAATGAAATAAGATTATGAATGTTGGTTAGAATGATTAATCATATATTCAATAACTTCAGGAGAAAAGGTAACATTATCTGTCCTTTTTCAATGTAGATGATTAAAATTATATACGTGTAAACAATCTAGATCCGAGATAACGTAATGATAACTCTACTCAAAGTCTAATTAGAATCTAAATGACTCTATCTCTCGCCAAAATACCGGCTCTCTATCCTTAGCCAAAACTCAAGGCTATATATACATCTGTATTGAAAGATCAATCTCATTGAACTAATTTATTTTATATACAGGTGAAATTAAACTGACCGTACTGGCCAGTAAGGGTCAACATGAAATATGATAAGATAGATAAACGAACATAGATAAATCAGAAATTACTAGCATGTTTACATAATTCATTACATGTGTATTTTGATGTATTTTTTTCAAATGATATAAATGATTATTTCTTGTAATTATATCTGTAATTAAACAAGGTACTTAACAAATTTTCTTTGGCGCTCCGCGCACACATGAAAAGAATTGATTGACTCATATCATTAATTTTATAGCTGTTGAAAGTATAAATGTTTTTAAAAACACAAGAAAAGAAAAAGATTTGAATTGAAAGCAGCCAAATCTGCATGCAACAACTGAAAATTTCCTTTTTTCGTCATCAAACCCTTAAAAAAGAACTTTTATTTTGAAATTTTTTTCTAAAGGGGTGACAAGCCCCCCCTACACCCAAGATATTTTGCCCCCCCCCTCTAGCAAAAGTGCTAATTGTTCCTCTGGAAATTAGAATATAAACAAAGACAATATTTTTACAAATTTTTGCAGAGTAGCTTTCATAAAGATTTAAAAAAGTAACATCTTTTTCCTCTTAGAGTAAAACTATTTTTTATGTTACTTAAAATAAATTCAGTTTTTTTACAGATCTTTGTAGTTAATGTAAAATCATTCTCCTCTTATACCTTCCTTTCTCTTCTTAATCTACCTTTCTCCCCCTCTTCTACCTTTCTCATCATCTCCTTTCCTTCTCTTCTTAATCTACCTTTCTCCTCCTCTCTTTTCCTTCTCTTCTTAATCTACCTTTCTCCTCCTCTCTTTTCCTTTTCTTATTCTACCTTTCTCCTCATCTCCATTCCTTCTCTCCTTATTCTACCCCTCTCCTCCTCTCCTTTCCTTCTCTTCTTAATCTACCACTCTCCTTCTCTCCTTTCCGTTCACGTCTTAATCTTCCTTTCTCCTCCTCTCCTTTCCGTTTCTTTCTTATTCTACCCCTCTCCTCCTCTCCTTTCCTTCTCTTCTTAATCTACCNGGGGGGGGTCTGGCTTACCAACCAGAATCCGGTTCTCTAACAACCAACCAAGGATAAACCAGTATACCTGTATATACAGGGTATACCTGCCATACCTTGATCTATCTATCGATCTACTTGAAGCTGATCTAGTATACCTGTACCCCTATCTATCTATCTATATATCTAGTTTACCTGTTTAAAGGCAGTTGTAACAACTACACCCAATATTCAAACTGAACCAGATACATTTATGTTTCTATCATCATGTGATTGTATAATAAAGTGAAATTATCCTTTTTGTAAGAAATCAGTGAAATATCATGAATTGTTGAAATCAAGAATAGAAATAAAAACCGTGAAAGATGGGTTGGATAAAGATTGTTTTATTCTTGACTTTATTTTTCACTCCGATTCTTCTGGAAAATGTCGACCTCAAGTTTTGTGTCCTCTCTGAGGCCGAGATGGCCAAGTGCCAGGCCATGGCCGAGGCCACGCTGGGCGATCAGGAGAACAACGACAACAGCTTCGGGTCATACTTCCACAGAATAAAGTGCACCATGCCTTACTTCAGCCCTGAAGATTGTATGAGAGATATGGCCAGGGAAGATCCCACTACTCCTAACGTAATTGTCGTCGATGCCGGGGATGTTTTCGTCGGCGGCCGATATCATTCTCTAGTTCCGATCCTTCGTGAGGTTTATTTGGATGATAAGGATTATTATCATGCTGTTGCTGTGATTAAGAAGGGTAGTTTGCCCGATGTAAGTACACTAGAAGATCTACGTGGAAAACATGCTTGTTTTGCTGGAGTAGGTACACAGGCAGGTTGGACTATACCTGTATATAAACTTATAAATGACGGTATAATGCCTGTTGTGGACTGTAACAACCACGTCAAATCAACCGCAGAGTTCTTCGGAACTTCCTGTGCCGTGAACACACTTCAGGATCGGTATAATCCACTCGGAGATAACTCTAACTCTCTATGTGAATATTGTGGGAGTGATGAGCCTGGGATCCGGTGTACTATCAAGGATCCGTACTCCGGGTTCCGCGGAGCTATCATGTGTTTGAAGGAGAAGGGAGATATTGCTTTTGTGAAGCATAGTACGGTTCAAGAGAATGGTTGGGATGAGAATGAGTTTGAACTCCTCTGTGTTGATGGAAGCAGAGCTCCTCTGGCCAATTTCGAGGCATGTAGTTGGGGCGTAGCTCCAGGGCATTTTGTGCTAGTTTCCTCCGCCCTGGATCTCAATGAGAGGCGGAGCATTCAGAGGTTTCTTGTCCGCCTTGTGGACAAGTACAGGGGCGTGGTCACCAATAAAACAATTGCCCTGGGAACCATTACGGCGGACGATGTGGAGATAAGAACTAAAACCAATGAACTCGCAATTTTGAACGAGGTATTTGAGGAGATAAAAGATGAAAACGAGGTTGGGACGGATAAAGTTTCTCTAGATGATCCGTCCTACTCTAAGGATCCATCCTTCTCTTCTTTCTCCGTCAAGAATTATAAGAGATACGGAAATGTTCCCAATCTTATTTTCCAGGTTAGTGTTTCGTTATTTTAATTCTTCATCTATTTATTTCATGTATTTAGATGCGCCCGTTTTTTTGTTCCAAACTTGAAAGTTGTTGACAAGATAAGAACTTTAGTTTATAGTTCTAAATGATTCTTTAATTCTGTTCGAGGGGAAAAAGATATTATTTATTATTATTTACCTCTTATCCCATTTTATATTATAAAACGTTGTAAACAATAGATGAATATCTAACAACAAGTAGAAGGACTTCCAGGTTTATCCACAAAGAAGGAGTCTTCAAAGATGACTGTAGTAAATGTATTAAGTCTGTATTCTATATCTATAATTTATTAAGTCTGTATTCTATATCTATAATTTGTTCTATTCTTTCCGTGTCAAATCAAACAGTTTGTCATTTACTATCCACAATTAAAGGCAGTCTTCTGATCATTACATTCTAAGAGTTTAAGATTGTCATTTAAAGCTCATTCTTTGCGGGTAACCCTGTATGCTGTACAACGATATTTATTATTATAGAGATTTATTCACACACAAAGATATAAATACATATATAAATGGTGTAGTTTAAATTTGTTTAAATAATTTTTTTTTGAAAATACATGTTTCCAAAAGAAAAGAGAAAAAATTTGCAAAATTATGCACAAATAGAAAACATTGATTTATACTCATTACATAATATATTTATCATTTCAGTTATTACGTAATCATCGAATCCTTCAACATATAAATTATTCATTCTTGTATTTAAAAGTTCTCGTAAAACCGGTACTTTCCATTCATGTTGCAATGGGACATAAAAATATTTCATTTGTTTCTTAACTAACATTTTACTAAGATCCAAAGGATTTACAGAACAATCATTTGCAATAGAAAATAAATTTCTGCCAAGAACTGTGTTGAGGTAATTTTTACATAAATTAGAAAGAAATCTAATGCAAAGCTTAGAACTTGCTTCAATAGTCTCATAGAAAGACACACATCATTTATCATCTATATATATATTATATATATATATATAATGGTAATCTCTGTTTGTTTGTTTGGATGTCCTATCGTTACTCATGAACCTCTGGACCGATTTGCCTCAAATTTTGATTGGGGAACTCTGGAGAACCACGGACATGTTGTTAACTTGGTTTTGAGATTCTAAGGTTGAGTAGGCTGTATAGGGAAAAATAGCTTAAGTCGTTATTACGACCAAGCGCGGGTAAACGGTGGGGGTATGAACTTATACCTTAGGCAAGTGGACAACTCTGGGTTCTCAAGTTAGTATAGATATCTCATTTATGTTTAGGACGCGATCACGAGCTTGAAGATTATCCCAACCGAGGATCAAATATACAAGGTTGTCCTCAGCAAGAAATATGGAGGTTCAGAACTATCAGCTGATGACGCAATTAGAGGTGTACGCAAATGTGAAATTCCACAGATGCGTTTTTGCGTTACTAGGTAAATCCATCTTTCCTATAATTATTATTATTATCATTATTATTATTATTATTATTATTATTGTTTATTATTATTTTGATTATTATTTTCACTAACGTTATTATTATTAATCTTATCATTCATGATGATTTTGATTATTATTATTGATATTATAGGATCGGCATTCTAGGTTGAGAGGTACTGTTAAAATCAAAATCAAAATATAAGTTCCTGCAAAATGAAATAAAAAATGTTGAATGTGAGATGATTTCAAGAATGTACGGGGGGGGGGAATTCTGAGGCGAAGCATTTTTCGAATTGTCTTCTATTACAACGGAAATTGAGTTTACACCATGAACGTCTTATTTAAGACAAATAAGGCTCCGCCGCCGGCTCTAAGTCGTCTTCTATTACAACGGAAATTATATTTATTATTATTATTATCATTAATATTGTTATTATTAGTATTATTATTATTACTTTTATTTTTTCATCATCATTATTATCATCTTTAATATTAGATAAAAATATATGCTTATTTATAAAATATTTCAGTGAACCTGAGTATAAGAAGTGTCAAAGAATGAGATTAGCCCTGAGTGCTCAACTGATAAAACCCAGGTTAACATTTTCTTAGATTTTTGATAGAAAATTAAAATCTTATATTTCAACAAAAGTGCTAAACGCTATTATTGATCCGTCTAAAAAAAGTGAATAAAGTTTTATAAAACTACATTTTGTAAAAAAAATATTTATTGGATTGATGAAGAAAAAATCGCAAAAACACATGAACCTTTTTTTGTTAAGACTGAATTGTGTACCAGCTGCCCCTCCTTTCTCCCACCGGAAGTGTATGGAGATGATTAAGAACAAGTTGGCAGACGTCGCCATGTTTGAGGTAAAAATTCACATATTTCCCCGGGATTTCGGAAATCAGCTGAAGAATTGTATTACCGGATATTTTACACATTTTTTGTTTTATAAAGTCTAAAATAAATATATTTCAGGCATCTTTGAGTTCAAATGAAAACTAATTTAGGAATGAAAAATCTTAAATTGATATTAAACTGAAGTTACAAAGACGATCTTTAATAAATGTTCTTGTATTTTACTGAAGGCGGGGGATATATACCGAGCAGGGAGGATGTTTGGTCTTATACCTATAATGGCGGAGGTCTACAACCTGGGAACGCCCGAGTACTATGCAGTGGGCGTGGTCAAAATCCGAGATAACAGCAGCGAGCTTATTTATCTGAAGAAACAAAACAGTTGCCATACAGGTATACAAGATCACTAGTATCACTTATTTATTTGGTGTATGGTCCTGTTTTGCCTTTATTTAATCTAATGCGTACTGTTCAGATTACTCTAGCTGCTTAAAAGTTAGCCCTGTACCAGAAATGAAGCGGAGTTTACAGTGATATACCCCTCATACCCCTCATAGATATAATTTTTGTGTTGAACATTACACTTCAATCTGTATTGAAGCAAGGTCAAAATTGCTCTCTTCATATTTTTTTTTAAGTCACGCAAACATTTGAGATTGTTAAGTATAAATGTATATATATATATATATAATATATATATAATGTATATATATTATAAAGTTTTGAACTTTAAAGGTTTACACCATCAGGTTAAAAAGATCGTTTAGAAAATTTGAGATTGGGAACTGATCCTTTAATATTGGTACGACTTTGCAACCTCGCAATTCTTCTAGTTTTTATTTTAAACCAAAGAGTGAATAAAGCAAGCTTGTTTGGTTGCATTTCAGGATTTAAAACCATTTTTGACCTAAAGAAGTCCAGCAGGTTTCAAGTGATTAGTTTCCATAAATCATGCAACAGTCACTGCTTTGAAAACCATAGCTTTAAAATAAAGGATTTTGAATAAAATTTGAAAAATTATTGTAGCATTTTTTAAAATAAGTATCTATTTAAAACGCTTAAAAAATAGTTTTAGGAGATTCACCATTTTCTCTGGTTTATTGTTACAAAGAATTAATGCTCCTTAAAGATATATCAATTCAAACTAGACAAAGGAGAAGGTCAGATTTACACGACAGTACTGGTCCTCGTAGCTTCTCTATTGTTGATTTACGCACAAGTATGAAAATTGCAAATTTTTCTGGTTACAAAGTTGTTTTTCTCAATATCTCTTCAATAAGTTTTTGATTAAAAACATTTAAGATTTTAATCTTACGAGTAATTTACTTTAATTTTACTTGAAATATTATTATTTTTATTTTTTTTTCTAATTTCTATTGATAATTTCAGGATTAGGTCAAGCTGCAGGTTGGGTTATACCGATGTCCTGGCTTATTTCTAACGAACGTGTTCGAGACTATGGTTGTGATTCAGTTAGAGCCGCAGGAGAATATTTTAGGTCTACTTTTATTATTATCTTTACAATAAACAAGACATTCGTATATATATGTTGCGTATAGCCCGCCAAACGGCTAAACCGATTGGGCTGCAATTTTTTGTGGACACTAATGGGTGGCCAAAGGGTGTTATAAGCTAAAATAAAATTCGAAATTTTTTTTCCACGGCCAACGCCGGGCCTTTCAGCTAGTTATCTATATAGTAAAGCTCTTCGCTCATATATATATGTTAGAGATAGCTGGCCAAACGGCTGGACCGAATTGGCTGAAATTTTTTTGGGAACTCTTGAGTACCCCGGGGTAATGTTAGGCTAAAAAAATCGATTTTTATTCTCCAAAAATCAATTGTTTTTCCAAATTTGATTAAATTTTTTATTATTATTATTATAATTATTATTTTGATTATTATTTTCACTAACGTTATTATGATTAATCTTACAAGATAAGAACTTTAGTTTATAGTTCTAAATGATTCTTTAATTCTGTTCGAGGGGAAAAAGATATTATTTATTATTATTTACCTCTTATCCCATTTTATATTATAAAACGTTGTAAACAATAGATGAATATCTAACAACAAGTAGAAGGACTTCCAGGTTTATCCACAAAGAAGGAGTCTTCAAAGATGACTGTAGTAAATGTATTAAGTCTGTATTCTATATCTATAATTTATTAAGTCTGTATTCTATTTATTATTATAATTAAAATTTTTAATCTTATCATTATTGTTATTTCAGTAAGTCGTGTGCCCCTGGTGTCCGGAGTCCTGAGTTTGTATCAGACCGTGTATATTCCTGGGATAATTACTGGCACTACGGTCACATGTGTGATCTGTGCCACGGGACTGCAGGGCATTACTGTGATAGGTTGGTATTTTAGGTTATACACATTTTTCCCAATTTACATTTTCTGTATTCATATGTTTTGGTGAATGGGGTTTAATAAGGTAATATAATGCTTAGAAAATCAAATCATATCGCAATTTGACATAAATGTTCAGAGACTATAAGACATAATTTAGAAATTGTTTCCACATTATTTTGCTAATTTTCTCATCGTTTGTACCTACCTACGATGGTTCCCATAAAACTGTGGAATAGGGAGACAACATTATGACAATCTTAAATGTATTTAAAGTTATATTGCCTCAAAAAAATACAAAGTATCTTGAAAATAAACTTATCAAGTTAAATGGGTCCGTTTACAGCGCACTATTGTTGTGTCTTATGTTAATTCCACTACTTTTAATCATTGTAGTTTCCCTACTAACCCGAAAACTTAAAAATACGTATTTTCCATCCGTATGACATACGTATTTTTGTAACCATTTCTTTGGTAAAAATACGTATTTGAAAACGTAAAAATGTGTATGTAAAAAACCTAAAAATCCGATGAATCAGGAATTTTTATGTTTTTCCTATTTGTAAAAAAACGTATTTGACATCTGTAAAAATACGTATAGGAATAACGTAAAAATGCGTGTGTAAAAACCCTAAAAAATCTAATGAATCAGGATTTTTTAGGTTTTTCCTGTACATAGATTTAGGTTTGAAAAAATTCTAACATTTCTTAATTTTTGAAATTTTTAGGTTTTACCTATACGTATAAATACGTATTTTTCAAATTCTAAAGAAAAACCTAAAAAATACGTAAAAAATTTGTAAAATATAAACCTATAAACTTTGAAAAAATTTACGATTTACGAAATTTACGAAATTATACGTATTTTTAGGTTTGCATAAAACTATTAAACTCTAAAGAAAATACAATTTTTAAAGTAAAGAAAAACCTAAAAAAACGTAAAAATACGTAAGAGTATACGTAATTTTTCGTATAAATACGTTTCTGGAAAACCAAAGCATTTTTTAAAAAAATGCTTGGTGATAAATACGTAAAAATATGTAAATATACGTAAGTTCTTTACCCAAAAGTTGAGCATACATATTTACACGTAAAAATACCGATTATTACGTATACCTGTATAGAGACTTTGGTATTTTTAGGTTTTCGGGTTAGTAGGGTTGTATTGTAGTAGACTTAAAAGGGCGCTTTGCACCCATCTTCTATTTCATCTGTAAACATTTTTCTTTGAATACCTTGTAAAACAAAACAAGAAGAAATTCGTGGATTTTATAAAACAAATTTCGTGGATTTTAAAAATTTTTGAAAATTCGATCATCCCTATACCTTCCCTGTGGTCACGCGAGGTCCCACAACAAATCTGGGCACGATCGGTTTAACCGTTTTGACGTTTATTTGATACAAACAAACACCCAAGCAAAGTATTTATAGATTGTATAGTTTTTTTTAGCAGTGTTTAGGATTCATTTAATTATGATGAGGATTGTGAGTCCGCCCTGGAAAACTGGTTCCCGGATTATAATTAAAATTTTTGAACAAATGAAAATTTTCCAAAAAATCCTTATTTGTATGCTGAACAATTTAGAGATTAGGAAGTTTTTTAAATTTCTTACTTATTAATAATCGAGATTTGTGTTTTGAAGGAAAGATTTTTTCTTGTAGAAGGCATTCTTGGATTCGGATATTTTTGCGGATCTGGATCCAGAGGGCCAAAATTTTGCGGATCAAACGGATCTTCATCCTGAGCACTGTTTTTATGGGAACCATTAACATTGCTTTTTAAGAAAAGAAGTCTTAAAAACAATTTAAAAGATAATATAATGTTTAATGCTATATAATTGATTTTTATAGGACACATATGGAGGATTATTACGGGCATACGGGGGCGTTCCGTTGTCTGGTGGAGGGTGGCGGGGACGTTGCCTTCGTGAAGCACACTACCGTCATGGAGAACTGTGATGGCAAAAGGAAGGAGTGGTGGGCCAGGAATCAGCTGACTGCGGATTTCCAACTTTTATGCAGGTAGAAATCATACTTCTAGTTTATGCAGGTAGAAATCATACTTCTAGTTTTATTTAAAGGGGGTGACTGCACTAAGTATGGTAGTTGAACTTACAGTGTAGTATTATTTCGTACAAAGGGACTGATCTTTCAAATAGATTCACAGCGCGGTATCCTTAAAAAACAACCATTGTAAGGTCATGAATGATGGAGAAAAGACAGATTAACAAATGAACCTTTAAAATGTTGACCTTTTCGTCTAATTTTCTATCAATCTATTTTGCTGTTTATTTATTATCTATCTATCTATCTAGGGATGGAACTAGAAAGAAGGCTACTGAGTATAGAGACTGTTTTCTTGGCAAAGTTAAAGGAAACGCTCTAGTCACAAATCCAACCTTTTCAAGGTATGTTGTGTTGTCAAAAAAATGAACTGCAAAAAGTTCGTGTATTTGGGCGTAAATAAATAATTAATTTTTTTCTTCTTTCAAAGATTTATCATAAAAGTTTGTTAGTTTCTACTAAGAATTTTTTTTTTCCGACATGCATTTAACAATTTATAGGTTTTACCGAATCCAGAAAACCGGTTTCTTTCCAAAATGACGGTTTTTATTCTTTAAATATTGTTTGGGATCGCAATTCGCAAATGTTTGTATTCAGGAAGTATATCGAGACGTTCATCAACCTATTCAAATACTCCCAGCAGTTCTACGGGCAAAAGGTGTTTAACGAGTTCTCCTTCTCCATGTTCTACTCGGAACCTCCATACGCAGATCTCATATTTCAGGACGCTACGCAGAAAATCATCATTCTTGACGAAGGTATGCACGATTTCGCAAAATTTTTATTTTCATTTGCTGCTGAAAACAGGAGAATAGAGTTATGGCTAAAAGCACCTTTCATTTGTCAGTTCATTCACATAAAATACATGGAAACCGATTCAAGGATTATATGGAGCAGGAGTCGACCAGTTCCGTATCACCATCACATTATTCCTATTAAGCTGACTAGTACTCCATTTGATAAAGACAATTTTTCAAGGTTGTTTTTAAAATATGATGGGCGGGGAAAATATAACGCTAATAATATAACCAAAAGTATAACTGACAAAAATATAAACATTCTGTAATATAATTTGTTTGACCAAAAATAAAACTTTTTATTCAAAACCATAAATTTGAAGACCAAAAATGTAATTTTTTTTGGGGCTAAAATTATAAACATTTATTTAATTAAAAACATAACCTTTTTTAGCTAAAAATATAACTTTTTAGACCAAAATTATAACTTTATTTCGACCAAAAATATAATTATTTTCGACCAAAAATATGAAAAGACTTTATATGTATACTTATTGCGTACTTCATGCACGTCTTGTGTTTACATTACCGCCCAGAGACAGTACACTGCAGTACAAAAGATGCGTACACCTTGAAATAAATTTCCTTGCATTACAACCTTGCTCCCCTCCCTCTTATAGAGATAATTGTTGTGCTCCTTGCCAACCTACCAAAATATTTGATCATTAATGTCAATTTCAATGTTTGAAATTTCACTAACATACTTATTATTTCAGAGGACCACGATTATCAGCATTATCTCGGACAGGAGTTTGTCAAAGCTATTGAGAGCGTAGAATGTTTCCGATCAAAATCGTCGACGATTCATCTCTCCGCAGCATTGTTAACGATAAGTTTAATACTCCTCTTCTAACCCCCTCCTGCAGTCAAGAACCAGTGAACAAACTCAAAATAAAAATGCTCCACAGCTCAACGCGGCATTCAGACAACTAAGTTTAAACATTTGAAATAACTGAAAAACAAATCTTATGATAAACTATGAATTGTTCTAGACATAATTTTTGAAAAGCCCTCAATCGATGTTAAACGATCTGTGATTTTAAGTGACCCTTCAGGCAAAGATTTTAATGCCTAATTCACAATGGTACCCTTCAAACCTAAATCTGATCAAAAACGTCGATGAAACCCGTATTCCTGACTCGAAAAATTAGAGTAATTTCTCAATTGCTTTTGAAAAACTAGAAGTGTTGAGTCGCTTTCGGAAAGAAACATTTCAAGTACCAAAAGTCAGAACCATCGATGTCTAATTCATACTTGATCATCTGAACCTTTAAGGGTAACGCTGTCAATCAGGCATTGTCATCTTTATATTTAGGGTCACTTCAAGTTACGCTTTGAAGTGTCGTTAAGATGATATTACTGATTTATGTATATATAATGAAACACTAGACGCACACCAGTACAAGATATTATTTTTCTATTTTTATATGAAATAAAACAATGTAAATTAACATCTTTATTATATTAACTAAATTAACAAAATTGAATATGTGCATAAATAAAATGCTTCTTTCGGTGGCTAAAAATCCAAAAACGCCGTATGACGAATTACATAGGGACAAAAATATATTTTCATGTGAATGAATTCTTGAAGAAAGAACAGCTTATCAATTTACCAAAGTATAATTATAAAAGTTTGGATATTTTAATATCCAAACAATGACAATGACTGAAAAAATAAGGCGTATGAGTATCGCCCCAACTGAAACAAGACGGCGGATTGTTCCAAGCCGGATTGAATAATAGGTTGAGCCGGATGAGGTTGAGGCGGACGAATGTTCACAACTAGAAAACTTGTTTAAATTAGAACAACATAGCTCCGAAACCAAACGATCTTTTCATTGCGTCGAAATAATAACGGTGCCAGCCTTGCTTTGTAGATTCAACCTGAAAATACATTTATTGAATATTTTTAATGTAATTTATGATCATTGTTAAAGTGTCAGTTCAGAAACATCATTAACATTAAGTTCGTCAAATCTGCATGTATGAAAAAGTATTAAAGCTTCTAAACATTCCTCCCCGCGCTCTGAATGAAGAACCATAGGGAAAGTCAATTTTATCTTTTTTCCTTTACACATCTTACCTCTTTGATAGGAACCCCTCTCTGTGTGATGGAAATCTTTGTATCTTCTTTAGTTTGCTTGATCTCTATTTCAACCTGAAATTTTTATATTTTTTTATTTTCTTCGTTCGTCGTTTTCCTATTCCATCCTATATCTATATAATAAAACAAGACATTCCCATACATATATATATATATATATATATATATATATATATAGACGGCCAAACGGCTGGACCGATTGGGCTGAATTTTTTTTTGTGGACACTCATGGGTGGCCGTCGGGTGTTATAGGCTATTTTTTGTTTAAATTTTTTTTTCCACGGGCAACACAGGGTTCTTCAGCTAGTATATTACATATATATATTATTTAATATATTCAACCCATAGATATACTCGTAAATACAGGGTGTCCCACATCATGTTAGATCGTCAATGGGTCTAAATTACGATTTTCGGGACTAATCAGAAAATTTGATAAGATTGAGTCTTTCTGAAAGATTGAACAAGTCTAATATAAAAATATTCTTGGAAAAAAAGGCTAGGTTTTTCGAGTATTATGTTTTAGTTTTGGCGTGAAAGCTTGGAGATAATCTAATATGATATGGGATGCTCTGTATATAAAGAAATCTAGCTCTGAGGCGTTGCTTTAGTATAAAAAAATAACACTGCTTAAAATTTTAGAGAAGATAGATGAAAAATCAACGTTAAATTAGCATGTTGTACCTGTGAAAAATGTCCGCTGGGCCAAGACTTGAGTCTCCATTCTTTAACTATTTTTGTAAATGGCACCACCTGAACAAGAACTACTATTTTACACAGTGACCCAACATATTACATGGGAATACTGTAACTTTTGGGATTTTCAAAATGTAGTCTGTCATTTTTGTACCTTTGAGATTAACAGAGATTACGAGAGTTATTGAAAGGTGTTTTTTGAAATAAATAAAGATGGTTTACACATATAATAGAACCGTCAATATGATTTAATACTAAAAAGGTAAATCATATTTTGAATTAACTAAATTCAACAAAATATAAACATTCTGCTTTTAATTCTTTTATATTTTGGCAACATCGTACTACATTTAAACTGGGAATTAAAAACGAAGTAATAAAAAAAATTCGATTTCTTTACTACAAATACAAAACTATACGAATCTTTTAATTTTAACGTATATTTTCATTTAAATATTAATTGGAGGATTGAGCAACGTGATATTAACCATCCATTAATGACTTACATGTTTGATTCCCAATGATGCACTTTTAACCGTTTTCTTTCTATAGGAAAAACAATCATTTTTAATTGGGTTGAGTAGGCTCCCTTAGAAAGTAACTTTATGATTGGTACAACAGAAAGGTAATAGAGTTGTTAAATATTTTTATGGCAGAGAAACGTTACGAAATCTTCCTTACTTTAACAAGTGTAAGAAATGAAGTAATTTACAATTTAAATTTGATTCCAGCGTAGTGAGGTCGTATACTACCATTCATTAACGTATATTTTATCAAAAATTAAGCAATTACATATCCATCAAATTTAATTAATTTTGCAAACATAGCCCGTACTTTACCACAAATTAATTCAAATATATATTTAAAATATGATGCACTAGTAAAATTTTGGTTCAAATATCACGAATTTAGCTAAACATTAGTTAATGCAAATATCAGATTATGGAACATGAAGTTAAAGATAATTAAGATCTTAATATACTGTATATTTTCGCTTATTTTCATTCATTTTCTCTCATTAGTTAACAATTTATATTTGTGTTCTGAGCGCAAACAGTAGTTTTAAGCAGGTTTTGGTCGATATTTTCCCCCTAGAATCCAGATACGTGGATCCGCAAGAAACCAAAATTTTCAAATCCGGATCCAAAGCACTACTTCATTCGAAATACTTTATGAAGGATTTAAATATTAATCTAAAAAACGGCAGTTAAAATTTATTGAGATGTTAAAATGACTATCTAAATCTACGATGAATAAATATCCCGATGGTAGCGGAAACTAATCCAGTAAATGCAATAAATAAACAAATTTCACGAAGTTCGGCCATTTTCTTTTTTCTCTTTTTCATCGCGCGCTCGATTTTAGCTTTCTTCTCGTCCTAGTATTTTCGACATGAATAAGAAAATGTGACATTTTGAACTGTTCCCACAACTTTTTAGACAAGAATGAAGAGAGAAATTATATCTTTAGAGGGACGGTCGACGATATTTTCTATGACCGTTAATTGACACCGTTTCATGACATTCACAACGGTACCTTTTAGCTCTTTTTCAGATTTGAGATGGAAAGATATCGCCATTTTGGTTTATTAACAGTTGTAAATACTCATTATCTCTACTGCATAAAAAGTTGTAAATTCTCATTATCTCTGCAGCATAAAAGTTGTAATTTCTCATTATCTCTGCTGCAGAAACAGTTGTAAATTCTCATTATCTCTGCAGCCTAAAAATTTGTGAATTCTCATTATCTCTGCTGCAGAAAAAATTGTAAATTCTCATTATATCTGCAGCATAAAAAGTTGTAAAATCTCATTATCTCTACTCCACAAAAAGTTGTATCTCTGCTGCATAAAAAGTTGAAAATTCTCATTATATCTGCTGCATAAACAGTTGTAATAGCTCTGCTTCATAAACAGTTGTAAATTCTCATTATCTCTGCTGCATAAAAAGTTGTAAATTCTCATAATCTCTTCTGCATAAACAGTTTTAAATTCTCATTATCTCTGCTGCATAAACAATTGTAAATTTTCATTATCTCTGCTGCATAAAAAGTTGTAAATTCTCATTATCTCTACTGCATAAAAAGTTGTAAATTCTCATTATCTCTGCTGCATAAACAGTTGTAAATTCTCATTTTCTCTGCTGAATAAAAAGTTGTAAATTCTCATAATCTCTGCTGCAAAAAAAGTTGTAAATTCTCATTATCTCTACTGCATAAACAATTGTAAATTCCCATTATCTCTGCTGCATAAAAAGTTGTAAATTCTCATTATCTCTGCTGCATCAACAGTTGTAAATTCTCATTATCGCTGCTGCATAAACAGTTGTAAATTCTCATTATCTCTGCTGCATAAACAGTTGTAAATTCTCATTGTCTCTACTGCAGAAAAAAATTGTATATTCTCATTATCTCTGCAGCACAAAAAGTTGTAAATTCTCATTATCTCTGCTGCATAAAAAGTTTTAAATTCTCATTATCTCTACTCAACAAAAAGTTGTTAAAAAATTGAAAATTTTCATTATATATGCCGCATAAAAAGTTGTAAATTCTCATTATCTCTGCAGCATAAAAAGTTGTAAATTCTCATTATCTCTGCTGCATAAAAAGTTGTAAATTTTCATTATCTCTGCTACATAAAAAGTTGTAAATTCTCATTATCTCTGCTGCATAAAAAGTTTTAAATTCTCATTATCTCTACTCAACAAAAAGTTGTAAATTCTCGTTATCTCTACTCAACAAAAAGTTGTAAATTCTCATTATCTCTACTCCACAAGAAGTTGTATCTCTGCTGCATAAAAAGTTGAAATTCTCACTATCTCTGCTGCATAAACCCGCAAAGAGAACAGGAATTAAAATAAAATTTGTAAGAAAACCTTTACCAAGAAAAAAAGGTGGAAAATGTACCATTGGACATGCAACTGTTAAAAAGAAGGATATTTATTACTCCAGTCCCTTTAATGTCACATTTTCAATTTGAATAAAGTTCATGTCTTACCTCAATATACTTGCCGGTGATACTACTACCGAGGAGGGAAAACTCCACACCTTTAGCGGCCTCGGCGGCCATCTTGGCCTCGCCCCCTGTGAATATCTGGATCATGTCCCTCTGTGTGAGTGCGTTGAAGAGCTCCTGCCCAGTACACTTCATCGTCTCCTCCAAATGAATATCATCAACCTCTAACTTAAGTCCACTGCTGATTTCAACTTTACGAAAACTTTTCTCCGCCTCGCTTGTGGCACCGGTGGAGTGTGGGATACGCGGGGCGGAGGATTTCACTGCCTCTCCGTTGGCTTCATGTTTTTTTGGGAGGATTAGGCCCGTGGAATACTCGGTTTTCAATGCGGTTACATACTTGGATAAAGTTTCGCGGATTTTCTCTGCGCCCCGACCTTTTCGCATGAACTCCTTAAGAAGGTCGGACTCGGACCCCTTGGTGGTCAGGGATATATCGAGGTCGACGTCCTTCATATCTTCGTGCTCTTCGCTCAGGTTTGGTATGTCAATCTTACCCTTAACCTCGGTATCGTTCCCATTTAGGTTTCCTAAATAAATTTTTGAAAATAATAATCTTTCGCAAATTATGGACACAAAAAATATATTGGACTGAGAAGGGAAGGGAATACGTTATTGGAAAGTGCCATGGATAAAATCAAAATTAGAGAATTATCAAAACAATTTTTCTCAGAAATTGGCATGAACAAAGACATTATAATGTACTATGAAGGGGGGGGGGGGTGTATTAAAATCAAATTAGTGCACTAATTAGAATAGGCTTATCAAAAACAATATTTAGACGTTTCATTGGCAAATTAAAATAACAATGCTGAAACCAGTTTTGTGTCATTTGATTAAATAATTTTGTTGTTGACCTTTCCATTTAAGCGTAATCTCCCACTCGTAGAAGAAGATAAGCTTCCCCTTCCTGTTATTGGCCCTGGCTTCCCCCTCCACCTTCTCCACCTCCTCCACCACCACGTTAGCGTGAGGATCTTCGATGATTAGATCTGTGAACAGTTCCTGAATAAAGAAAAAAACATTAACAAATATCCCAGTAGCTGAATTAAAACAGATCATGGTAGTATTAAGTACAGTAAACCGCATTATTATCATAATATAGCATTTGATATCATATCAAATCAGACATAATATAATATACATTTGACACTCAGAGCTCATTAAAAAAAATCAGATGTTTTCCTTTGGATAAAGACAGTAAAGACTAAGGTAGAAAAGATACTGAAAGCTTTAGTAACCAGAGGTTATTGATAAAATCATTTTGGTCCCAGTGTCGTGGATCAGTCCCTCCCACTGCGATATTCTTCCTACAAGGAGTGCTTAGGATCCATTTTATTTTGATGCGGATCCAAATCCATGATCTGGAAAAAGTGGATCCGGATCCGAATCCAGGTCGCTTCCTTAAGATTTAATGAATTCTTTTAACAAAAAATAATTTTCAAATTTATTGTAAATTTTTTTTCGTATATTTTTTATGCTAGAACTTGATAAACCATTCAGAAAGAGGAAATTTTTATAATCTCTCTTTTTCAAAAGTTCAGATTTGGGTTTCAGGAGTAAACAATTTTTTTTTTTTGCAGCTTTTGGTTGATATTTTACCCCTTGGATCCGGATCCGTGCATCCATTATTGCGGATCCGGATCCAAAAAGTCAAAATCTTGCGGATCCAACGGATCCGAATCCTATCACTGCCAACAAGCTTTAACCATTTCACCAATTTGTTTGGTGATTTCCTAGTATAGGATTTATGGACTTCCGCCCCCTATAATTTTTGCACACAACATTTAAAGGCATAATAAGCCATGGGAACGCAGCGCTGGAGGTAGGAGATATCACATAATGGATGTATCAACGTCCTGTTTAATTTATTATACGTACTTTAATCTTATTTTTGCTCCATGCATCTGCATTCTTCTCTGTCCAATGCCAGTTATTAACATTGGTTGCATCAGGTCTCTCCTCAACTATCCAACGAGGGTCTCCCTCTCCCCACTTTGCCATAATAAAAACTCTGGAAAAAAATAACCTTTTTATCTGCAAAAGCAAAGGTAATCCTTATTTCAGGATGTTGGGCAATGTTAATATCTTTCAGGGACAAGTTGCAATTTCGAGTCACGCACCGATAAATATGGTTTATGAAAATGTATAATTTTGCCAATTTCCTCCATGGTTTCAAAACAAAATTGCACAAGTCACTTGTTAGAGAACTGCACAATTGAAAACAATCATGATGATGGATTTATTGTGCTAGATTAGTACAAGAACAGTTACTTAAAATTACGCAAACAGCCTCTTTAAGAACTAGACTTTCTGAAAACTCATTAAAAATACCAAGCAAGATGTAGTAAAATCACCCTGTCGTAATAGAACACAAAATAAGAAAATTCTTTTGATCAATTCTCTCCGTTCCTCTTTATTCTCCCCATGGGAAACAGTTATTTTACATGGGGTAAAAGTGATCTTCAAAATGTGATAGTTATTAATGTTGAGAACTTCAAACTTCATAGCGATTAATTGGCACTGGTTTCGTTCGACTTGAGAAAGGTAAACGAAAACATTTAAGTACTTCACGGTAATTTCCTAGTATACGATTTTTGGGCCTCCCCCCAGGCCCCCCACCCTCCTATCAATTTTGTACATGGGTGTGACACGAAGTTTCTTAACTTAACCTAACCCGTGGCCGCAGCGCTCCGCCCCCTAGCTCATCCTAGCCGCAGCGCTCGGCCCAGAAAGTGTCTTAACTAACCTAACCCGTGGCCGCAGCGCTCGGCCCCCTAGCCCATCCTAGCCGCAGCGCTCGGCCCAGAAAGTATCTTAACCTAACCTAACCCTAAATAACAAAAAAATAAATAATAATAAATTTGCTGAAAAATAAATGGTCATGTACAAAATTGATAGGAGGGGGGGGGGGGTCCAAAAATCGTATACTAGGAAATTACCTTCTGACCCAGCTAATGCTAGGTTTGTAGGTTATAATGATTTGGGACGCAGATCTAGAAACCCTATTGTGTTTATACTATGCTACGGTGCTGTATTTTATCATAATTTAGCTGGTTATAACATACTGCTTTCACGATGGAGAGTCCGTAACTGAAACTGTACAGAAACATCACTAATCCATTCCTAAATTACGAATACACAATACAGACAGCCTCCCGAAAGAACCCACTTCGCTCTCGAAAATTCTAGAAAAATCCTTAACTAAATATCTATCTATCTCTCCCACAGAACTGTACACTTTACTCCAGCAGATATAATTATTTGGTTTGGTTTCAGAAGTTGACAGCATTTCACGTTGAAAGTACAAACAGATTCTTATGACAAGGTTGTAGGGATAGGATGGAGAATTTTTCGATGGTGTACTTTTGGACCTACGCCCATCCCCTCTATTGCCCATCCGACCTAAAGCAGGGGGTTTAACAGCTGTGGTAGGTCCGATGCACTGTAGGTCGGATGGGCACCTTAAAAAAGCATATTGGTGCATCCGACCTACTTTAAGCTGTCGCTTAGACACGCTAGTAGGTCTGATGGGCCTTTTTTGTAGGTCGGATAGGCATTTTTCGTAGGTCGGATGGGTATTTTTCATAGGTTGGATGGGCATTTTTCGTTGGTCGGATGGGCATTTTTCGTAGGTCGGCCCATACATGTGGCCGCAGCGCTCGGCCCTCTAGCCTGTACTAGCCGCAGCGCTCGGCCCAGAAATGAGCTTTCTAACAGCTAACCCTAATATACACTAATTTTATTAAAAATTGTTGAATATAAAGGTCGACTTTCATGGCCGCAGCGCTCGGCCCCCTAGCCCGTCCTAGCCGCAGTGCTCGGCCCAGAAATGAGCCTAACTAACCTTAATTAAATTTACACAAATTATATTAAAAATTGTTAAAATTAAAGGTATTTCATGGCCGCAGCGCTCGGCCCCCCTACAAAAAGTGCCCATCCGAAATAAAAAATATGCCCATCCGACCTACAAAAAATGCCCATCCGACCTACGAAAAGTGCCCATCCGACCTACGAAAAATGCCCATCCGACCTACGAAAAATACCCATCCGACCTACAAAAAGTGCCCATCTGACCTACAAAATTGAGTGGCCGTCCGACAGCTAAAGTGCCCATCCGACCTACGAAAAATGCCCATCCGACCTACGAAAAATACCCATCCGACCTACAAAAAGTGCCCATCTGACCTACAAAATTGAGTGGCCGTCCGACAGCTACAATTAATTATTTCTACCCTACTGCGCTGTAGACATGACAAAAGCTGCTGAATAGGTCGGATGGGCAAGAAGATAAGCCCATCGATCGGACCTACAGCTGTCGTAGGTCAGATATTGCAGTAGGTCGTATGGGACGGATGGGCAGTAGAGCGGATCAACATTACCGCATTGTTCGAACTACGCAACTCCGCTTTCCTCAACTTCGACATACGCCAAATTCCCTATACTACAAATCTGACCTACTAGCACGTGGTTTTACAGTAGCTCGGCCCATAAATTCCCTTAACCTAACGTATACCTATCCCTCACATTATACAAGAATTAATTAACAGCTGGCGTAGGTCTGATATTGTAGTAGGTCATAAGTACGCCTCCGGTTACAAAGTTAAATCTCAGGACAAAACTTATTGACCCGANTTTCAGCTTTGTCCTAAAAATAATGCCCCCCCCCCTCCTCTCCAACAATGCTTAAATGTTAATCTCAAATAACCACCTACACTAAAATGAATATAATATGCAAATATGTTCAGTAATTGTAAGGATAAATTACGATAAGAAAAACCAGATAATCAAGAATATTTTCTCGATGTGTTAAGATTAGTAACTTGCAAATACTACAGTTTCTTTTTTCTAAAATTAACAAAAAAGACACCTGAATTAATTTTCATAATTTAACACTTCATCACTCTTAAAAAAATCGTTTTATACCAGAGGGCAATTTTTATAAGCTTCCACACAGAAGTTTCGACCTCTTGTGACAATTTCTTCAATACTAATATTCAAAACTTAATTAACAAAATATATTTTCAAAATTTTATAACCCAGGTATCAATCTTCCTTTCTTAATCGCCTTCTTCTTCTTATTATCCTTTACTGTCGCTTTCCGCTTCTGCAGATTATCCTTTCTCTTTGTTTGGAACTTATCTTTCTTAGATTGAACATCTTCTGTTCTCTGTTCCCACTTCCGTTTACTGGACTTCTTCACCTGCTCCTTCTTCTTTAAGGCCTTCTTGAGGAGTTCCACATCATCCTTTACCTTCACGCCCTCCGCCTTGTCGAGGGCTGTCTGCCAGGCCACCTTGTTCTCAATCCTCTTCACCTTCTCCGTCAATCCCTTCTCCTCCATGGATTTGATCACCTCCTTGTTCTTCGCAATCTTTGCCAGGGCGGCCTTAGGATCCATGTTCTTCTTTTTAATGGCCTCTCCAGTGACCTCGTCAGAGGCGAAGTCGAATTTGGAAAATATGATTTTACCAGTTTCTGTTTTAATCTTGGGTCTCTCGGCGACTACAACGCCAGCGCCCTCCAACTCATTTTTAATTTTGTTTAAATTTCCCGCATTTTTGCCAACCTTCATCAGTTTCTGCTTTAGGTCATTTTTCTCATTCTTCTTTTTCTCTATTTTCTTGAGTTTTTGCTTCAACCTTTTCTGTCTCTTTTCCTCGTTTGTCGACAAGTTCTTTCCCCGCTCCCCTAGCTCTTGCATCTTCCTGTGAAGGCGTTCCTTGAGTTCCTCGTGTGAGACTGCCCTCCCCTCCTCGTTATCCTTCCTCATCTTTATCTTTAACTCAACAGGAACATCCTCGACATAATCCTCCTCATCCTCCTCCTGGTCGAGGTCAAGGTTATGTGAAGGGATCCGAACCATGGCCATCAACTCTTCAATATACCAACAATCATCCTAGAAGAAAATAAGATAATTTTCTAAAATATTTAAATTACTGTCGACCCTCAATTTAAAGAGTTTCATGTCCGATTTTCAACTCACCCATTTTTTCTTTATTGGAATAACAAAATGTAAAATATTTTCACCTCAAAAAGAAACAATAAATCTCTTTAGTTCCATCATTATCCTGTGAAATACTCCGCATGACTCTTTTACGGATAAAAAAATCTAGATGATTCCACTATCTTAGTACCGTCTTGAATCAAGCACGCAACAATTTAAATGAACACTCACTTGCAATTGCGTCGACAATCCCTTAAAGGTGCAAAGGGCGACTTAAATTGTATTTATTATTAAAAATAGGAACTGTGTCCGAATTTAATGAATTTGAGCCGCGTCTTAAAATTCGCCAAAACCCGGTTTCAATTGACCGCCGGCTTAAATCTTGAAACATTGCATACAATTTTAAGTGAAGCCAACCATATTTGAGCCGCAGCTTAAATTTAAACCGCCGTTCAAATTCTTTAAATTCTATACTGTAAAAACAAAAGATTACTATCAAATTAGTGGGATTATTCTGATAAGTGAGGGAATAGATTAATGCAAAAATATTTAAAAAAGATGAAAATTTATTCTACAACTAAAAATATCTTTAAATTTTAATTGTTAAAATCCTTTAAAGATTGAATTTTAAATTCAAGGAAAAATCGAAATAAGAAAAAATATAATCTGAAGTTTCAATTTATTAATGCATATTTATGATTTTAGTGCAAAAGCTGAAAAACTTGAAATTCAGAGTGCAAATATCTATTTTTTTTCTTACCATCATTCTAAGTTTAGTGCTGCGTATTTTGGAACCAGTCCCCTTCTCAACCTTCTCTGTCGTCGATTCATCTAATGTTGTTTTCTTCTTCTTCTGAGCTGACCCATTCAGTACCGTGTTCTCTTTACTGACCTTACTCCGGTCCTTCTTCAGTTTACTAGGCGTAGACTCGACAACTTCTCCATTCTGCAGCTTTTCTTTTTTAACTTTTTTAGCAGAGAGTTCTGCCATTTTTCTGAAATAAAATATTCAATTACAAAAAGAAAATGCAGCTTGATAATTTGCCAGGATTAGTTTGCATCTATCTGAAGTTAGGATCAAGAATTTTACAGTTGTGAAAAAAGTTCATTATATTTTCCAGTATCGTTGAAAGGTGATGAATACTTAGTTGTATCATACAGTATTATTATAATTTATGTATTTACACAATATTTCATAAGGCGGGATAACTAATTGGCAGACTCAGGTTCGGCGGGTGCACCGCCTTCAGCGGGAGTTTCAGCGCTGGGAGGTTCGGCAGCGGCGGGTTCTGAAGGAGCAGCGGCGGTATCTGAGGTTGGCAGAGTGGGTTCGGTGGCGGTTGTATCCATAGGTTCTTCAGTTTCAACACTTTCCTTGGCGGGGGGCGCTTAAACAAAAATATCTTATTTATAAGTAAAGAAAATAAAATCTAGCTAAAATAAAAATAGAAGTTCATCTTAAAGTAATTAGAAGATATTTTCATAAGACAACTTTTATGTATCATTTATGTATATAACTTTTTGCCTAGGCTATTAGTCGATATTAAGATAATTGTTAAAGAGTTTGATTTTAAAACATGTTTAACAGATGTACAAAAAAAGTTCAGATTCATAGTTGTATTATATATCCGACCTGGTTTCTCCTCCTCTGTCTTCTTTACAGGATCCACCACAGGTTTATCCTCTACTGGAGCAGGAGCTGGAGCTGAGGTTGGGGCGGAACCTGACTCCAGACTGGAGACCTTAGCCTGCAGCTCAGCCTGCGACTTCTCCAGCTCAGAGATCTAAATAAAAATCAAGTAAAGAACAAAAAGCATTTTCAAAAGCTATTAATACGACGATTAAGTCCTGTTTTATTAATAGTATTGTTTTTTTTTGTAGTCTTACTTTAAAAGTTAGCTCCAGTTTAATTAAAAGAAGATAGTTCGCGCGCCGGTCAGATTGCTCCAATATTCAATTTGACATTGGAAATAAATTTCTCGTGACCAATTACTTGTAAATTGACATACAACTCGAAAAATATGTGATTAGATAACCCAAAACGTAAAAGCTGGCTACTAGCGCGCTCAATCTGAGTGCTCAAACTACATTTTTAATCCAAAAACTAGAATCCTTGTGCCTAATTACCTAATAATCGACATGCATAATGTAAATTTTTTGGCAAGATGATCCATATTTTAACATCTTGAATGCGCGCGCGCGAGGTCTTCATTCAAGTTCATTTCATAGTGTCAAGATTGCAAAAATGCGAAAAGATTAAAATTTTCCACCGCGTGCGCGTACTTTAGCTCGGATATTTGTAAAACTGAATTTTGCAGTTACAATACATAACTTTGAGTTCACATGCAAAAAAATCAGTGTTTTACGTCAATTATATGTTATATTTAAACAATATTTAACTTATCCGGAGTAATACGTTTTTACCCCCTCCCTCCCCTTTACTTTAATAGATTTTTTTAAACAGTCATTCGTGAAAGAACCAACCATACTTTAACTTGAAATAAATCCAAAGAATATCATATTAATAATTTTCGCACATTTGTTTAAGTTCGGCGACAAAAAGTTAGATCTGTTAGAGTTTACCTTTTTCTTCAATTCATCATTTTCTTTCCTGAGAGTCTCGATTGTAACTGCATCATCAGTTCCTCCAACACTCTTCTTCAAGTATCCAAGAGCGTCATCAGGTTTCTGGGGCTCCTGGAGTAAATATTATTGATTCAGTTGGGGATAAACCGTATATAATATATATCTTCTTCTTACCAACTTTATTAGAAATATGTAAAAATACAAAATATCAAGAATATACCATAACGAACGATAATATTCAGAAATATATGATATTATATTATATTATATTATATTAAGATACTTTTCGCAGCACTCGCCAAAAAATGTTAAGGAATAAATATGTGCAATTACGTTTTCAGCCAACGAACCAACTTTTCGTCTGTAAATAGAATATGTTTGGTTTCTTTAGAATTTGCAAACATTTTGAATTGTCATCTAAATAAATAATAACGGAATGGATTTCTAAAAACAAAACCAGAAAAATTTAAATTAAAAGGAAAATAAACCTTGCATGAATGTCTAACCAGCCAATATTTTGGCTGGATTAAATTTTAAGATCTTTAAAAAAGAAGATCTTTATTGTTCTATATTGGAGCAGTTGCAATCCTTCATTTTTCGACTAAGCCTTACATTCAGTAATCCTATAAATAGACATGAAAAAACATATACATGTCTTTCCCATCTGTATATATCGATGGTCTAGATATTTCTTGGATGATTTTTTTGAAGGATTTTCTCCCTAAATAAGGTATTCCTTAAGATATGAGAGTGGACACGGGAGGTCAATAGAAAACACTAAATCGGTTCTGAATTAATGCGCAATTTCTGTGTCGATAGATATATAGAAAATAGATGTTCCGAAAGATTAAAGTTAAAATCAAATCGATGACAAAAAATGTTATGATATAGTAGGTAGATAAACAAACCTCGTAGAGTTGAACCAAGGATTTTGTGAGAAGCTCCAGTACTCCAGCTTTATCCAGGTACTTTCTAAACAAGGAAAGGTTGATACATCTAGTTTCAGACAACAGTTTGAAATCTGGAGCCACGACATATTCGACACCTGGATCCCGACCCGAAGAAATGTACGCATCCACGAATCAAGTTTTAAATTTTAAAAAAAAACATTCATTCGTTTAAGTTATTAAGAATTTTTTTAATTGAAGTAAATTTTTACTCCTATGGTCAAAGAAAGTAAACTTGAGGAGAAACTGGGGTTAGAAAACAAAAAATTAAATTGAACTGGGAGAGACTGGGTTTAGAAAACCAAAAAATTAAATTGAACTGGGAGAGACTGGGTTTAGAAAACAAAAATTAAATTGAACTGGGAGAGACTGGGTATAGAAAACAAAAAATTAAATTGAACTGGGAGAGACTGGGTATAGAAAACAAAAAATTAAATTGAACTGATGTCTTCAAATATGAAACAGAATTGAGATCTTAATGAATACTCATCTAATATACCACCCCCCCACAAGCAAATAATTTTGTCTCCGTAAACAAATTTTGAGACCTGAACTCCTCCTTCTTGGTATCCTGAGGGACCTTAGCAGACGAACTCATGTTTTCTGCAATACGAGTTTATAATGGGGTCTTTTCAACAGAAGATAAAACAATTTCAGGGTTTATGTACATTACTATCACAGATTTTGATTGCGTCGAGAGTTAAAAGAAATTGTCAATGCTTTGAGATAAGATTATTTTTGGAAATAAATCAATCCTTCTTCTGAAGAAGTTGGAAGAAAAAAGATTTTTTATTCTCATTACTCTGACGATGCTTTGAGTAGTATACTAGAGATCCAACATTCTTTGTCACCAAGATGAAAGCAACAAGAACGGAGAAGACCTTGATCCGCCTCTGCTCATCCATTCTCATCCATTCTCTCTGAAATAATGAATGAATGAGGTCATTACAATAAGAGTTTACACACTCAAATCATAATTTTATTTCAGGTTCAAGGAAGGATTCCAGGGCATCATGGTGGATCTCTCCTCCATGTTGCAGATCTACTTGGACCTTGCCCTAGAAAAAATTATATTTTTAAAATGTTTTTTTTTGTATATTTTTTAGAAAACGAAGAATTTAATTTGCAAGGTTTAAGAAAGAGAAAGTTGAAGTTTTACAGGGACTGTAGACGTAATTTCACGCGACCCTTCATTAGTCAGATCAAGAACGAATATCCATATTTTATCTTTAAAAATTTAGTTATTTTCATTCGTAGTTTCTCTAGAAAGTGACTGGCGGATTTCTGGCTAAAGATACAACAAGGGAAATAGTTAGAATTCACTTTAAGGTAGAAAACGAGACTAAATCTCTCACATCATGATCAGATAAAGGTTTTATTAGTACCGGACTGGAGGGTCACTTGAAATTACATTCACAATCTCTTTTAACTATAGATGGAAAATAGTCTATCTTATATTTATTTCATTATTTTTTTTCATGATTATTTGTAAACGGGTCTTAAATCCTGTATCCGCCCCTGCTTCTAGTCATGTTTAAATATTAGAAAAATCGCAAATTTGTTGTTGTATTGTAAAATCTGCCCTAACCATCTCAGAAACATGTCCGTCATACGCCTAACAGTTAAAAAAAGCTAAATAAAGACGACTTTAATATTGAGATTTTTGCTGGTTTGGACTGTACTACTGTACTTGTACCAAAGTTAATTTATATTTCCCTATTCTTATTTATTTTCCTCAATACAAATCCCAAACAAAATATTAATCCGGATTAACATTAAAAAAGTATTTATTAATTTGTACCGACTTATCTTGTTCTCAATAAATAATATTTTAAGATGAAAAATGCCATGGAAGAAAGTTTGGTCACATTTTTATTTTAAGAAAAACTTTGATCTTTTCGATTTGTTTCCAATTCTAGAAATAGGTTCATCTACTAACCTAGGGTGAGCGTGTATAATCTATCGAGACATGACTCTTGCGCATCCAGGTCTAAATCCGTCTTAATTTTGTTAAATAATTTATCCATAGTAGCTCCTTGTATATAGTTGGTATCATGGATAAAGGAAGTTTCGGGTATTTCTCCAAACCTTTGCTTGATTAAAGTCCGGAGCAAAGAATCATTATCATTCAGAACAGAGGCAACCACACTTTCTAAAAAATATTTTTGTTAAAATATTATCTAAGAGTACCCTCGACGAACGATTTAAGCAAGTGCCACTGCACAGTTAATCGAATTCATAAAACCAAATCATATTTCCAAATTAATCTCTTCACTCAGAAAGTTCGAATGAATGTTAAGTTAGTGAACACAATTTTTGAAATCCACGAGATTTATGTTGGTAATCCGCAACTTTACTTTATCTGCCAGAGAAAATGAACCATTTCAAAATTGTATCTATACTTTCTGTTCTGGCAACTGTGGTGTTTTTAGTGGCGGAAGTAGTTCTCAACGTAAACTTTGTTTTAAACTCCTCGTACCTTGAATGGGAGGTAGCTGAAGCTGGGGAGCTTTCCTAGTTGTTGCTGGAATAATTTCACTATGCTAAGCACTTTTAACATATAAGAATTATTACTCTAACTGCTCTAAAAAGTGGTGCAAAGAACGCAATTGTTCTTGGACTAGAGAAGGAGATCATCAGACCCCAGGTTGTAGGCGATCAATGTCATCCTGTAGTCCCCGATGAAGAGTTGATTTCAGTGAGAACCAAATCGGATGTTTCTATCTTCGGCCTTGGATACGATGCTCAAAACAAGTGGACTTATTCTGGCAAAAAGGCAACCCCCATGTACCAAAGGTAAAAATTTAAAGATTTTACATTTCTTAGTTTAGACAAATTATTGGTTTATCATCTTCTATATGTTTAGGAAACCAGTTGAAACCAAGATGTCGTAGACTTCAATAGTATTAATATTTGTAGTCAATTTTATAACCAAAATATACCGTCATTTACCATCGATTTTGCTATAACAATTTAGGGTGGTGTATTTTTAGACCTACGCAAATCCGATATACTCCACTTCTGACCTACGCCAAATCCGTTATACTACAAATCCGACCTACTACCAGGTGGTTTTACAGCTGCTATGGACTTTTAGCCGCAGCGCCCGGCCCCCGAGTCTGTCCTAGCCGCGGCGCTTGGCCCCCTGGCCTGTTCTAGCTGCAGCGCTCGGCGGCCAAGAAATTGTCTTAACCTAACCGGACCCTCAAATAATACAAAAATAAACAGCTGGCGTGATCCGATATTGCAGTAGGTCGGAAAGTTAGTAGGTCAGAAGTTCAAAAACTGGTTTAATGATAAGAGTTATAAATCCATTAGGAACACTTTGTTAAAGGTCAACTGAAATCCTGTGTTTGGAATCCATGGACGAAAGCAGATTGTAATGTTTTAGAAAGAGTTCAAAAAAGAGCAGTCTCCTTTGTGTCTGGATTAAAGGGATCAACCTAAGAAGAAAAACTCGAGGAGCTGAATCTTCAAACACTTGAGGAAAGAGAGCAGACATGATTCAAACTTGTAAGATAGTCTATGGATTTGATAATGTTGACAAAAACACCTGGTTGAAATTTGTTGGTTTGAAGGAGCAAGTCACAAGTTAATCTTGCTAAACCTGTTGCTAAACTGGAGATTAGGAAGAATTTTTTCTCACACAGAGTTATTGACCCATGGAATACTTTACCCTATGATGTTAAAAATGCAAAAAATACAATACAGTTTAAACAACTGTATGATAAGAATCTTTGAGAATAGAGTGGCTGCTGATTTGAGAAAAACTGAAGCTACATCTGATCTATAGCAGACCACACATGAAGAAATCAAGATATTCTCAGCATTCCTATTTGGAAGATGGAGAATTACTTCTCAAGTTCTTAGTTCTAAGAAATCATATTACATTTCTTTTAGGGATATAAACCTGTCTAACAATACAAATAAAAATCATCAATTAGTGGAATCAAACATATTCTACAATCACAGAGCAGTTCTTGGGTTCCGGACAAGTAAACTATGCAGATCCACGGAGCTTGATTTAAGGAGCAAAAAAATCAAAAGTATGCAAAAAAAAATAGTGGTAAAAATGGGTGAAGAAATCTGTAAAGATCTAGATCCGTATTATCAAAAGATTAGATATCAAGTAATGCCCATTGAGTGATATTGAATTGATTTTCTTCCAACTGAAAATAAAGTAGCGCTTACCGTTTTCCACCGTATTAGCACTCCAGTAGACGTGTACATAGGAGAACTGTTCATCAGTTTTCACCTTTGTCAAAACCATTCCGAGTCCAGACAACGCAGAGATCTTTCTCAGAACTAGAAAAAAAATGTGAATACAGAAAGTAATCCATCTTTAATATTAAAAAAAATGGCCTTTGCTAGAAATAGAAACTCGAAAATGAATATTCAAGTTAAAAGTATTTTGATGATTTTACAAACAAAACAAGGCTGAAAATCATTATTCATGCTAATCAGGAGAAAATGCACAATCCTATTTTTGAAAACGATAAACCCAAGATACAAAAAGATACAAAAGTTTAGAAGAAAAATTTAGAAGAAATTTTTTAATAATTTACATTATTATCATCCAACCTAAAGTTTAAGTATCATGCCCTGCATACATGTGAATAAGGGGGGGNGTAAACTTATCAAATGATTAAAAAGCTCACCTAAGCCTAGATCCATTTTGAATGACTGATTGAGCACGACGGACTTCTTATGAAATTCCAGAATCAAATTTTTCTTTTCTTTCGATTTCTTCATTTTCTCCAACCTTTTCAGCTCTCTCTCAACAGTGACATCCATTTGCTTCACAACTTGAGCTTGTCGTTTTAATGCAGTGGACTCCTTTAGGAACCTACTGGACATACCCCGGGTACCAGGTACACCCACCTTACTCTGCAACCTACCACACAAACCCAACATACAACGACACACGTGGGTTGATAATATTGCCATTTTTCTGGAAAATATAGCAGTTTTTTCAAAGTTCAGGTGTAAAATTTCGAGGATTTCGGCACAGTCTAGGATTGATTTTCATCCCTATCTTGAGATTTGAGAATAGCATGTCCGACTTTAACAACTTTTCCAGGCCACAGGTCGAATTGGAAGTTGTCTGGCGCCTCGAAAATGAGAACTATTGTAGATCCGAGGTTAAACTCACCGAAATATTCTCCTTTCTTCACAGGAATACCGGCCTCAACTTTACTCTTAACATAATATTGTTTTAATATGTTTAGCTAGCAATATAGTTCACTTAATATTATTTCAGGTCACCCTCCATTTATGTAGCGGCATGAACGATTTACATCAGTACACGTTAAACTTTTTTCTGATTCAATATGTGTGATTTATAAATAGATTTTATACCTTAAATTAGGTTAATTTCAGCTTTGGATTTTCTATAAAGTTGACTCGATTATTTTAACGACCGAAAAAAAAGAAAGGAAAAAATATTTTTTAAGTCGTTTAAATAAAACGACGATAGCCTCCGAACTGTAAAAAAGAATGTATAAAATGTACCGTTATGAATCGGACATGCCCGCTACACATAAGGGTCACTTGGAAATGTGTGAATAGTCCCTAAAATGCTAACTTAGGTTTCTTTTACCTTAAATGATTTTTGATGGAATGTTTTTGATTCATATTTCCAATTATTAGTTGTAAGCTCAGGGTCCTTTTCCACCTTAACATTTTTAAAATTTAAATAAATATTCTTGTTATTATATACTTAAAAAATTCAAAACTGATTAAAATCTGTAATCTTTGTGCATTGATATTAATGACCTTAAAGGGAGTGACCGGATATGTAAGGTAGTTGAACTGAGGACGCAGTGTTGTGGAAAACTTCAGGATTCATTTGACACACATTTCACTTTTTAAAGATTTAAAAAAAACTAATTCTGAAAGTGTATCCACCCCCAAATCAGGAGTTTTGAACGTCGAATTTGCGCTCAAACTCAGGATTTACAGATCTTTAAAAAGTGTAATATGTCTCAAAGGAATCCTAAAGAAGTTTTCGACAACACTGCATACTCAGTTCAACTACCTTACATAGCCGGTCACTCCCTTTAATAGATAGATATTAATAACCTTAATAGATCCCACATTAGTTGCTCCAACAGCTGTCATAGAGAAGAAACCATGTTTCCATTTGCCTAACATTAGATTAGTTTAATCAAGGAGTAATATGTAGGCGGAGATATGGGTTGTTTTATTCTGCGTTAGAAGTTTTCTTTGAAAAAACTGAAAAGAAGAGACATTCAGTTTTTAATTAAATTCATCTGTTATCAACTATAATTTTTTCTCTCTCACCAATTTAGTGATAAAAAACTTTAGAATATGGCGATCCCCGAAACCAAACCTAACATCTAGCTGGGGGGGGGGGGGAGTTTATTTTTTGAAAAGAGGGGGGAGAGATAAAGTGTCATTTTCCCAACAAAAAAACATGAAATTTCATAACATAAATTACCTATGTATGCAACCCTCTCGTTGAGTGCGAACAGATGACTAATGATACTAACAACCTTCGGGTTCACAGACAACAACTCTCCGGGAAAATGTCTAAATTAATAGTTATTTTAACAGAGTTCTGAAAATAAGATTTTTAAATTTAAAATTGGACATTTCACGAAAGTCATCTAAAAAAGGAGAACTCGATTCCGGTACTTTTCTATAGTTGTGTGCCATCAATATAATTATTTACAATTACTTTACAGGGAAGTTAACGGAATTTTACTTTACCAAGGGTTCCCAAGACCAATTTTGCCAACAAAACATCCAGAGCGTTAGGAGGGATGTTTTGTTGGCGAAATTGGTCGAGGTAACTCTTGGTTAAGTAAAATTTTAATTTATCGTCTTTTGAGAAGCAAATGAGCGATTTTTTTTTCTTCGCAGAGCGGGTGGTAATTTTACTGAATTGTCCCACGGGGTGTAAAGTAATTTTACGTCCCTCTCAAGGGTATTATGGGTCAGTAATGTTGGTCAAACTCAAAAGGTTGTAAAATATTTAAATTTTGCGGGTTATAATGGCCGACATCGTAAAAAGAACTTGTCACATACTTAAATACTCTAATCCTATATCTTTGCAACCTTAAGAATTTTAGATCGAACAAAATTCACATCTTAAAATATTAAAGGTCCATAACTGAGTTGCAAAGATATATTGCTTAGAAAATCAGAGTTTATGGAAAGAACTGTTCCTTTGAAAGTAATATGTTATCCTGGCCCTACCTTCGTTGCTCGAGAATCCAGTCTGTAGGACTATGAAAACAATGGTAATCTCCGGGTGCAAGATACAGAACACATTGATATAAATTCTTCGGGGATTCTTCTAAACAAGATAAAGTAAAATTTTAAAAATCTTCCCGTTTATTTTCTTAATCCATGCACTGTACACAATATCAGGTTGTTTGGATAGGCATTTAGTTCCATCAATGCAAAATACAGCCTTCTTTATTACATTATTGGTTCCTTGTAATGTCTTATTTTTCCAGATCATTTAATAACCCGGTAAAAGGCTAAACCCAAGGGAGAAAACCTTAGTATATCTTCAGATTAATGTATTTACAAAGTTTTAGGTTATCATTAAGTAAGGTAATAAAAGATTTGACAGCAAAAGTTTAAAATATCTGTTAAGCAGTTTTGATCGTTGAAATCAAGTGCATTTTCAGGTCTAAGTCAAACGTAAGTGTAGTTTCATGTTTATTCTGTGTTTATATCAACATATCTTTTCACCATAAAAGGAAGAAACTGAAAAGTGTTGAGACTTCTCTTAAACAGTCATAAAACATGATGTTACAAAAACTCAACGCTTTCGCCTTACTGCCTTAACATGTCGTGATTTTGTCGGATTTCCCTTTATCAAGACTTTTTCAAACAACCTTAAAGTGAACAGTGCATGGAATATGTTCTTAACATGCTATAAAACGAGTACAAATCTGCAATAAAATAAAAGAAGTAACAAACCTTTCTCAACAACTTCTTTAGATCCATGTAGAGCTTGAACCCCTGTGAAAAAGTAACTGCCCAGGAAGGATTTTAATGAATATGTAACTCCTGAACAAAACTTCATTTCACATTTCGGCATGGATTTTACTTGAAACTAGTAAATGAAATCAGGATCAATATGATTACAATAGCAACGATGATATTGGTAAGTCTACTAAGGAACTGAACATTTTCCACAAACTTTAATTTTCTAATCTCGATATCTTTGCAACCAGATAGTCAATTAACTTTATCTATTTTTCTTTCTATCTATCTGTATGATGACTCCACTCCCAACTCCCACAAGAATCCACTCTTCCCACCAATTAATATCCCTATCTTCTATCGAAAATCCGTCCCTTAAACCTGTCCTAAAATGCTGAACAGAACAACAACCTCAGTATCTATCTATCATCTAATGTTTAAGTTCCTGACCTCTAACCCAACATGGAATACTGTAATACATGGGAGGGCGCAAGGGTACAAAATTATCATGTCAATTTAGCCCCAAAACCTTTAGCCAGTGCTTAGGATCCGGATCCGGATCCGCTGGATCCGCATTATTTTGGCTCTTTGGATCCGGATCGGGAAAAAAATGCGGATCCACGGATCCGGATCCAAGCAATTTTATTTTTCAAAATGTGCAAAACAGCGTCATTTTTCCTTAAAAATATCCTATTTTGAATTGTTTAACAGATTTGAAAAATATTCTCAGGGTCTCAGGTTTCTATCTTGCTCAAATCTTAACTCAGACCTCTACCGTGCACCCCTCCCCCCACCCCCTTTAATAACTAGAGAGGGGGGGGGGGAGAAGTCTCCCTTTTCCCCATTGCAACTAAGCAAATTCAGTCTTCACAAATTAAGGTGTAAGGATGTGTAAGAGTGAGGGGGAAAAGGGAGGGGNTACGAACCATTTTGATTTATTTATTCCATGGTTTTGGTTAATTTTTGGCGCTACCCGGATCCATATCAACGTTTCCTGATACGGATCCGGATCCGGATCCGACCAAATGATACGGATCCGACCGGATCCGGATCCGAAACACTGGTTCTCTGCCCTGAAGATATTCAAATCAAACCTAAGGAGTTGCCTGAAGGCAGATATTCCAAATGCCCTCCTTCTACTAAAAGCTAATATGAATTAGACCTGTTTTTTTTTCATCCAATAAAGTAAAAAAAAATCATTATCATTTTGTGCAAACTAGTAGAAAAATAGTATAAAAAAATGTTTAACATTTTTTTAGGTATGAAAAGATATTTCAACTTAAATAAAATTTTTTTTGATCAATGACCTGGATCCGGATCCATTTTTTTGAAAAGCGAATCCAGGATCCGGATCCGGATCCGCATCAAAATTAAATGGATCCTAAGCACTGCCTTTAGCTAATAAAAATCTTTCAGCCCACTGTAGAAAAAGGACTGTGTACCTTTAACCTGTTCTACAAGTCCTGAATGAACATCAACCGGCCCACTGTGCATAACCTTCCCATCACAAGGAGATATCAGGTCTTCACTGGCTATAGGACGCACACTGCTCTAGAAATAAAAACTTGTTATAAAAAACTTACTAAAATAATTTATGAGATAATAGCATGGGAAGTTGGGAACCCAGCCTGGTCTGTAAACTAACTTTTCTAAAAATTTAACCCACTCAATTTAAGTTTTTTTTTAACAAAGCTAAGCATATTACCGTGTTTCTACAGAATTCCCCAATCAAAGTTTGGGGCAAATCGGTCAAGGGGTCCCTGAGTTAGTATCGGACAAACAAAAATCATTACTAAATATATATATATAGAATATAGATTTAGGCTTTAAAATGTTACGATTGATCTTCGATTGTGATTCCTCTCTAATGACTTGCGGATTTATGCTACAGAAATCATGAAGGAAATTGTAAGAATTTGACACTTTTCAGACATGATTAATCACATATATCGTCACGGTACCGTTGTTAAGATTAAGGCTCACTTGGATTACCGAGACAGTTCTTTATTCAAAATATTTAACAAAAACCATTACCTTCAATCTGCGTCTGAAAAATGTTCCTAGGTTTTGATAATATTCTAGATTCTCTACCTCAGCATCAGACAAATCACAGCCAAATGCACTCACATACCAACCTTTATATAAAAACTATACAATACTACATTTTTTTATTTCGGGTAATTCAAATTCAAGGTTGGTCGAGAAACCACTTCCGAAATTTTCATTTTTATTTCCAGCTCTTTTTTAGCAAAAAATATAATCGCTTTAAAATATTGAGAAATTTTTTTTGGTAAATGGTCATTGGCCAAAGCTCTCCTGCCAGAAATATCTATGGGAGAAACAATGCAAAATACAGCCTTCTTTATTACATTATTGATTCCTTAAATTGTCTACTTTTTTGCCAGATCATTTAATAACTCGGAAAAAAGCTAAACTCAAGGTAGAAAAACTTCTCTAAATTAATGTATTTACGGAGTTTTAGGTTGTCAGTAAAGTTGTATCCTTAGTGGGAAACCCTGTATTTCTGTCTATTTGCTTACCTAAAACTTTGGTTCTCAACCATACAGGTAAATGGATCTCATTAATAAACCCCCATAACCTGAACATAAGGAACATTTATTTTGTGAAAACTTTCTGTTAGATTAGTAAATTCAGGGTTTTACAATGTAATATCCTTATTCATTCTTTCTTAAAAATCAAAAGAGAGAAAAGGACTCAATTTGGATTAAATTCTCTTCCCTAGTTCAGTTTCCTTGAAAATCAGAGAAGGGAGGAGAATTCAGTCTAAATTTTCTTCCTCAAAAATCTCCAGGAAATTTAAACAAATTTAATTAGAGGAATTCTCTCCCCCCCCCGCAGTTTTCACCCTTTAGGACGCAAACGCAAACAGGGAAGAAAGATCAGGTGGGAGAAGAAAGCAACTCTACTAGGCAAAACATGAGATTACCTAGAAACGTGTCGGAGGGGTAGATTTGAGTAGCATGTAACCTTCCAATGCTCCGGATGCAGAACCTAAGCAAAACTTCACTTACTCCATAATTTTGAATGTAATTCATTGGTTACTAGATTAACTTCATCATTCAATAGGACTTTGACATCGAAGTTTTATCAATGGAAAAGTGGGGGGGGGGGATAATAGAGTATTCAGGAACACTTACCTTATTTGCCTCCTCTTTAAGCTCTTCTCCTTCTGTCTGCCTTTCGTTTCTAGATCTATGAATTAAATTTTAGAAGTTGTTATTGTTTATAAAAATAAATATAATATAATAATACATTTAACCTTCCCATTTACAGACTTCGTGATTGTTAAAAGTTACTTTATTAAACCAGTTTTTAGATAGAAGCATAAAGGATTAAAGGTGTGAAGACGTGATTACAGGCGACTCTCCGTAGATGTCTGATTCAAAACAATATGCATGAAACCTTAGTCTGATCAAAGATAAACGAGGCCTTCTTTTTTATGTTTAAAAATTGATTGTTTTCATTTGTGGCTTCTCTATTAAATTGACAAGCGCATTTATACGTTTAGACACTTTTTAGACTTTCTTATTGTTACTCTGACAGAGGTCTAAGGGTACCCTTGTGAATTAGACATACTATAAATGGAGGGCCACGTTAATTTATGTTCTCAGTTCTTTAAGTTATAAAAATTACAGATAATAACAATTGTAAAGATTTTTATCATTAGAAAATATTGTACCAAGATGTGGGTTGGAGATAAAATTCGTAAAAATGAGGAAAATCTGGTCTAACCTGATCCTATTCCATTGTAGAATCCCAACAACTAATGCTCCTGCTCCAAGAGGTAAAGGATTGTTAAGAACTTTCTCCAGATATGTTTTCAGGACTCCACTCTCCTGATACAATGGTCAGCATATATATCAGTTCGTCAGTTACTGATATGGTGATATTATACAATTTTAAATAAATAAATCATTGGTATATACACAGACCACTTTTTTTCATGTATTACCCACCCTTAAGTGAAATCAGGGAGGAGGGTTGAACAACTAAATAACATATTAAAGATTGAATTCCAAAATAAGTTTTTTAACCTTTTTCATCTTTTCAATAATGAAAAATAAGCTGTTTGTAATAAGAGGAGGAATGAGGAGAAATTTTGAAGAAAAAAATCTGAATTGCTTAGTTTACACAGTTAACCCAGTGATATGCCTAACCTTAGATTTAGTATGACATCCTCGTGCCTGAGTAATCTGGCCAGATTTTGCCCGAGTTCGACACTGTTCTCTAACAGCTAACCTAAAAACCCGAACTAGCAAACTCGTCATACTTCTGAAAGTAACAGACAAAACAGTTATCACATACTGATATCTTAATCTGAATGAATTAAGTGTACTGAACAAGAGCAAAATACAGAAAATTTCGCGAATAAAAGTTTAAATATTCCATGATTTTGCGGATTACGCTGCAACTTCTCCGCAGTCTTCAACAACGATCTGCTTGGATGTTTTACCGGACCTGGATCCGTAGCTTTCAACCTGAAAATAAAGAAGATTATGTTTTCGCTGTTTTAAAACTAAAATAAAAACGAATTTAAACCTTTATTGTTTGCTTTTATTTTTCAATATAAACCTTTACTATATATACACACACAATAATATGCGATGTACACTGCTCACTCTAGTGAATAGTGATGACCGCAGAAGAAAGTGAATGAAACCCGCTTTCGTTCAATATTTTGACAAGAAACGTCGATGGAAATCTTTTTGAATATGTTCAATTGTTCCGGTCTCATTTTAAGAGTTATACATTATACAATTACAAATTAAAGTAGTTCGGATTTAAAAACTAACACTTTTATTCCGCTTTTAATCGGTTAGAAAACAATTGTTTACTTCACTTGATAAGTTCACAATATCATTTTTTTAGTTTTTCCAAGATAATCTTATCAAGTCTCCTCGTCCCAATTTTTAGTTCCAGTTCCTACCTTTTTGATTATATCCATCCCCTCTACGATATGGCCGAAGACGACATGCTTGCCGTCCAACCACTCGGTCTTGACGGTGCAGATAAAGAACTGGGATCCGTTGGTGTTAGGTCCAGCGTTGGCCATGGAGAGAATACCGGGTCCAGTGTGCTTCAACTAGATCAAATATATTTAAAATTCACACAATGTTAAATTCGGAGAAAATAAGCTAGCTACAATCAACAACCTCTGTTAAACGCACAGTGCTTAAGATCCGCAAGATTTTGGCTTCCTGGATCCGGATCCGAAAAAATATGCGGATCCACGGATCCGGATCCAAGGGGTAAAATATCATCCAAAAATAGCAAAAAAAAAACTTTTTTACTCCTAAAACACAAATCTTAACTTATAAAAATTTACTCATTTCTGAATGGTTTTAGGATAAAAATAAGCGAAAAATTTGAAAATTAATTTTTGATAAAGAAATTCAGTAAATCTTAAAGAAATGACCTGGATCCGGATCCATTTTTTTCCAGTGCGGATCCAGGATCCGGATCCGCATCAAAATTTTTATGGATCCTAAGCACTGGTCAAACGTTAAAAAAATTGCACGTAATATTGAAATCGTATGTTTTCAAACTCCTCTAATTGAAGAGCTATTGAGAAGAACAAAGCTATCTTAAATTTCTAATATATAACTAGTTAAATTTATTATAATCTTTACTCATCTAGAAAAGATGCTTGTTTACCAAGTCGTAACAGTTATGTTGCTTTAATTAGACCTTCTCCTTCCGTCTACTTCAGTGGGCAAAAGAGGCCAAACTATCGCTTATTAAGCTTGCTAATGATAAAGCACTGATTGATGACGCAATTTTAGGACACACATTGAGAACTCATTTTAAGGACGCACTTTTGATGAGGACGCCAAGTCTGATACATTTACATACATCGCAGCATTGTTTGATAAAATATTTACCTGAAAGTTTTCATCCCGGAACTTGGCTCCATAAATAGATTTTCCCCCGGTTCCATTAAAATTAGTAAAATCTCCTCCCTGGCACATAAACTGGGGGATTACACGGTGGAAGATAGATCCCTGAAATACGAAAATAAATTATTCTGAAAATGAAAGTTCTAAATAATGAGACAAAAATGATCTTTAAAACATCTAAAGCAAAAATTAAGGTTTTTAAGATGTTAACAGCTCCCTTGTCAAGCAGGGGGGGGGGGGCATCAAGATACCATTGCTGACCAACTTCTTTGTCGTTCCACTCAGCAAGAGCACTGTAGATAGATAGATACGACCTATGGTAGCACGACTAAGAAATTGGGCGTACACTAAAACAACTAATACCAACATGATACCGGTCAGAACTCGTACCAAAAACCATAAAATCGAACAAAACAAATACTGGCGAATTATAATGTAAAATTCATGCAATACAGTTTAGAGGGGCCATAAAAATATCGAAAGGAGGACTCAAGTTTTAACTTCTTTAGGTAGACAAAAAAACATAAGACATGATACATTTCAAGAATAGGATAAAATATTCGCTTTGTAACAACTTTAAATACACTCAAGTTTGTTGTCTTTTCCCGTCTAAAGTTTTAAGCGTCCTATTATACTTAATTCATACCTTATATCCAAACCCCTTTTCTCCAGTGCACAGAGCTCTGAAGTTCTCTGCAGTTTTAGGAACAACGTCACTTCTTAGCTCCATAGTAATCCGTCCTAGCTTCTCACCACCAGCGGTCAACTCAAAGTAAACCCTGATAAAATACACATTGTACAACTAACTCATGACACTGTTAATAATTTAAACATCTATGAATAATGTATATAAATGTTGTGAAGATCTAAATGTTAATGAAGAATCTTTTTTTTAAATTACGACTTTTTTAACATTATTAGAGAATCAAGATTCCGAACAGCGGAATGCAAAGTTACGTAACTGTTCCTTGGAACAATTTAAAATACATTTAAATAAATTTTAGACGATTTGTTGGCATAATTGGTCTTAGTTTCCATAGATCAACTTCCCTGCAAAATAATGGTAAATAATGATCACAAGTGAAAATTACAACTATTTTTTGTATGATTACTCTTCAGTTGTATTTACTGACAACTTTGCAAGCGAAAACTGTTACCATGATTTTAATTGACACTTCATGTACAGATGGCAATGAACGATTCACAGCGGTAACCTTATAACCTTAAATGATCAAAAGCGTGGAAAATAAAGTAGTTTTCCTAGGTTTAATTGACAATTCCTATTTTTTTCAGCAGTAGTAATGTGCATTCACTTAGTCTAGAATCCACAATTCAAAATAAACAGCTGTCAAAATTATTAACATTGATATCTGATTCATACTTGAAACAAAACTTTTAAGGGTGCCGTTCTGAATCGGACATTGCAATCTTTGCATGGAAGGTCACTTGAAATTACTTTTACATTCCCTTTAGTACCTGGGGAGGGGAGCCTCGGCGGACAATTGTCTTGTTCCATTTAAGGTCCAAGCACCCCAAGCTCCTGAAACGATATTTTTGAAAATAACCATTATAAAATACTTTATTTAACTCTATTCAATACTGGTATTTTATTAATCAACTCAATAATCTAAATGTATAAGAAGATTTGTAATTGGGATCAGAAATCCTCAATTTAGATTTTTCAATGTATTTAAAAATCTAATTCATAAGTTGGCCCTCACCTCCGGATCCGTAAGATTTTGGCCTTGGATCCGGAAAAATATGCGGATCCACGGATCCGGATCCAAGGTATAAAATATCAACCAAAAACTGCAAAAAAAAACTTTTTTACTTCTATAATTCAAATCTGAACTTTTGAAAAAAAGAGATTATAAAAATGTCCTTGTTTCTAAATGGTTTATCAAGTTCCGATAAAAAATAAGCGATTTTTTTTTTTTAAATTAAAATTATATTTTGTTAAATCCGGATCCATTTTTTTCCAGGATCCGCACTGGAAAAAAATTAAATGGATTCTAAGCACTGCTTACGATAATTTTCCTTTCCATTAGGTTAAAATTTTTGAAATTTCTCAAATTGTGGAAGAAAAAAATTGCTAAATACTGAACCTAGGTTTGATTTTGAGAGTTATTTCAAATACAGAGAACATAAATAGAACAAATACGACCACTGAACCAGTCTCCGTTATTAAACATAACTGGGTTAATTTCAGTTTTCTATTGTTCCTGTCATTGCTTTATTCTTAATAAAAATAATTGTATAATGAAGAGAGAAAATAACATTTATGGCGACCACAGTACTATTTCACAATTAATGGGTTCCGCGTTTCTTACTGGTTTCATTTTTGCAATTTCTAACCAGTTCTCACGTTTATCTAAAAACTTTATTACTGGACTTTAAGTCGGTAAAGTAATATTTTAAAAACGTCAACACCCTTTTCAAAACCATCTTTAGGGGTTGTCGAACATGGATTAAATCCAGTCCCTATATGCGAAAATATTAAGGTTGACCTTAATCCACTTTTCATTTAAGTGAAAACTCGCTTTTATAACGGTTTCAATGTCTATTTTACTACATGTTTAAAATCGTGGCCTACTTGACTCACCAACATTAGCAGATAGTAACAGACTGCTGGTATTGGCAGCCTTATTGCAGACAAGACGACTGAAAAATCCCATATTTCTGAAAATAAATTTATTTCTCTCTCATAAGACAAGATTTTACACAAGATTTACAATATAGTAGCTCGACAGATAAATTAGACCGGGGTTAAGAGCATATCAGTAAACTGCTCTGTATACCCCGGGATGATGATGAGATTATGAGTTTAATAATTGATGAAGGATGAGTTTAGTCGCTGCGCTGGGTCCGTGAATCTGGGTTGGAAGGGCTCCAGGTTAAATGCTCTGGTCGGTTATACTTCGTGCTGAGGTCATCTGGATTGTTGGATTACATCATACCGCCCATACCTCCCATGCCACCCATACCTCCCATACCGCCCATACCGCCCATACCGCCTCCTGGCATACCGCCGGCGGGAGCTGCTTCGACGATTTCGCAGATCACGCACTGAAAATATTTTTTTAATTTTTAATTTGTAAATTCGTGATTTGGGCACTAAAAGAACACTTCATGAAAACTCAGGTTCTTAAAAAATCCTCCCCCTCCCCCTCCTTTAAATCATTTCCCCCGAGAAGTTTATATGTAATAGCGAAGCACCAAATTTTTTATAAATGAATATGTGAAGGGAAGTAAGAAACGATAAAAAATTTGTCTAATTTTTCATTCTTTTATCCAGGGCATCACAGCTCATTCCCCCCCCCTCACCCCACCCTTGTGGAAAATTTAAAAAAATAAAAACTTGAAGGAGTTTCCACATTTTTAAACTAATAAAAAGATGTCTAGAATTACCTCAGCTGTAGTGAGAAGAGAAGCAACACCGCTGGCATCTGTAAGAGCTGTCCTGACAACCTTGGTTGGGTCAATAATACCCTCAGTAATCATGTTTACCATCTTCTCAGTAGCAGCGTTGAATCCCATGTTTACATCTTCACACTCCATAACCTTGATATTCATAAGGTATGGACAGGTTGAAATANGGGGGGGGGGGGATAAATAATAGTTGAATCATTAGTGCTTAATATCAGTTTCATTTTTAACCCGGTGTCGTGCATGGAGAGCATAACCCTTCAAGAGCCTACCCACTGGGTTTTTTAAAATTTTAAAACAATTTTAATCATCAAAACCAATTTTTTAAAATTTAAAATTAATAATTTTTCATAAATAAATGCGCCTTTAGTTATAAAAAGTATATTGAAGGGCGAAACCAAAAAAAAAATTACTCGCAAATGTCGTCTTCCTTTAAATAAAACAAACAATCATTGTTTCTTTCAGACATAGATAATTATGTTTGCCCAATCAAAATACCTTAATAGATCTCGGGCAAGTGTCAAAACATTGGTTTTGATGTCTTAAATTGTTCAGAAATGGTGTAAACACTCTCTGCGCACGACACCGGATCCAGGTCTTGAAACATTTCTTCAAAATTTACTGATTTTTAAACGAAAGAAAAATGTTCAGACATTAATTCTTAGTTTTTTTCTCTCGGTAATTTATATGCTGATACTGTTCACAGATTCGGAATTTTTTTATAACAATCTCTTGTCTTAGTTAGATCAGGTTTGTGTTTTGAGTGAAGTTTGTTTTTCTGGTAGGTGAGAAATCAATCTTAAGTGAAATTAAAAATAAATATAAATCCCTCTCGAAACTAAATGTTTTATAAAGTTGGGACAGAAAATTTTCTCTTAGTCTCCCTTTAAACGTTCTTTTTTCTAAAAATAGTTTTTCGAAATTTTTCTGGAAAAACTACATCTCTCAATTGTAATAAGTTTTTATGAAACAAAAATGTATGTTTACCGTGAAACTAAGAACCATGTTAAAAAACCACGAGGTTGTGGATTGTGGGATAAAATACTGGTTTACCTTGTTTACAATGACGGAGGCGTCGAGTCCAGCGTTGGACGCGATTGTCCAGCAGGGTTGCTTGAGAGCGTGTCTCACAATCTCAATTCCTTTCTTCTGATCCTCGTTTACGAAGGCAAGAGTGTCCAGGATTGGGATACATCTAGCGAATAGAAGATTTCATTTTAAGCAAAAACTACATAAAATATTTAAAGTTTATTTCTTTCTAAACTCTCCCCAATCCTTATATTAAAAACTTTTTTATAACATCCAAACTAAAAGTTAACGGAGAAAGGGAACACTTAAGAATTTGTGTGAAGCTTGATGAAGAAGTACTTAGAAACTGGCTCCGCATACACTTTAAGGGGTTGGATCCGGGTCCATCCTTTATTGTATCTTTAGCCCAAATAAGGTCAATTAACATTTGGTCTTACGAAATTTGCAATTAACAGTTCAGAAGTCCATAAAATCTGCCACAAGTTGTATCCTAGTCCTAAATTTCTGTCGCCAAATGAAGTTTTACATCTTATACTTGTCGGTCGATCTTTCTATCTATCTACCTGATAAGAGCAACTCCTCCACCGGGAACAATTCCTTCCTCTACAGCTGCTCTAGTAGCATTGAGAGCATCAGTTACACGATCCTTCTTCTCATTTACTTCAACCTCGCTGGAACCTCCGATCTAGAATAAAAATCAGCGCTTAGGATCCATTTAATTTTGATGCAGATCTGAATTATCAAAGGAAAAAAATGGCTCCGAATATAAATCGAATTTTTACTGAATTTTAACAGAAGAAGTTTCAAAGAATTTATTCTCCTTTACCGCTATTTTTTTGCTTAAACTATTCAGTTGCCCCTTGGATCCGGATATTTTTGCAGATCCGGATAAAATTCAGTTCATCTCTACAGCAATATAATCTTCAGAATATGTATGCGACAGAATAGATGGCATAATTTTCTGTCAAGGAAAAACTAGAAACAGATTGATTTTGCACTGAATTTCCCAGCGGACCGGAGCTGAAAACTTTTAACTGGATATTCCAACTTTAACATCTTGTTAAAATGCTTGAACCCCAAAAGCTCGTTTATTTTCATAAAAGTTGTCGGATGAAAACCCATTCATACAAGATTCCAGGCTTCAGAAAGCTTAGCGCCCTTTTCTAATATCAATGCCAGCTTTTAAATGATGCTTTCCAATTTTTGTTCTTCGCGGGATTTTTCTGATTCGACCGGTCAAAAACCTCACCTTGGGCCTAGGACGTCACCAAAATAAGATTTGGGCTCACTCAGTTTAGTCGTTCTGACGTTGCTTGGATACAAACAAACAAACAAACTAGTACCTTGAGTACAGCAACTCCACTGCAGAGTCTGGCCATCCTCTCCTGCATCTTCTCCTTCTCATACTCACTGCTGGAATCCTAATATTAAATGATAAATATGAAAAATTATCAGTTCTATCATTTTATAGTAATCCTTTCCGGCATATAGTGGAGGGGGGGGGGGGTATTCTAAAGAAGGGGGAAGTAGTGATGTATTCAGAAAATATATGAATATGTTAATTTTGAATAAGATGTCATTGATAACAGAAAAAGTGAATACTTCTTTACCAATTCTAAGAAAAAAATGTAAAATTGAAAACCCATAAACCATTTTATGGTTGCTAAAAAAAGTTATTCGAAATTAAGCTGTTTAAAAATCCAACGTTCAAAATTTCTCACCTCAATCTGGTCCTTGAGCATTTCAACCCTCTTAGCAATATGAGCTTCAGCTCCCTTGCCGTTCAACATTAGGGTATCATCCTTGGTGATCACAACCTCTCCGACCTACACAAACAAGTACAATAGATCACTATTACCGAAATATATAAAAAAAATTTAAAGACAAAGGTTGGTTTTATAAGTAAATGTTCTCTATTTGTTTATTCCTTCTTGTTTCCTTGTTTAAAACAGACATTTCAACGGTTTTGTAAAAAGACAAACGAACGTTAAAACATCATTCAAGGGGCTAGATGAGAAAAAAAACAGGGCAAAGAACTAAAAAATGAGGTAATTGGCTTAAACCGCATTTTCATTCGTCAAAACTTCAGAGTTTCTAACTTCAGCATTTTTCTCTTTGATCGGAACTTTAAAGGGGAAAGAGGGATACTCGGAAGGGGGGGGGTCAAAATAAAAAGGGGTACCTTGCCAAAGTCCTGAGCTTGAATGTCCTCCAATTTAAGATCAGATCCCTCCTCTCCGAACACAATACCGCCGGTAGCAATCGCCATGTCCTGCAGGGTATTCTTCCTGTTATCACCGAATCCTGGCGCCTTAACGGCGGCAACCTGGAGACCAATCTTCAGCCTGTTGATGACGAGAGTGCTGAGAGCCTCGCCGTCGATATCCTCGGCGACGATGATCAGAGGACGCTTCATCTGGTTAGCCATCTCCAGGGCAGGGATGATGGACTGGATGTTGGAGATCTTTTTCTCGGAGAATAAGACGAGGGCGTCATTGTACTCAACCTTGGCTCCCTTGGTGGAGTTCACGAAGAAAGGAGAAATGTATCCCCTGTCGAATTTCATGCCTAAGAAATTTCAGCTTAAATAAATTTTCCTTTTTATAAGCCTTTCAAATTGTATGCAATAATATTCAAAATAATGATTTCATCTCAAAGGTTACCTTCAATAATATCCATCTCGTCCTTTAAGGTTTTTCCATCCTTGACGGTGATGACGCCGTCCTTTCCAACTTTACGCATAGCTTCACTGATTAGGTTTCCAACAGAAGTGTCTCCGTTGGCAGAAATGGTGGCAACCTATAGCAAAATAAACAATTAAATATATACAGGGTGTCCCACGAAACATGACAGTATGCAGGACGACTTGAATGTCGTCTTGATTTTTGATATAATTTGCTGCGTTTATTTGTCAATCTAGTTTTAGAAGTAAATTTCTAGAGATAATAATCACAAAATTTCCCTTGTCCTGCCATTTCCAAAATGTGGTCTGCCTTTTTTGTGCTTTCAATATTGCCCGAGATATGAAGAATTTCGTTCAGATTTCGACAATTTTGCTTTTATTTAACAAAATTAAAATCTGAACCAAACTCTTTATATCTCCGGTAATATTGAAAGCACAAAAAACGCAGACCACTTTTTGGAAATGCCAGGGCTAGGAGAATTATGTTATAATTGTTTCAAGAATAATACATGTTAAAGTAGATAGAAGACTAAATGTCACAAATAAATTCAAATACCAAAGACGACTTTCAAGTCTATTGTCATGTTTCGTGGGACACCCTGTATATTTCATCGACAGTAATAGATAAATTGATAACTCTTAGTTTGGGGAAATGTGCGTTAGCATTAGACATATGAAAATAGGTGAAAAGACCATAAGTATTGGGGTCATGTTCGAAATTATTTTTGATTTTTGTTTTACAAAGGATCCAGTGAGAAAGCAGAAGTAATGCAATAGTGAAGCAGATACATACCCTACCATTCTGTTTCATATCATCATTAGAAAACCTTTTTGTATATTTTGAATAATAACATAGTCTCCCTGTAGTGTAATGGAGCGTTTTGTGCCCTAAAATTATCAACTTCAAGCCCCCCCCCCCCCCTTAGATTTCTGATACCATTATTTGTTAAATCATCTCCTCCCCTTTTCACCTTCTCTCTTCCCTTCCCTCTTACCCTTTTCTATTCCCTTTCCTTTTCCCATTCCCTTTCCTTTTCCCATTCCCTTTCCATTTCCCTTTCCTTTTCCCTTTCCCATTCCCTTTCCCATTCCCTTTCCCATTCCCTTTCCCATTCCCTTTCCCATTCCCTTTCCCATTCCCTTTCCCATTCCCTTTCCCATTCCCTTTCCTTTTCCCTTTCCCATTCCCTTTCCCATTCCCTTTCCTTTCCCATTCCCTTTCCTTTTCCATTCCCTTTCCCTTTCCCTTTCACATTACCTTTCCCTTTCCTTTTCCCTTTCCCATTCCCGTTCCTTTTCCCCTTCCCTTTCCCCCTTCCCTTTTCCCTTTCCCCCTTCCCATTCCCCCTTCCCATTTCCCTTTCCCCCTTCCCTTTCTCCTTTCCCCTTTCCCTTTTCATTTACTCATTCTCTTTTCCACTCTTTACTACTTCTATTCTCCCCTTCCTTTTTCCCCTTCTCCTTTTATCTTATTTCATAATTTTTTTCCACCAAACACAATGAAAGCTCATATTTTTGCCACCCCCTACCCCATAAAAAAAATATGTCCCCCTGGAGTTCTGTAAAACTAACCTGAGCAATTTCTTCAGGAGTAGTAACTTGTTTGGAAAGTGATTTTAAATGCTCACAGACAGCCTCAACCGCAGCCATAATACCACGACGAATCTCAATAGGATTGGATCCGTGTGTAACAGAGTCAAATCCTCTGGTTGCAATAGCTCTGGCTAGGACTGTAGATGTAGTAGTTCCATCGCCAGCCTCCTCATTGGTCTTATTTGCGACATCTTGGACCAACTTAGCTCCGATGTTCTGGAACTTATCCTTTAATTCGACAGCTTTGGCGACGGTGACACCGTCTTTCGTGATTTTAGGTGACCCCCAGGAAGATTCAATTACAACGTTCCTACCCTTGGGTCCCATTGTCACGGCGACGGCGTCCGCCAAAACATTCACTCCTTTCAACATCTCCGCCCGAACCTCCGCCCCAAATCTAAATAAAATCAGTTAAATTTAAATATGTAAAACCACTTAAAGAAAACATTCCCACTCTAAATGCTCATTGTAACATAGTGGTAAACTTCCAGAGGTCATTTCATCCATTAACTAGATTGGTTGACAACTTGACGCAGCGCTCGGCCCAGAAAGTGTCTTAACTAACCTAAACCGTGGCCGCAGCGCTCGGCCCCCTAGCCCATCCTAGCCGCAGCGCTCGGCCTAGCATATCCTCGTGTGGAGGACGGTAGGGCGCAGATATTCTTGAAACTGTGAAGACGAGCAACGCGAGCAAGACTGAACATTCTGATAATATGTATGTAACTTTCTAGACGCGGAGAAGTGAGGAGAAAGAGATTATAATCTGAAAATAAATGTTTTAATAAAACTTCGTAATTAAATTGATCCATTTTTGACCAACTGGAACTTGTCAGGCCACATTCACATAATATATGTTGAGAATTCAAGATGTCTGTAACATTTCATAATCACTCTTAAAAAGCAAGGCTAAAAACCGTACAAAATGTCACAAACAAATTTAATACGCAAGATTAAGATCTAAAATGATAGTAGTATGAGCATGAGCATGGCCTGACTGAAACCGGTTTTACCGGATCCATGTTTGGTTTGGTTTCGGGGGGAATATTCGAGAAAGAGTTTCCGGTCCAGACTCCTGAAACAGCTGATAAATGGGCTAGCGGGGCCGGTAAACTAGACTAACATGTGTGAGAAAATTCTTAGGAATATTAAACGAGGGGGGGGGGAGGGGAGAAGGTTCTGGTAACTTTTATTTTTTAAGCATTTCTTCATTTTCAGAAGGTGTTAAAAGTCGTCTTAGATAATTTACAGATTATGAAAAGTGTCGCATCAACGGAACGAACTGAAGTGAGTTTTCCAGCACTATAGTTTTTTGAAATTATTATTTTTACATTTCATACAAATCTTTTTAGTCTGGATTCAACTGAATTGGGTTTTCTTGTATATTTTTTTTTTGAATGCATATTGCTTGAATATATTTTTTTTTCAAGGAAACTAGTGAGCTATACATATGACTTACGTCCAACTCCCCTTCTCCCGGGTTCCAACTGCTTAAATTTATTTGGCGCGTACATGAAGGCCATTTGCACTGCCAAATATAAGTGCTAATTTCGTCCCGCTCCCCTATAGAAAAAGACTTAATAGGGTCAAAATGCATGGTGCAAATTGCTCAAATTTTCAAGGCCACAGCTCAATAAAGAAAAAATTAGACCGCTAACATTTATGTATTTTGGGTGCAAGGGAGGTTTCAAGAAGCGCAAATAAAAAGGGTCGGAAATTTGTGAAAAATATTTTTTTTCCTAGACAAATCTCATACGTGGTACATGATTCGAACATTTATTTTTCAAAGGCTTTTTAAAAATGTAAATAGAAAGTCTATAGCATTAGTCAAAAAATTTTCTATTAAATATTTATAGATTTTTTAACACAGGCAGGACTTTTTCCGCCCTGTTTAGGGTTTCCAACGTATATAGATTATTCTCTTACGCGTAATTACGTGCAGTTACGCGTAATAATTTTCATTTCGTGTAATTTCGCAGGATTACCGTAATTGGGGAAATATCCTAAACTAGACTTTCTTTCGTAAACGTAATATATGCGTAATTACGCGTAATGCTCCTGCGTAAGTGAAAGAAAGTGTTACGTTTCGTTACGCGTAATTACGCGTAACGAAATTACGACTGGAAACCCTAGCCCTGTTCTCTACGATCTCTACCCATCCATTATAAAAAAAATACGACAAATCCTTTAAATTACTATTCCTAAAAATTCAGGGTGAAAGTGTCAAAAATAGCTTGTATATATAGCCTTTATTCAGGTTTATTATTAACTAGCTCTAAAGGGCCCGGCGGTGCCCGTGTAAAAAATTGTTTTTATTTAGATAATAAAAAATGTTACAATTTTTTTTCGATTTTTTGGCCATAACACCCCCAGCCACCCATGATTGTCCACAAAAAATTCAGCCTGATAGGTCCAGCGTCTTGTTTTATTACATAGATTGGTTTGTCCTATCATAACGAAACGAAAAACGAAAAGTAAAAAATAAAAAATTTTGGAAAAGAGGAAATTAATCTAACTTTTGTGAGAATCAGAAAACGGTATCATAATGAGCCGACATAAAAGAGATAATTTAGGGTATTCAAAGTTTTATGGTAATCCCGTTATGTGTAAAATTTTTCTGCAATAAATGATCTCACAATTTTTATTTGTATGTGAGAATGTTAGGTTTAAAACCATTTCAAACTTAATTTTAAGAACAGAGCAGATTACCTTTTTCCTTCTTTTACTAAGTTAATAACGATTTTTAAACAACATACATCTAAGAGCTAAAAGCTAAAAGCAATATAATATAGTGACAAATTGAAATTAAAGATATAATTATGCTCTTTTATATAAAATTCGACTTTTAGAAAACTTAATATGCTTTAGTTCGAGTTTTACAGGCATTTGCATCCTTTTTGATGCTATTTTCTTTGTACTAAAAATAATATTCGGCTTTTTTTTCAAGTAAAGTTTTTTCTGTAATGTACATTCATTTTATTCATTTATGGTTTCTAGCCTTTAATTCAAAGCATTTACCACAAAAAAATATTGAAAGTGAATTTGTTGTTATTATGCAAATACAAAAAATTTCTCGATCGATAGCTTGCAAAAAGAATGTTTTAAAGCAAACAAAATATCTATTTAAAATAAGATGTAGTATGTGACGTTAAAAATTAGGTCTTAAAGGGATTGTAAAGGAAAAATGAAAGGAGGTATAAGCTGAAACCTAAAAATCTAGGAGTTGATAGAAACCCTTGAGAGTTCTTCTGATGTTCCTGTCTCGAGAAATTGACATAAAACGGTGTCAAAACTCAAAGGAATTGAGTCTTTGCCACAAACTCTGATTTTCTAATCACATATATCTTTGGAATCAAATGTTGTAAACCTTAGATATTTCAAACTATGAGTTCTGTTAAATCAAATGATCTGAGTTTGAAATATCAAAGGTTTACAACATCGGAATCTAAAGATATTAGGGTTTAAATATTTGATTTTGTTCCAAAGACTCAATTCCTTTATACGAAAATCTATGTATATAAATTTTTTTGAATAATAGGTTTAAACGGATCATATTCAGCATATACGCAACTAATCTGAATTAAAGCGACGATATCTCTAAGGAGCCTAAGTAACTTAGGTTTGCTCCTATTATAATTTTATAATTTTCCTTTTTCATTTTTAAATGACATAATTGATTTGGATTCCGGTTTTCCTGTTCCCGGTATTTCCTCATAATTCTCGAGCATTCTTAACTTTCATAGAGACTCAAATTATTGCTTCTACAATATAATAAATACGTCAGAACTCTGGTCTCGTGATAGGGACGTGATAATTATATTTTCAATCTAATAAAAATGATAAATTATTAAATTCAAATAATATAAGTTCTATAGAAATTTCTTAAGACAGGAACATCAGATAGAACTCTCATGGGTCTCGATTAACTCCTAAGATACTTAGGTTTCAACCTTTAAACCCTTTCATTTTTCCTTTACAGTCCCTTTAAGGCACTTTTTTAACTTTATGCCCACTCCCCTTTCTAGATTCCTATTTCCTAGGTTCCTTCCTATAGCTAGGGGCCTGAGTATTTTTACATGCTGCATGGAAAACCATTTATGTTTTTAAAATCATGCATTTAATTAATATTTAATTAATATTTTTATTACCATTTTGAAAGTTTAAATTGTCAGATTATACACTTAAGTTAGAAAAAAAGTAATCTAAAAATTTAAAAAGATTTAAAACAGTTATTTATATCATGTACATAATGCATGGCTATATCATAGATTAATTAAAATAACAGATAGTACTCTAGATGTCGTCTTTTCAAGATTGCAGTGTGTTCCGTTTACTATTGCCTTCAGGCAGAAGCACAAAGGAGTTACATGTAGTCAGCGTTATAGAACAAAGACAGAGAGAGCGCCTGTTCTACGCTGACTACGTGTAACTCCTTTGAGCTTCTGTCTCAGGGTTATTGTAAAAGAAACACACAGAAAACTTAAAATAGACGAGATCTAGTATCCTATCTGTGAGATCTGTGATCAATGTTAGAATTTTTGCATAGCAAAGGATATGAAGAAACCACGTGCTGTTAAAGCTAGATTGACAGCTAGCAGAGGGCATCATCTCCTACACCAACATGTTCACAAGTTTCCTGACAATTAACTCCAGCACATGAAGACATCACATCCTCCTTAAATTTTTTTTTTTTTGAAATTGTTAACTTATGGATAGAAAGCTCTGAATAATTTTAGCAATCTGAAACGTGTTAGATGTTATTAAAAAGCAGAAAAGTATAATTTAAGGCAATTAATCAGTTTAATTGATGTAATCAGTGTTCTAAATTTCAATTTCGTTTTGACCCAATCAACATAGATTTTCGTTGACGTTATGATATGTAACATTTGTATTTAATAAGTTTTTAATATAGTTTGTTAAACCGTTCTGATCTATTCATGCAAAGGAACAGTTCAAATTTATGCAAGATTTGTAATCTTGCAGCTTCTCAATTTTTGATCTTACACCCTTCAGCATGAGAATATCAAAATAACTTTATTTTGCGGCAGTACTTGCATCTTAAAAATTCTTACACTAAAAACTAAAAAAACTTCCTGAATATCCCATCACTAATTGTACCTTAAAACCAGAAAGCCAGGTGAGTAGTTGATCCTCAGCAGATATTCCCTCAACCTAAACAATATCTCTTCTTTTAATGGAAGCCAGGTGAGTAGTTGATCCTCAGCAGATTTTCCCTCAACCTAAACAATATCCCTTCTTTTAATTTTTTTAACAATTTTTAAAATTTAAATATAAATTTTTGGGTACAGATCATAAAAAAAATTTAATTTTCATTATTCTTGTCATAAGTTAAGCCCCCTTAGCCTGGAAAATTTCCTGTGTATAGCGCAAATGCAAGTTTTTCCTATTCCCCGGCTTACCATTGAAGGGAAGAGAAATGCATTGCTCCCACCCCCCTAATTTTTTTTTACGATGGCAGTCCCTTTAAAGCGACTTTTTTGGGAAACCCTATATGTATTATAAGGGAACTTTATTAAAATACCATGAAACTTGAAATAACGTACTTTTTAATTTTACATTTCTAAATTTACAATTTTACTACCTTAATGCTTTGAAACTTTGATGATGTCATAATGCCATGATCATAGCAGGCTGGAGCAAATACCACATGTTCAGGGTTAGATACTATATCTGCAACTGTTTCCTCCATATCAGGTCGGAATAAATCTTCAACATATCTTTAAAAAAGAAAATTTGTTGAATCGTCATTTTACATTCAAAAATATCAAAAACAAAACTTATAAAACACAAAATATGACACATTACAAAACATATATAACTTATAAAACATACTTAAATATATAAAACATAACATATCACAAAATATGTCATAATACAAAACAGCATATACTAAGGAAAAATTATGTTTATGTAGAAATTTTTTCCTGTACATATAGTATTCCTTTTTAGGTATAGGTTCATTTGAATTGCTATAAGTTTTTTAGTCCTGGCAAAACCCGCAACCAAGTAACCCGTTTAATCTCAAACATTAGGTCTAAGAGTTGATAAATTATCTTGATAATGATTATTAAACAAATAACTATTGAGTCTATTGACATATTTAAACAACAAATTGTTATTTAGTTTATTTACTGTTCATTTATTTTGATTGTTTCTAGTTCAATTATCAACTTGTGATGTTATATAAATAGAATGTTCCAGAGCCTGAATATGGGAATACAAAACATAGAATGTTCCAGAGCCTAAATATGGGAATAAATGATGATACAAAAATAAGTTTCATATACACTATACAGTGAGCCTTTTAAAGAATTGCCAACCTCAACACCCAGGTTACTCATAGTTACTCCCGCCGTTTACCCACACACACACTTGGCTGCAATTTTGGCTAATTTTCCCTTGTAAAAGTGGACAACAAAATCAAGAACATTCCCGTAGATCTCCCGAGTTCCCCAATTAAAGTTTGAGAAAATCGGTCAAGGGGTTCATGAGTTAAGATCCGACATACAAACAGACAAACAGAGATTACAGCTCTATATTTATAGATACAAACCTACACATTTCTGGATCCCAGTGAGCTGGAGATTTTCCCACAGCGTTGGATAACTGGTAGGAATCATACAGATAGATTAATACTTGAGATGGGGTCATCACCCTGGGGAAACAAAATAGAGAAAAATAATCTTTAATAAAATATTTTTTAACCTGTTCACCAAACTTCGTAAATTAGCAATATCAAGTAAAATAACCAACCAATTACTTACTAGAATGTTCTACTTCCTATACCTTTGCAACCTTGTGATGTAAACGTTAAATATTTTAAACTTTGTTTGAACAGAATTCATACTTTGAAATATCTTTGGCATTGGATTGCAAAGATATAGCAATGAAAAGAGAGTTTGTGCTAAAAACTCAGTTTCTTTACATCAAATGTGGCATAATAACGTGAAATTTACATATTTTGGTTTATAAAAGTTGAACTAATTAAATACCTTGGCAGCATATATTCTCCACAAATACATTTCCAAAGTTCTCCTGTAAACTCCTCTCTACAGATCTCACTGACAGGTGGTGCATACATCTCAAATGCTCTCTTGCATTGTTCTCCGAAGGGTGTATATGATGAAACATATGGTTGAATATCTTGATAAGCTCCTGAGTCATGAACTCCTCTAATGGTTGTTGTGTCATGAACTAGATCATGAATAAAGTCTATAAGAACCATGCTACCCCGACCTCCTGCTGAGGTGCCACCAAACAGAATCTCTTGATCAGGTTTATTTCCAACTAGATGATTTTTTAACTGTTATAGTTGCTAAGAAATAAAATGCACTTGATTACAAAATATTTAATTGTTTAAGTGTTCTGCTCAGGTTCCGAATTTTCAATAAAAGATAATTAGTTTTAAAAACTATTGAAGAGAAACATGAGCATATACTGGGATTTGTCCATAACCTTTTTTGACGTTCCCATCCTATTGGGGGGGGGGGGAGGGAGCTAAAATCATAGTTATTACTTCTCCAAATGAAAAAAAACCCAGTTTTTTTCTTTATCCAGGATCATATTAATTACCAAGTTCTTCAACTGCAGCTCTAGCCATTCTTCGTCCTCTAAAATGTTTAAGTCCCAATGTATCTATCTAAAAAGTATGGGAGAGTCAATGTTAAAAGTCTGAAAATTAACTTTTAAAAGTTCGTAAACATTTCATTTTGCGAAAAAACATGGTATGAACAATTGAATAAATTAATATCCTTGAAACACCCAGGTTAAACTGGTTCAAAAAATATAAGTTTTGATTTATACACAGAGCCAGAAAAGGCAAAGTATATTGAACAAAAAATCACATGCATGCTTCTGGTGGATTTGGATGTAAATATGCGTGGTTTGGGTGTTGATAGCAGATTTAGATGTATTCTGCAAATATGGTGGTTCGGATGTTGACATGTACCGGGTTCATGATGGCATTTTGATCAAATTTTGACCAAATTTTGTTTTATAATTATAGACCTGATGATCTGAATCTCCCATATGAGCATCAGAAGAACAGTACGGTACAAACACAAGGTTAGCGTTATACCAGTCCTCATCTTTCAGATCAAAGATACCTAACACACTTTCACACTTATTTTAGTTATCAGTCATTATAGACAACAAGGAAAATATTGAGAAGAAATAGTTGAATATACTCAAATTAAATTAAACCACTTCTCTTCAGCTGACGGGGGGTTTTTTGGTAATGCCAATTTGGTAATAACAATTTGGTAATGCCGACTTGGTAAGGTGAAAATTTGGTAATGACAATTTGGTAATGAAAAGTACATAAAGTGACAATTTTGTAACTACAAAAAAGTGACAACAAGGTATATAGCGACATAAAAGTAACTATTTGGTGACAGCATATAAGGTCTACGATATCAGGTGGCAAAGATATAGGGATTTGTTAGTTGTTAGTTCTAAGTTCTTTTATTGTTTAAGTGACTTTTGTTAGCCTCTAGTATATTAAACTTGTATTTAAAAAAATCTTTATGATTAAACAAAACACAATAGACTGTATAAGGTTTAGATTAAATTGATTAAAAAAGTCGATTACCAAAATGGTACGTTACGCAACCTCTTAAATATTGAATAATTTGCTGTCTCTCACATTCTTTTGGGTTAGGTTAGGTTAAGAAAATCTCTGGGCAAAAGCACTGTGGCTAGGATGGGCTGGCCAAGTGCTTACAGCCTCTTTAATGTTGAATAATGTTCTGTCTCTCACATTACTTTGAGTTTGTGGGGTTAAAACTACTTCTAGGCCGAGTGCTGCGGCTAGAACAGGCTATTACAGTGACAAAATTTAAAGAAAATTGTTAAATAGGGCCTTAAAATAATCAGCTAAAATCAACATTTACCATTTAAGACGCTGCAGCGCTCGGCCCAGAAATAGTCTTTACCTAATCTAACCCAACATAATGTAATTATTTATTTATTAATAATTGCAAATATATATACTTTTTTATCAAAATTTTCACCTTACCAAACTTTCATTACCAAAATGTAACTTTTAGGTTGTTACCAAATTGTCACTTTTATGACGTTAACAAAATGTCATTACCAAATTGTCATTACCGAATTGGCTTTACCAAAAATTTGCCCATCCTTCAGAAGTTCAGCTTGACTATAGTGCACAAGAGAATTCTAGTTTGTAATTGAATCCATGGTTTGTGGTTTAACTACTTCTTACTCTTCATTAAATCTGGCCCTTGGTATGTCTAACCTGAGACTTCTCGAGTTTTAGGCCATTTGTTAGAGGATACTAGCGGTCCCGTTCCATCTTGATTCCCTTCCAGTCTAGATTTACAGGTAACATTGTCGTAACACCAGCCTCCACCCTAAAACATATTTCTATTTCACTCAGTTCAGGCGCCGCTACAAACCGCATGCAACAAGATCAAATGACCGCCCTACTTTTCAAAAGATCTATCTGTATCGCTACCTCGTTTGGATTCTATTTAGCAGACTACAACCCTAACTACTTTCAATCTATACATTCTCTCAGCGTAAAGCCAAGCAGTCAGTTTCAATGGTTCAATCTGCTTTATTTTTAGAATAAGTATGAATATGTTTAAAAATGAACTATATAGAATCTTTGGATATAATTTTATAAAACAATAAGAATATGTCTAAACTAAACTATATACAATCTTAGGGTAGATCCCGTTCTTTTATATTTATGGACTAAAACATTACAAATCGAATGCGATTAGGTCCACCCTGCATATCATAAAATATAGGCTGAACCTGAGTACAAAAGATTTACCTCAATGTGACTAAGCAAAAATCCAACCGGTAATATCTATCAATATTGTGAATACTAGTAAAACCACTAGTTCTCAGCACACTTGTGCTACATCCACAATAAAAACAAAGCAAACTATATACTGTTTATATTGTTTCTCCTTAATAAGCTTAAGGATTTGTACTGTGCCCTGGCCTTTGCCTATAAACACTTAAGCTACATCCACAATAAAAACTCCAGAAGTACAAACTTTAGAAGCACAAACACCAGAAGTATAAAGTCCAGAAGTACATACTCCAGAAGTACAAACTCCAGAAGTAAAAACTCCAGAAGTACAAACTCCAGAAGAACAGTCTCTAGAAGTACAAACTCCAGAAGTACAAAGTTCAGAAGTACTGAGTCCAGAAGTATAAACTTAATAAGTAAAAACTCTAGAAGTACAAACTCTAGAAGTACAAACTCCAGAAGTACAAAGTTCAGAAGTACAGAGTCCAGAAGTATAAACTTCAGAAGTAAAAACTCCAGAAGTACAAACTCCTGAAGAACAGTCTCTAGAAGTACAAAGTTCAGAAGTACTGAGTCCAGAAGTATAAACTCCAGAAGTACAAACTCCAGAAGAACAAACTCTAGAAGTACAAACTCCAGAAGTTCAAACTCCAGAAGAACAAACTCCGGAAGTGCAAACTCCAGAAGTACAAACCAATTATGTATAAAATGTAAACAATAAACATATAACTTTCTTTTTTAGAATTGGGAGAAATATTCCTAAATTATTTAGGTTTTTAAATATTTCCTCCTTTAAAACACTAAAAATTTATGTTATCTATATTTTTAAAATAAATACTAGCTAACTTACTTACTTTATCTCTGTAGTTACAAGGAAAATATTTTATTTTGCAATGTTTACCTGTAAAAAAAAATCCATCTGTTTTTAGCAACTTCCGAACTTTGTTCCGGTGAAAGTAAAGTATAGTATCCTCCTCCACTTCCATCATTACAAACCAGTTCACGAGTATCAGAACTTTATGTAGTATATATGTTAACAAACCAGTTCACGAGTATCAAAACTTTATGTAATTAGGGTTGTTAATCGTTTTTGAAAACGATCGTTAAACGATCGTTTTTTGTTTCGTTTTCAGAAACGATCGTTTCGTTTTCGGAAAAAAATGATCGTTTTTAAAAACGACCCACTCGTTTTGAACTTTTAGAAAACGAATAGCGATCGTTTTTGAAAACGATCGTTTTTATTAAAACGATTTGCGACCGTTTTTTATACGATTGTTTTTAAAAAACGATCGTTTTTGGAAAAACGATCGTTTTTGAAAAAACATTCTATTGACAATTATGTTAACGATCGTTAACTAAGGGTCTTGTCGTTAACGATCGTTAACGAAGGGTCGGAGGGCGGGCGCTTTGGTATGTAGCAGTATTCAATTGAATTCAATATTCGTAATTTCACAACTTCTCAGTTTATTTTTTGTACATTTACTTCGATAAAAAGCAAGAATAAGAAGAATTCAATTGAAAGAAAAATTGATACTTACTCTTCAAATCTTGTGAGTGTCAACTCTCGAGCTTCTGAAATGGTAAAGTCTTCTAAAACTATTTTAAGTGGCCTTAATCCAGGACTAATGATTTATCCTTATATTTCCATCTGAAAATTGATAATTCAAATATTGGTTTATCACGATGGGATTTGCAGATTTGTGGAATGGAAAATTAACCTTTACAGATGGAAAATGACATTCGTAAAATGAAATCTAAATTAATCAAAATAAAGAAAAGATGAAGAAAAACCAAATTGTAATTTGGCATGATTTCCAGAAAATCAACAAATAATAAGAAAAAAGCTATTGCAATTTAAAATAATTATGTGAGGTTTGAAACCAAAACTCAAACTTTTTGGTCGGAAAATTAAAATAATCAACAGACAAAAATGAATCTTTTAATTTGATATGTATTACTATTTTGAATTTTGAATTTTGAGTTATTATTTATATGGTTTTGATAGGATAGGTTTACACAGGTTAAAGAGAGAGATAATATGGGTTTACCAAGATTTAAGAGAAGGATAGGATTGTGAACCATACCCCTAAAATTACCCTATTGTAAGGTCGTCTCTGACAAACTGTACCTCCGTTAGACCCTCCGTCCACTTACCAAACCTTTCCANTAAGAGAAGGGTAGGATGGGTTTATCAAGGTTTAAGAGAAGGGTAGGATGGGTTTATCATGGTTTAAGGGAAGGATAGGATGGGTTTACCAAGGTTTAAGGGAAGGATAGGATGAGGATACCAATGTTTAAGAGAAGCATAGGATGGGTTTACCAAGGTTTAAGGGAAGGATAGAATGGGTTTATCAAGGTTTAAGAGAAAGATAGGATTGGTTTACCAAGGTTTAAGGGAAGGATAGGATGGGCTTATCAAGGTTTAAGAGAAGGGTAGGATGGGTTTACCAAGGTTTAAGGGAAGGATAGGATTGGTTTACCAAGGTTTAAGGGAAGGAAAGGATGGGCTTATCAAGGTTTAAGAGAAGGATAGGATTGGTTTACCAAGGTTTAAGGGAAGGATAGGATGAGTTTACTAAGGTTTAAGGGAAGGAAAGGATGGGTTTACCAAGGTTTAAGTGACGAGTAGGATGGGTTAACCAATGTTTAAGAGAAGGACAGGATTGGTTTACCAAGGTTTAAGGAAAGGATAGGATGGGTTTATAAAGGTTTAAGAGAAGGGTAGGATGGGTTTATCAAGGTTTAAGAGAAGGGTAGGATGGGTTTATCAAGGTTTAAGAGAAGGATAGAATGGGTTTACCAAGGTTTAAGAGAAGGATAGGATGGGTTTATCAAGGTTTAGAAGAAGGATAGGATTGGTTTACAAGGGTTTAAGACAAGGATAGGATGGGTTTATCAAGGTTTGAGAGAAGGATAGGATTGGTTTACCAGGGTTTAAGAGAAGGATAGTATTGGTTTACTAGGGTATAAGAAAAGAATAGGATGGGTTTACCAAGGTTTAAGTGAAGGATATGATTGGTTTATTAAGGTTTAAAATAAGGATATGATGGGTTTACCAAGGCTTAAGAGAAGAATAGGGAGGGTTTACCCATTGTATACTGTCATAATACTTTACCCAAATAGGTTTACCAAGGTTTAATATAAAAGACTACCGTATAAATTCGGTTTCAGTTTCAGTACTTTTCAAAAGTTACAATTAAAGAAAAAGAATTGCAAAGCGCCCTGTGGAAGTCTGGCACTCATAAACTTAAACCTTTATTCAGTCTTTAAATATAAGATAAACTGTTAAACCTTTACCTAGTATAAGTGCAGTAGTAAACCAGAGAATTAATATTTTTCCCAACATTATCTCCAGTTTCCAAACTTAGCTGGCACACAATGTACTGATACTAACTAGTTTGAAGTTTTTAACAGTGATAATATAATACATAGCTGATAAAGAACAGTCTGTCCCAAAAAAAACTTGATAACTTTTAAAAACTAAATTTGGATTTTTCTTGAATCTTCTTAGATAGGATTTTGAAAATGTGGTGTCATATCAATAGGACTAATGATCGATTAAACTACCGTTCGTTTTGACTAATCTTTATTTGGACTAACGTTGAAATAAACTTTATGTTTAGTTGAGCTAATTAATTTATAGATAAAGTTTTAAGCATTTTTACACAATAAATTATAAAATGAAATCTGATAAGCTATATTCATAGGTTTTATGAATATAACAAGATTGTTATTAAGAAATTAAGTAATCCGATCTTTAGGTAAAAGTTGGTAATTTGTCCCTGTTTGGGAGACAAGTGGTAACAAAAACCAACAGTTAAAATGTACAAATCCTTACCTCAATCATTTGACTGAAAGAAAGACCAAGGATGATAATCATTTTGCTATTAATCATGGTTATCACTGTATCAAAATAAATGAAACATAAACTTTTTTAGACACACTGTTTACAAGTTTGTATCTGTGAAAACCCAACTTTTTAGACACACTGTTCACAAGTTTGTATCTGTGAAAACCCAACTTTTTAGACACACTGTTTACAAGTTTGTATCTGTGAAAACCCAACTTTTTAGACACACTGTTCACAAGTTTGTATCTGTGAAAACCCAACTTTTTAGACACACTGTTCACAAGTTTGTATCTGTGAAAACCCAACTTTGACCTAAGAGCATGTTTCAAGCTTAACTTCAGAGATAAAAATCTTTTTAGAAATATATTTTGAAAAGATTAAAGAAACTTGAATTACATAATATATCCTTAGATTTAGAATAAATCAATACTTTAAAAGCATGGCAAACAATTTTATTCAATGTTGAGAGAATTTTTATCCCGTTTTTTCCTCACCATTTCCGGATCTTCTTTATAACAAGTTTCTTATTTGTTCCGAGGCAAATAAGTAACATTTTATACCGGTAAAAAAAGTTTCCCTTTCCATTTCGCGGATTTTGATTAAAAGATCGCACATTTTTGTGAAACTTGAGTTGAATAAATTTACATGAATAACTAGCTGTCTTGTGTTAACATTCGGGATATTGTATTTTATGAATAAACGACTTTGAGCTTCTTCAACCCGACTAGTGAAGTTTATCCATGGTTTAAATGCGTTCCTAATCTTTGAAAATCGGAAAATTACTTATAAATTCAAAAATAGGAGCGAGTGCAGGAAAATTCTAGGGGTTGAACCAACTCGGACTTTTCTCTCCATTTTCCGTAGCCCTCCACAATGCATTAAGCGGAAGCAATTTTCTTTTTAAGTTTGAACCTCCTCCTATGCTGCCCGCACAGAAATATTTAAAGGTTTATCATAATTTGATGATATCTAATAAGACAACTAATTTCTGAAGAGAAAATTAAGAAAATGTCAGTGAAGAGTAATCTTTATGTGTAAATGAAAACATTGAGTGTTAGGGGGAGGGGAGGGGAGAGTAGGGAGTGGTATTAGGGGTTTGTGTATGAGGGGTGTGTGTATGAGGGGTTTGTGTATGAGGGGTGTGTGTATGAGGGGTTTGTGTATGAGGGGTTTGTGTATGAGGGGTGTGTATATGAGGTCTAAAGTAAAATTAGAAGGTTAAAATTGGTTTTAGCTATTAGACTATATTTTGTAATGCATTGTCTATATTTAATTATGTAAGGCCGGGTACAAACAAATTTTTGCAAATACTTAGACATTTAACCAAATTTTCTAAAGGTTTTTCTGAATATTTTTCTTGCTTAATAAAGGTTACAGGACTGTATCAAAATCTAGTAGATAGCTAAATAATCTCTATACAATCAGGATATTTTAACAAAAAACAGGAATTATTTTCAGAAACCAATGATGTATTTGAACGCTTTTTCTTTATTCTTCATTTGTCGGAATGGAGATTTTGAATTATTCAAATCCAATCATAAACAATAAAAAATGACCAAATAATCATGAATAATATAAATGAGATAATCAAAACAATAATAAACAATATAGAGATAAGCATGCAACAATCCCCTAGCTTCCATAATAATATTATTTAATATGATTTAAAAATATATTATTATATCAATTCTGTGGTAGGTACTAGATAGTAGATACTAGATATATATATTTGAAGAAAATAGTAAAATGAGTGTGTGACACCAGTTCTCGTTAGCTCACTGAAGTTAAGCACATTTGTCCACAGTCAGTAACTGGATTGGTGTCCAGACTGGTGTTCATGGGTTCGATTCCCGTACTCAACACAAACCTGTGGTTTCAAAAACATCTAAAGCCGACATATGGTTAAGCAATTATGACCACATGGACTTAGGAAAGGTGGACAAGCAGGGAGAGTCTAAGGTTGCCAGCTATAGGTACCTGGAGGTATCTAATCTGGGCAAATGATTGGGAGCAATGAGTGTAATGTTTCCTGTCTTTAAGGCACCCGGGCCTCATTCCAGTATATCAGAAGAATTCCTGCACTTTATTATTCTCAGGCCTAAGAAGCCCTTAGGCAGATGGAATTTTGTCAACCCTCTTCTCAGTATGAATGAAACGTGGAAGGATGAATGTGCTGCCAGATTACAACCCCTGGTAGATCAATATAAACTCAAAAAAAAACACCAAACTTTCGCAAAAGAAAAATTCCGAGATTTGATCGTAACAACCCGATCATGTAAAAAAATCTCTTTTTAATTTCTTTTTAAATTGCAAAAATCCACAATTCTTTTGTGAAGAATACCGCAATGGTATATACTTTCATGAAATTTGTTTAGAATATCATTAATCCCTAAAATTTTAAATATATGTTTTCAGGATTTTGAGTTTAAAGTATTAAAAATGGTGCAAAAGATTTGACAGCTAATGTACAATTGTTCAATTTATTTATAGGACGTATCAAAATATTTACCTTCCCCCAAGGGATAAAGTTGGATAGAGTTGGATAGAGTTGGACAGAGTTGGATATAGTTTGATAGAGTTGGATAGAGTTTGATAGAGTTGGATAGAGTTGGATAGAGTTGGATAGAGTTTGATAGAGTTGGATAGAGTTGGATAGAGTTGGATAGAGTTGGATAGAGTTGGATAGAGTTGGATAGAATTGGATAGAGTTGGATAGAGTTGGATAGTGTTGGATAGAGTTGGATAGAGTTGGATAGTGTTGGATAGAGTTGGCTAGTGTAGACGCTTTAAAGGGAAAAAGATATATGCAGCTGCGTAGCATTAAGATAATGTAGCTGCTCTAGTTGTGTCATGAAGATCATGCAGCTGCTCTGGATGTAGCATTAAGATAATGCAGCTGCTCTGGTTGTAGCATCAAGATCATGCTGTTGATATTGTTGTAGCATCAAGATAATGCTGCTGCTCTGTTTGTAGCATCAAGATAATGCTGCTGCTCTGGTTGTAGCATCAATATCATGCTGTTGTTGCTATAGTTGTAGCATTAAGATAATGCAGCTGCTCTGGTTGTGTCATCAAGGTCATGCAGCTGCTCTGGTTGTAGCATTAAGATAATGCGACTGTTCAAGTTGTAGCATTAAGATAATGCAGCTGTTCTGGTTGTAGGATCAAGATCATGCTGCTGCTCTGGTTGTAGCACTAAGAAATTTAGCTGCTCTGGTTGTAGTATCAATATCATGCTGCTGCTAACTTTAGTTGTAGCATAGGCCGGGAGCGCACGTTGGACCGAATGGACCGTAAAATTGTAAATATAAATCTATTAACCAATTAGCTATTATTTCTATTTCATTTTTTAATCGATCCTCCCTCTGTTCCAGCACTGCTTTTCTTTCAATACAATTATAAAATAGTTATTGAAATTTTTAAGAATCCGCAAAGATCATTGAACATTAAATCAAAAGGTACAATTTTTTCAACCATTCTTAATCTATTTAATCCATCCATTACGCAGTAGCATTTTAATGATATATATATATATATATATATATATAATTATATATCGAGATGAAGATAATAATTTTCTTTTTGATATCAGTTTTCAATATTCATAAATAAAAAATTAATCCAAAACTGTAGGAACAGGCAATATAACATCTACTGCAGGTAAGCCACGGGAGGGAAATATACACCCCTCCCCCTCTCCCTTAGCTATCCCTCTCAGCTATCAGATTCTAAGGGAGGGAGATCTTATCTAATCTAATCTAATCTAATCTAATCTAATCTAATCTAATCTAATCTAATCTAATGCTTTATTCTTTTGCTGAAATTCTAACAGGTTGAGCATAACATATTACAAATGTGTTTTCAATTGATTCTTAGTGGAGTGAACAGTCTTGTATGCCGAGTCCATTAGCGCCTGATCCAATCAGGGTTCAAACATTTGTTTGGTGTTTATTCTGAACCAATAGAAATTGCATGGAGGTAACATCTATCTTTCTATCTAGTTCATTATTCAATTAGAGATAAATCCTTATATCGGCGCTTAAACAGTAAACGGAAATATTTATTCTACTGAAACTATAGTGGAAGTGCAGTTTTGTGAATTTAAAGAAGAAAAGTGTTTATGATTTATAATTATGATTGGAAAAATTTGGTTTGATTTGCTCTCATCCAATAAACTCTTCTTATGACTCCTGACTAAGTCTCTGTTACTTTAAAAGGTTAATTTTCCAATAGCAAAATATTTTTTGATGAAACAATATTTAATTTATTGTAATCAGTATTAATTAATAGTTTTTTTAATTGTGGAAACATCCGCTATTTCGAAACTAATAAAATGAATTTAAAATCTTATTAAATATTTGGCTCATCTGGTTTGTTTGTATTCATCAATAAATGTTAGAACTGTTTGATGATTGAATCGGGCTAAACTCTTTTGAGGTAACTCACATGACAAAAAGGTCAAAATTAAAAAAAAAACTTCTAAGTTCGTTTTAAAATTTAAGGAGAGAAAAATCTTCGAATGTTTTTATTGCAA